TTTTGTGAACAAGTTGCCCTAATCCCCCTCGAGTGCGATTTCTGCAAGCATTGGTATTGCACCAAATGCATCATTTTCATCCAAAATTTAATTGCTGTTCTAAAATTGACCCCACCATCTAAGCCGAACAAATTTATTTGTCTCAACCCAACTTGTTTAAAAACTTTCGCTTCGCTTGATGAGTACCCAACTTACAGTTCGATTTCTTATTCGAAGACTTATGTAAATTATCGTAACTGTAAATTCATTTGTCGTTTTACTCTTTGCTCCAAACAAGTTAGTCCCAATTTATTATTCGAACACGAATCAAAGTGTCGCTTAGGCTTATTTAGGGAAGAAGTTGATTTGAAATCAATTTCAGTTTTTCATCATGGTTCCTCTGTAAAGGAACTTTCTACAATCAATCCTAAGAGATTAATTAGTTTTATTCCTCCCCATGTTAAACTCGCACCTCAGCCTCAGATTTCTTACTCTACCCATGAGTTTAATTTCGAACAGAAATTCGAGTTATACGCTTGTCTCTTAGTCCAGAAAGAAGAAAATCCCGACGACCCACTTCTATCAGATACCAACATTCGTTCCCATGCGAACTTGAGATTAGGTTTCTGGGAAAGTTTTAACAAGTCGAAGGAACCAACTCTCCCTCTCTCAGAGAACGAAGAGTTTGTTCGTACAATTGGTTTTCCCTCCGTTGTACCTTATCCTCCCGCTCCCTCTCGACCTCGAACTACTTGGTCATCTAATAGTAAAAGAAACTCAGTCCCTCAATACCTCCTAAATGATTCGGAAGAATGGCTGAAACTCACTGCAGGAAAAGCTAATCGTGATCTTCCTCTCTCACCCATCGGTTTATCTCCCGATGCTGGTGAACCAATTAACCCTTTTACGGCCATCAACCCCTTTCATCGACTAAAAGACGATGAACAAAAAGAAATTAAAAATAAAATTAAAGAAATGTTTCCCTCCATGCGAGAATTGGTCACTTTTGATCAACCGCCGGCTATCAACCCACAAAGACTCGAATATCGAGCCAATCGAAAAAACAAAGCCGCTATTATTTTCAACTCGCTGGTCGATCAACAAGTAGAAGAACTTTCTTCTCACCATCAAGAACTTTTAAAAGAATGTATAAGTGAACATCCTGATCCATCGAATATCTACTCAATCAACGCGGCGTATGTTCGAATTGAAAGATTCACCGCCGAAGGAAATAGAAAAATCATTCCACATCCAGTATGGATCGTAATCATCGATGGAAACATGAACGTCGTTTACGAAACCCTCGTTCATTATAAGAACATTAATTACATGGATACCCAATTCCATGGTTTAAAGAAAGAAAATTTAAAGTTCGCTAAACACTTAGCTTCAGTCCGAGATCAAGTTCTTTGTTATTTGGCCTGTGCTAAGCAGATAGTCGGTGCTGGTCTAATCTCTCTATTAAATTGCATCCAACTTACTCCCCCTGAAATAGACCTTCTTCGCCCGAAATTAAGAGATGTCACCATTTACTTTTCTCCCTACCGAACATCTCCAGCATCACTCTCTCTCCTCGCCTTCATTCTCTTCAGTGGTTATACAATTAGAGCCCAATCACACTCACCCTCGATCGAAGCTCTCACTGCAATGAGAATGTACATGTTTTTCTGGCAGGAAATCGAACAAAAAGTCAAATCCACCGGACGTGGAATTCACAATCAATCAATTCATCTTTATGTAAGAAACGATAAAGTTTCTTATCTTCATAAAAGATTCAGTCAATTGGTGGAATCCAAGAAAGCCAAATGGCCAGTTGATTGGTCTTATTTTCATCATCATCAATCCGCCCCTGAATACAATTCTTTTAATTGTGTTTCACCCGCTCCTTCACCTTCATCATCAACATCATGTTCATCTTCGAGTGAACCTTTACCTTCATTTTCATTCCCTCTCAATTCAAAGCGTGTTAATAATCAACCGACTGAATATTTAATCGATGGACATAGAGTTCCATTCATCTCATCAAATCAACTAAAGGAAAAATATAAAAATATTCCAACATCTTCATCTTCATCCACATCAACTCCATCACCAAATACCAAGACCCTAACCGCTGCCGCTCGTGTAATTCTAGAGAATTTACCTGACCCTCCATCAACCTTTGGTTCTTTAAACACTTCCCAGGACCCCAGAAAACAAAAACCAAAATCGCCCCAACTCATTGAATTCAGTCCAGAGAATTCACCCCAACCAACATCATCAAGTTCCCCAAATCCCAATAGGATCTCCGCTGAAACCCTGAAGAAGTATCTCAGTCAAAACGCTGGGGACTGAAGGGTAGAAAATCATGAAATCCTCAAGCTTTCATCTTCATCACTATCATGATTTGGAAACTTGATTCATTTAAAAACATTTTCTAATTTTCTTTAATTTTCTATTTAAATTTTGTTTAAGTTCTAACAATTAGTTAATTGTGCCTATGATTAAGCTTAAAGCTTTTTCTTTTTTCTATTCAACAATTTAACTTTGTTTAATTCCTCCCACAACTATAATTGTAATTTCCCTCATTGTTATAATTAACCAATACGCTTAATTAGTATCCCTAATTAACAATTGAATTAATTATAAATTAACGAATCCTGATTGTTAAAACCAATCAGATTTAACCAAAAATTGATTTTATATCTAAAGATATAATTTTGATTCCGATTCTTAATTGTTACAATTTACAAATTTCCTTAATTGTAAAACCCAAATCTCTTGAACTTAAGTTACCAAAATTTGGTCACCAAAGAAAGAGACCCGTTTTTCCCTTTCTTTTCCTCTTTCTTTTCCCTTTCTTTTATTTTTTCATCTTTAGTACTAATAAGCCTACAAGCTTATCTTCAAGTTCATTTTTTATCTTTAACCAAAAACTCAACCACAAGTCTCACTTTGTCGAGACATAAGAGTTACATTATAACCTTTACCTTTTATCTCATCATTAAGAGATTAATTTGTTTTCCCCCTTTCTTTAATTGTGAAACCCCTTTTTTCTTTGTTCTCTGTTCCTATTAGAACAAGATTTTTCCCTCTTTCTCTTCAGTAATGTTTTAACATTCAAATAGTTAACTTACTCGATTAAAATTTCTTTTCACAAAAACGTGTTAATCTCAATTCCATCCATCAATCTGAATTATTCAGAAATTCTAATTTTCTCCATCTTCTCAATCAATTCAAGAGAATTAAGTTAAATAGTGAAAACGAAGACACTTAAGTGAGTCTAGATTTGAGTGCTCTTGTTATTCAGTGATCCTAAACGAATCTGTTATCGGTTTTGTGGGACCGAAAATCTTCCTTCCGAAGTCTAGAGACTTTTCCGAGTTCCAACTCAAATCCATCCATCGATCTAAAAGTGATCATCAACCCCCTCATCTCAAATCTAACCCCACATTGGTGATGATAATTACTATCAAATTTTTAATGATATCAGGTTGAGATTGTAATTATGATCATTTGTACGATTATATTGTAATCATCAAATTATGATTTAACTTGAAGAAGAAAAAGATTAAATATTCAAACAGACGCTGTTTGGTATTAAATGATGACAAGGGTCAGCAATGGGCGAGTGGGTGGTTGACCTAAGGTTAGGGTGTTTGTTAGAGAGCGAGAGATGAAAAAGCAATTGGCTAAACAGCTAAAGATGAAAAGATGAAGCTTATGCATTGGATTGTATTATTTGTGACTCTCGGACCTTCCGGTTATGTCAGGGTTAAACAATCGTAAACAACAACAACAACAACAGCTGATTGCATATCCTCACCCACGTACCACCCCCACTACTACCATCAGCGTCATCTTCTTCTCCAGCATCTTCTTCTTCTTCTTCTTCTTCATCTTCATCATCTTCTTTATCACCCTCATCCTCATCACCTCCTACTACTCCTCCACTTTATTATACATAATAAGTTATCCACCGAGGGTGGGAGAGGCTCTTTCATCACATTGGATACAAAAGGAAAACTGAACAATTGTAAAAAACTCATGCGACACTTTTGACCAACTCGACAACAGCCAATGACCAATGACCAATGATCATTGGTCATTTCTCTGATCATCATCAACAATCAAATAAACAATTCAATTTACTTTTCCTTTTCTTTTCCTCTTTATAATCTTTCAACTTTTTTTCCATTCAAAAAAAAGACTTGCATAAGTTTCTTCGTTCTTCCGGTTTTACAATTCAATCTTCATGAAACTCATAATTTCTTACAAACTTTTCTTAACAAATGATTCACAATTTAACTAAATACAAAAACTTGATGTAAATTAAAAAATAATTTATTCGTTCACCTCAATTTCTAAACTCAACCAATCCTATATACGAGGTCAATCAATTGGTCAGTCGTCAACTGGACAAAGCAACAAAGAGCCAGTAACTTAACTAGGTAACTGTAAATGGCAAATCCATTTACCGTTACCTGATGATGGGATAATAAAAAAATACTGTTATCCTTTTCTTGTTTCTTGCCTTTAGCTTTACAAAAATCACTTAACTATTAATAATCATCATAAACTCATCTATTGTTCACAATCATAGGCCTTTAGAATTGACCATTAACTAACAAGTAACTGTTAAGAAAGAAGTTGGAGTTTCAGATCAGCTCGACCTCTCAATAATCCACTAGTTAATCGTTAGCTACAGGAAAATAGTCTCTCCAAAGTTAATCATTGATGAAATTAATTCTTACGTTTCAAAAATCAATTCTGAGTGAAAAATTTTCGTTTGTTATTATTCACCAATTAAGATATTTAATTCCTACAACATTTGATTTAATCGTTATAATAAAGAGACAAAGTTTTGTAACTTGATTGTCAATGTAATAATAACGATAATAATAACAATTAAGATTAAGAATCAGGATAATGATGTAACAAAGGATAAGGAAGATGATGAAGGTGAGAAAGAAGAACGGAATTGAAGATGAAAGAAAGAGAAAGTTTATTATTATGTAGATGAGAATTAAGGAAGTAAATTGTTAATTGAGAGGAACAATTGTTTGAGAATTTAGGTTAAATTACAATTTGAATAATCTTCTTTTTCTTCTCTACTTATCGTAACTCTTACCTGTAAAGATGATAAAATGATGAGAAGATGAATCAAAACGAATGATGGTGAAAATGAGATCAACCAATAGACTTGATTACAATCCAGTTTTTGTCTTCGAACTCAATCTAGATTATTGGTTTGTCCTTAATATAAATTATTTCTATCACTTTTTGCTGAGATTATAATCATCATCATCTTCTTCTTCTTCTTCTTCTTCCTCCTCTTCCACCTTCTCTAATTATCTTCATCTTCTCTTCCTCTTTTCAAAAAAGTTTAAATTGTTCTTTACGATCATTTTGATTGTTTCCATTTATTAGGTAAGTTTTTCATTTACATTGAGATTAAATTGATTAGAATGAATCGATTTTCAAAGTTGATTGTTCTTCTAATTATTTGATTTTCTTCTTTGTGTTTTCATCTTTTCGCAATTAGTTAATTTTATCGAACTGTACCAAAGTTACACGTAAACAACATAATATTTGATGCATGTTCCAATAGATACTGATGATTAAGAAATTGAGATGATGATTAAAGGTGATTATTGATTTATACTTACAATTATTACTCTTTCCTTTAGCACAACTGAGTCTAAAGTTTGCATCCCAACTGGAGTTTCCATTATCCTTTCAAGTAAGAAAAGAGCCTTGAAATTTAATTAATAATTGGAATCAATATCTCACAAGTATTAATACTTAATTTCATTGTTAATGATTCATTCAAGATGCTCAATTTAATGAATAGTGAATGAATAGTGTTAGAATGTCAAACCAAACAATTACCTTTAGTTTCACTTGAATATCAAATGGCGTATTTATGATCAGCTTATGAATTGATTTACTCGCTTTAATGGCCTATGATTAAAGTTCTCAATTAATTATTCAACCAGAAGCATAACTGATTATCGATAATTACCTTACTATTAATACTACCAACCAGATAAGTGGCGATTGCGAAAATAGTGATTATGATACTTGCGATTATCGTGCTCGCCATGTTAACGAAACCTTCTTCGACTCCGTGGATGAAACCAAAGAAAAAGAGCACATCAGCGATGAGCGTCACGGGGACGAAAATAAAGAACAGAATTGGACGAGAGAACATCTGACAAAGATCTAACATATTGTAAGTATCGTTGTGGTCAGTTACTAAATCGTGCAGAGAGTTTACTGAACATTCAGTCATTGAAGCCGATCGGTAGGTACGGGAGTTAGTCGAGTCTTGAAGATATTTGATGTACGCAAAGAAAATCAGTAACATACACACGAATATAAATATAATTATGGCGCACCAGTAAACGGCAATTAGAAAGTAAAATAACCAAATAATTACGAGCAATTTTGTCATCAATCCGCTTGTAAAATTCCAAGTTGATTGGATCAGGAGGAAATAAGCGAAACAAATAACGAACCAAGAAATGGCCGTGATGATATTCACGCTTTTCATGATAATGATTGAGAATCTTTGGAATTTTTGACAATCATTAAATCGCAATTTAAGTGAAACTTGATCGAATCCAAAGTTTTTGATAACAGCCAATTTTCTTAATAACTTAATTTCATAATTCAACTCGAACCAAACAGCAGTAGTTTTGATTCCCATAAGAAAACTTTGAGCAAGAAGTAAAATTATTATAACAACTTTTCGACTTTTATGACCTGCGAGACCATCGCCTAAATAAGTGATTATTTGATCGTTGTAAGGTAGATCTTCGTTGGATATAATTATTATAACTGAACGAATTACGCCAATTAAATTGAATAGGAATATAAAAGTTTCGTAGATGATAATTTCTCGAATGGACCGAAGTTTCAAATCGAATCCTTGATTTAAAACGTGAAATCGTTTAATTTGATCTTCGAAATAGGACAAATTCTCTTTTCCATCGGTCGGTTTGTAGATAGTTTTAGTTCCAATTTGAAGTCTTTTAATTTTCTTTCTATTTTCACTTATCCAAGTTTCGATTATCTTTTCCATTGTACAATAAAGTTTATCAATTTCTAATATTGTTTCGTGTGTTACATGATCAAATTGTAGAAACCTGAAGAAAATTATTTCAATTGTAAAACCATAAATTAATTATCTCTGAACAATACGCATGGTTAATTACAATCAATAAAATTCAGCTTCCCAATTACATTGATTATAAAGTTCAAGAGTTTTCTAAATTATTCAACTTCAGCTCGAAGCTCAAAATTTTAATCATAACACTCGGAGATTTCAATAGCTAACATTTAAAATGATTTGATGATTGTTTTTGTAATTGTTGTAAGCGGTTGATTAACTTTTTCCTTCCTTTGATCGTCATTTCCGTTGATCCTTTTTCTGAACAAATTTTCCAATTTGAATTGAAATTTGATAATTGATTTCCAATTAGTAGACATGAGTGATAAGTGTCAGTAATTAGTCCTGATTGAATTTCGTGGAAGTGAAACATTTATCTTATAATTAAAAAGTAATTGATTTGTTAATATTGATTGGAAAGTGTCCATTGGTTGTGACAGTTTGGTGACGATGGTCAAGTCGAGCTTGAAAATGACCGCAACAACGGAAAACAATGAAATGGAACAATTGAAAACGGATGTGAAAGTTAGTCAATCAATTCCTTTTTCCCATTTTACCCAAACTAATTAACATGTTTCGAAAGGTTAATTTTAAACTAGTGTTTGTTGATTGAACATTAAGTGCGTGGGTTAGTATGAAATAAACACGATTCGTATTCGCTGTTATTTCAGTTCTGTCCAACAAAAGAGTTATTTTCACTTTATCGAAAACGCTAATTGAGGTTAAACTCTTTTAATCGCCATCCCTTTCGAGAGTTAATCTGTGATTGTTAAGTGATGAGTGATGCGGATTTATAACTGTTAAAATTAAGAGAATTGAGAAAATAATATTGTAATTGGCTGCGAAATGATTGGTGTACATATTTTAATTCTCACCCTAAAATGTTATCATGATGTAATTATGATTGATTCAATTCACTTTATTTCCAGGAACCAAATCGATCCGAGTTAACTGGTAATTTAGATATTAATATTTATGCGACCAAAAAGACAATCGCCCAAGGGATGCTCGATGTCGCCTTGTTAACGGCAAATGCATCACAATTAAAGTATATTTTACAATTAGGACACCAGCACGAGTTTTATTTTCTAATGGTAACACTGATAAGTACGTCTTTGATTCTTCAGGTAAGATTGCAGAAAACGAAGCGTTCTGAGAATCTAAAGATTGAATTTTCATTTGAAATCTTTGGGAACTGATAATCATCATTATGAATTATTTTCTTTCATTTGCAGATCACAGTTGGATCTTTGATTCTCGCCAGAAGTAGATATGATTTAAATAAAGTAGAAGACCACGCGAGAGCGAATGTCCTGAATAATTCGATAGTTTGGCTTGTTTTCGGAATCACGGTGATCAATGTGTTCATAGCGGCTTTTGGAATCGATCCTGGTTTCGACTCAAGGAAAGTCATTCGCTTACAAGCATCAACATCATCGGCGATCACCAATCAAACTGATAAATCCAATCCTGAGCTTATTGAGCATTAGAATTACCGGAAAGTATTTCCTTTAATAAGTCAAATTTGCAAGTTCGGAATAAAATATATTCTTCAAACTATCTATTTTTCATGGATTCATTTTCATTCCTCTTTATTATATTTCTTTCAAGGGATGATACTTATTCATCAATGAATGAATGATGAACCAAAGGGCTGGAAATGGTTGACCGACATCTCTGATTGAAGTCATGGTGCCTTTAATAGGGGACTAACGCGCTACTTTCTTCTTGATTGTTTAAATTTGATTCTTCTTCTGCTGATTTTTCCAGTATATTTGCGAATTGATCGAAAAATTCATCACGAACGAGGGCCAGTGCCTTTACATTTTCAGCATCAGGACCTTCTAGACTGTCCTTCAGTGCTAAGTAAGAATAATGTAAATTTTTCACCTTTTCCATCTCAGTCTGAATTTCACATGTGCGATCGAGTGAAAAATTGTTGGTTGAAGAAGAAGATGCACCGAGTGTCGGATCTTTTTTCATTGCGAGTGGCCCATAAGCCTTTGTTTGATCGACCATATGAAAAGCACCGAGAGACAACAGCTTCATCCAAATGTAACAGGCATCTAAATGTTTATTGACTCGAGATTCTTGGAACAGATAACGAAAAGCTTTGAACTTCGATAAATTGAGTTTGATTGGAATCTTTGGAGTAATTGGTTGACACATGTAGAAACAATAAATCAGGTAGAGTATTAAAATAGCCCGTTCTGGTTTCGCTGATCTATTCAACTGGTCCAAGATAATCTGATAAGCGTCTTCAATGAACTCTCTCATGTCAATGATATTCAATTTGTAGGTGAAGATCCACGATAAATGTCTTTCTTTCCAGAGCCTAGAGAAATCAACGAACCGAACACTGGCCATTCGGTCAAAATCTTCGATTAGATTGTTGACATCTTCTCTTAAACCATTTCTAATACTCTGGACTCCTTTTATCGCTTCACTATTACTCATGTTGACCGCTGGACAAAAATACAAAAGATGATATGATAGGAACAAAGTTTCCAATAATCAATAAATTTGAAATAACACAAGAAATAAATCAAAACAAATTACTCAGAGAAAGAAACTCAAACAGATGATTAAAACGACGATCGCCTCTGCCACCTATTAGATTACACAAAAAACTAATTCACTCATTTGTCAATCTCAAAGTTTGGTGCCCGTGTGGCAAAAATGCTTAATGCATTTGTCGTTCGAGAGACGATGAAATAAATCATAATCTTAATCAGCCTTAATCACCAGAATTTAGGGTCTGTAATCGATTATTTGAACAAAAATTAACTGGTAAAAGTGGAACTAGTAGTCTAACCACGAGGAATGTGTGAGTTAAATACAATTAAGTTAGTAGAGTTGATAAATTTATGAAAATGGATAATTTGATCTAATTGGTTGTGAAAATCGTGAAATAAAACATAAGACCAAATTACATGGATTAGCATTTTAATTGTGTTCTTATTGTAATAGACAGTCCAGATTTGATGTCTATGGAGTTTCGGCTAATTGTAAGGCCTGAAATAAAAAAGAATACAAAAGGAAATTAGTCAACGATTCGATTGAAGCTCATTCACTGTGAATACACCACAACAATTAGCATTAATCATAACTTACCTTTCGTACAAAAGTCGGTAAAACAAAAGCTGCTTGATGAATTTCGGTTGAATAATATTTCAATTTCATTTCATCAACTTGTTCCTCGGTGAATTTATGAAATGGAACATCAAAGTTGATTCTTTGATCTTTACAGGCTAAAAGGAAACCAATTTGTCCTGAGGGATAAGTTGGTACCATGGTCGTTGCATAAGCCACAGTTTTGAAAAATTCAGAGGCAGTTGTGTGAAGAAACTTAATCAGAGACAAATGATACCAGATCGTTTCAGCCTGACATGAGATAATCCCACCAGATCTGAGGCATTCATGGAGAGATTTGTAATAATCTCTCTGGAAAAGTGAAACAGCGGGTCCTTTAGGATCAGAAGAATCGGTGATAATTATATCAAAGGCATTTTTGTTCTCCCTGATAAAAGCATAACCATCGCCGATATTAACGGTGACCTTTGGATGGTCAAAGGAAGAGGACATGAAGGGAAGATATTTCTTGGATAATTCGACGACTCGTTTATCAATCTCACAAAGAGTAATCTCTTCAACACAATGGTGCTTTAAACACTCACGGATAACACCACCATCACCCCCGCCAACAATTAAAACCTTTTTCGGGTCCGGATGAGAGTTTAAAGCCAAAAATGAGATCATCTCTTGGTAGGAAGACTCATCTTTCTCAGTTAATTGCATGGCTCCATCTAAGGCCAGACATCGACCGAGAGCATCACTAGATAAACGAAGATAACAATTTGATTATTTGATTTATTAGAAAGAAAGACAAACAATTAATTGTTGACTTACCTGTCGAAAACAACCAATTCTTGCATACCAGTATTTTCCTGATGAATTAGTTTGTCACATTTAACAGCTCTGATAATCTTGTCATTGTCATCGCCAAGCTCATGTTCACAAAAATATCCTTTGATGTAGGAATCCATGATCGTCTCTGGTTATGGTTTAATAGTTAACTACAACGAAATCAAGTGAAAATGAGCTTTAGATTTGCACACTCAACAATCGATAAGTTGATAAGAATGAAGAAAACGTTTCCAAGGCACTTGGGTAAATCTCCTAAAAGTTGTTGATACTTAAAACGGTTGATTGTTCAAGAATAAGAACCGATAATGTATCAATTTATTATCATTATTTAGAAAACAAATAGTGACGTTTGATAAAGTCAACTAATCAAATGCTCAAGAAACAATTAACAACAATCAACAAGTTGAAACCTTGAAAATATTTTCATCTTTGTTCATATGGCAAGTTAACGAATTACCAATGCCATCTATCGGATCATAAACTAACTATTCTCGAGTAAAAGTAATTAAAAAATCGTAAGAAAATTAAATCAAAATGTTCACTAAATTTGATTATTTTCTTCTTTATAATTTACTAAATCTTTGATTGTAATCATTTCATCGAAAGTCTGTCTTGCTTATTGCAATCTAAATCTAAATGATTATCCTTTCAAAGGGATTACAAGTTGTTCATAATTGATGAGAACAATTTAATTGTCTAAATTGTGATGTTTTCGTTTTTTTTGTTCTATTCGATATTTTGTTTTGTTCTTTCTTTATCTCTTGTACTATTTGTCAAACTCTCTCTCTCTCTCTCTCTCTCTAGTACAAAGTATTGTTCAACTGACTGATTGTAATCAAGCTTGAGACACAAATGGATTAGTTTATTGATTAGTTTATTTTTATTCCACTAATTATATGGTTTAGACTATTGAGAAACAATTTAAGGTAAACACTTGACCATTTGGATTTGAAACTTGTCTTCGAGTAACTAAATGTTTAAGACTGTCCATTGTTCAACCATCATGATTAACAGTCATCAAAGGAGCAGATGATAAATGTAACCAAAAGAAACAAGTCCATTAGCGATGAAGATTAACTAGTGAGTCCAAGTACTTCCTGGAATTAGGTTCAAACTGATCCATCGAGAATTTGACAAACAGGTAACAAGGATTAGAATGGAAATGTTGATGTGCTAAACGACGTTTATCCTTTAATTTCTTTTCTTATTCTTGTCTTATTTTCTTTTCCAATTTTCAAACAAATGGAGTTCGATTTGGAAAACCATGGAAATTGTGAAGAGAGTGAAGAGGATGAAAAGGTGGTTGTTGTTGTTGGTGAATATGCGGTGGGATCCCTTGAGAGTAGCGGGAATATGGCCCATAACCTGTGTACGTGTGAACAGGAGGGCCAAAGGATTGGAAGAGAAAAGATTTGGCGGACGGAACTGGAAATGAATGTGGAAAACCGAGTGGAGGTGAAAGGTAACCACAAGAAGAAGTACCAATAAGGATGAGAAGAGTAATGAAGATCTGAAGAGAAGAAAAAGAAAAACAAAGAAACAGATTAAAAAGATAACAAGTTTTAAAATGGAAGATGAAAACGGAAGATAATTCGAAAGAGAAACAATTGGAAGACTGAAGATAAGATTCATTAGACTTTTACCTGGATTTTAGGAGAAAACATTGTGAGAGTTGTTTATTTTCACTCGAAAATCCGTTGATATGTTTTGGGAGAGAATTCAAATTAATGGAAATTATCAGTACGATGAACGATTTACAATTAACATTTTCCACGAAAACTCTGTCCTTAAATATGACCAGAAATTAAGAGAATCGACCCTGGTGATTATGGTCCACCTTTTTGCCCGATATTATGGTTATTATAACAATGGAATATTAATTGTTAATCCAGAGATAGTCCAACAATTAAATGGTTAATCACCAGAAAGACAAGGACAGAAAATTAGTGTGACAATTGTTAATCGTTAATTTGATTCTCTGCAAGATTACAAAAGACAACAATATTTATAATTTTGCTTCTCTTTCAAGTATTTACAAGTATCTATTGATTATCTCACCTTAATTGCCCATTGTTAATTTCTTTCAAATTAATTAGTAACACTTAATATCTGGTTAATGGTGATGGTTAATAGCCTTGGTTGATTATCTGCCTCAGCAATTTACTTAACTATCAATGATTCAACTCAAGCGAACCATTTTCCATCTCGTCATTTAAAAACGTTTAACAATAACAATTATTCACTTGATGATCTTAATGCTAATTATTAAATTAATTAAATCTGTTTATCAATTAGTCTCCAAAGTGTTTCCATCAATCATCTTGCAGCTCAATTCGATGCTCAAACATTGGCGCTAAAAAGAAAGAGATTAGTTGGTTGTCATGGTTACGCCTTTTCCAGGAACTTTTTTCTTGTTTTTCTCTCTTTTATTTTGACTCTCTGTCTTTGAGTTTGTTAATGTTTTGTGTCATTAACTTTAATGAAGATGTTTTATTTAAGCTTTTTTAACTTTTTACTTATTTTTTATATTTCAAAAAATGAAGTTTCGTGTAATTTAATTTTTGCTAATTCTAAAGACCTTCGAATGGTCAATTTAGACCAATCCAGACTGGATACATCAATAATTGTTGACAATCTCGGCGATGCCACTGCCCTGGATTTTTATTATAAACAGAAAATTATTTTTTGGAGTGATTTGGGCACTGAAAAGATTCAAGGTAAGATCTATTTCCATTTATTTGTCCATCTTATTTCTCTGTTCATTTTATTGATTGACATTTTCTCTGACAGGTATTCGTCTTGGAGATAAATCAAGAAAACCTTTTGATGTTATCAGTGGTCTTTTTTCACCTGATGGTTTAGCCGTCGATTGGTTAACCCTCAAGTTATATTGGTCCGATTCAGACACTAAAAGACTCGAGGTTTGTCAATTAGATAATAATTACAAAGGTATCCATAGAAAAGCTCTATTTTCCAAAGACATGGATGCTCCTAGAGCTATTGCTTTAGTTCCTCGAGAAGGTCTTCTTTTCTGGACCGATTGGGGTGATAATCCTAAAATTGAGCGGGCCTCAATGGATGGAAAGCACAGAAAAATTATAATTAAAGACGAGCTTCGTTGGCCTAATGGCTTAGCTACCGATTACGATTCACGTAAAATCTATTGGGTAGATGCTAAACTTAAATACATTTCAATTGCTGATTATAACGGCAACAATAGGAAAAAGTTAGTTTCCAACTTACCTCATTCTTTTGGACTGACAATAGATAGAGAATGGCTCTACCTGACCGATTGGACCAACATGGCAATTAGTTCGTGCAATGCAGTGTCAGAAAACTGTAAATTGTTGCTTCCAAGCTTAAAACATCAATCTAATCAATTGAACCCAATGGGTATAAAAGTTTTTTCTTCCCACCTTCAACCTGACAATTCAACTGGCTGTGATATCAATAACGGAGACTGTTCTCATTTGTGCCTACTTTCATCAGACTCACCTGGTTACTCTTGTGCCTGTCCCACCGGTGTCCTTTTAAAAAGTGACAATAAAACTTGTGCTTCGAGTGAAGAAAAATTAATTGTTCTGCTTCGTAAAACCGATATCAGAAAGATCTCATTGGACGTCGAAGAGCCTTCGGATGTTGTTCTTCCATATTCTAAAGAAATTAAACACGCCATTGCCATCGATTATGATCCAGTTGACGGTCAAATATATTGGACTGACGATGATGCCAAAGCCATCAGACGAGCTTATTTGAACTCATCAAAATTAGAAAATATCATCAATTCTGATCTTCATCATCCAGATGGAATCGCAATTGATTGGATAGCTCGCAATCTTTATTTAACTGACACTGGTACAAACACTATTCAAGTCTCTCGTCTCGATGGTTCTTACAGAAAAACACTGATATCAACCAACCTCGATGAGCCAAGAGCTATTGTTGTCAACCCATGGAAAGGTTTAATGTTCTGGACTGACTGGGGGTCAGACCCAAAGATCGAAAGAGCTTCTCTTGACGGATCTATGAGAGAAAAAATTGTTTATACGGACATCGCTTGGCCAAATGGACTTGCAATCGACATAGAAGACGAAAAAATTTTTTGGGCTGATGCCAAAATGGACCGAATTGAAACTTGTGATTTTAACGGTGGTTCTCGTAAACTCTTACTCGATCGTGTCCCTCATCCATTTGGACTCACGGTTTTGGAAAATTTTGTCTACTGGACTGATTGGAATGAAAGAGCCATTCACCGAACAGATAAGAGAATCGGAGGAAAACGAGAAGTTATCATTGATTCACTTCCAGATATGATGAGTCTTAAAGCCATTTCTATGAATCAAGAATTAGGTATGTCTATTTGATTTATTTTTCTTATCGAACAACAAATAATTTTATCTCTGTTTTTCTATTCAGGTTTAGATCTTGATCTCGCTTGCAGCAAATATAACGGAGGTTGTCAGCAATTGTGCCTTGACAGACACCAAAATCCTTATACTTGTTCCTGTGCTAATGGATGGGAGCTCGATTTTGATCAAAAATCGTGCAAAAGAATTAAATTAACTACACCTGTTCCTAAGATTGAAACTACATTTTTATCGTCGATCTCTAATTCGAGAAAACCGTGTCCTGATGATCGCGTTGCCTGTGTTTCTGGTTTAATCGACTGTGTTTCGTCAAATCATATCTGTGATGGAGAGCTTGACTGTTCTGATGGGTCAGATGAAGTCAATTGTTGTCCTCATGAGAAAATCGTATGTCCTTCTAATCCAAATCTTTGTCTCGATTTAAAGACAATCTGTGGCCAATACTCACCTTGCACTGCCTTAACGCCCGAATTAATTGAAATGTGTGAAAAATTTCGTGTTTCAACTTTATCTATACCTTCATATTCTGGATCTCCAATGTCTGCATCTGTATCATCTTCACAATCACCCTCATCATCCTCATCTTCATCATCATCCTCATCATCTTCATCATCAATATCAACCTCACCTTCATCCAATGTTAATAACTTGATTTCAAATAACGGATTTCCCATACTCGGAATCATCGCTGCGGTACTAATAGTCTTCGTGCTATGTTGTTTCGCATTCAGAATGACTTCCCAATCAGTTCACCAACCTTTAAGCAAAGACCCTCCATTTACAATGCCGTTGATGCTTCATTCAATCGACGGACATGGGTCGCAATGTCCTGATTCGAGGATAACACCTCAGCCTTACACACCACAAGCAACTGTACCAATATCTTCCCCACCGCCTGATCTCTTAATGTCGGACTCTAACTTGGACTCTAGCCGATGTGAAACCAATTCTCTTTCAGGAATCGAGTCCGTTAGTCGTCATTATCCACTCGTCCCACCTCCAAGTCCTGCCACAAATGTATCCCGAAGCAGTTACGCAACATGGAGATATGATAAAAATCAACCAAGTGAATCGTATGAAGTTTATTAGAGATGATAAAATAATAAAATAATTATTTATGGTTTAATGTATAACCAACACTTTTAAAATGATCATTGATTGTTTTTTTTATGATACCTGTCGTATCGCATCTAATTATTATCTCAAGCTCAATTAACAATATAAAAGAATCAATTAACATATACCAACAATAATTATGATTAATTCAAGTGAAACATCAACTTGTCGAATATGTTTTAAATCGTCAGAGAAATTGATGACTCCTTGTTTATGTCGAGGTGTTTTTGCTTTCGTTCATCAATCATGTTTGGCTCATTGGTTGGAGGAAACTAAATCCGAGTATTGTGATATATGTCGATTTAAGTACAAAACAATCAAATGTCCAAAAAATTTAGTTGATTGGATCACCAAACAAACCAGAGAAAGACATGATTACATTTCCTCGATTGTTGTTTACGTTTTTCTGTTGTACTTCCTCACATTTGGTTCGATCATTTGGTTTCACAGTTTAGGTAAATTTCATTTCTAACATTTCATTCAATCAAATTGGTCCAAATAATTGTCACTAATTCGTCTTCTCTTTATCACTTCAGGTCGAATCAATATTGCCTTGACCCTTTTGCTGCTTCTGGTCACTTTATGTTTGGGAACCCTCACTCTCACTTCACTTTGCTCATTCCTTGGTGAGGAATTTATTTCATACAGAAAGTGGATTAAAAGTAACTTCAGGATCACAGTTCTTAACAATCCGGATAATAAAGTTGAACCACCGACACCACCGAGAAGAGTAGTGAGGTCCAGTGGTGTGTCCAAGGGAAGTCGAGAGCTCAATTACAAGTCATCTTCATCTTCAGAAGGACTTTAACAACAATGGAATAAGTGTTTAAGTCCAAAATGAATTTATTTAAATGTGAAAAAAGAAAAAATAGAAAATTATTAGAATCCAAGAATCAAGGGTTTCCATCGGTATTATTTTATCAAATTAGAAATTAGTGATGAGACAAGATTAAACGATTACAATATTCTTAAGCCTTTCGGTATTCACTGATTTGATTTAATCTTTGGTGTTTATCATTGACATGATGTGATCCTTTCGACCTTTATTCCTGGTAACAGAATAGTGGCAATAAGGTAATGGTAAGTGTACTTTAAAGGATAAACCACCAAAGTGTAACAAAATAGAATAAAAGTTATGAAAAGAAAACAAAATGGCCCAAATTGAGGCTTTTCCTCGTCTATGGTTGATAAAGTAGCTGAAAATGTTGTTGATGTTGGTGTTTGAGGAATTTCATCCATAGAAGCATCAATGTCAAATCGAACTCGAATTGGTTGTTTTCTTTCAGTTGACGTGATTGGAGATCCTGATTGACGATAACGATTCAACATGTTATTTGGAGGCACAATTGGTGATAAGTGTTCTAATGATGTATCAATGGGGTGGATCAAGTTAACTAAATTTAATCTTGATTCGGTCAAATTATCCTTGTCAAATATCTCAGAACAAACATCAGCTCCAGGAAGAGGATTTGAGAAATTTAAGTCACCACCATAACTTAAGATTGTTTTCATATCCTCATAATCGTTTTCCTTGCGAACCATTTTCTGAGTAATTGCTTCCTTTTCCTTCTTCAAGTGATCAATCTCTTCTTTCATAGCTTTGTTTGTAGAGCGATAATCTTCAAGCTCTTCTCTCAGCTCTTCATTTTTCACTATTTCACTTTCCAAATTATGTTGAACATGACCGATTTCATGTCGTAGCTCCTTTTCACGTTTTCTTGCCAATTCGAGTTCCTTCCGAATCCGTTCCGTCTCTTCTCGAGCTTGAACAAGCACATCCTTCACCTCATTCAGCTGTTTCTTGTGGGAATTTAAAGATTTGTCAAGACGCTTTTGAGCTTCAATATGTTGAGCACAATTTTCTTTAAATTCATGGATCTCTGCTTCTTTTTCTGTTGAACACGAGAAGAAACAATAAAACAAAATGTCAGATTTGGATAAGAGAAAAATGAAATAAAAGAGAATTTAATTTACCTTCGATGATGATATCAATCTTTGCTTGTAAATGTCGACAATGACTTTCCAATTGAGTCTTTTCTTGTTCAGCAGCTACAAGTCGATTCTCAATTGATTGAATTTCCTTGGACAAAGTATCATTCAGACTTTTCAAATTGTCATTAAAATATTTCAATTCTTTGACTTCTTCACTTAAAATGTCAATTAGCTTTATTGGCTCCATGGGTCATAATCATCAACTGAAAGAGAACATTAAACAAAAAAGAAAAGAATAGAAAAGAATATAACGTGATTATCACTAAACAAGAGAAAATTTAAATTAGAGTAGATTAAAGGTTTAAATTGTTTGCGATTAGAATCAAATTATCAAGAGATTGGCTTAAAAAAGATAAACAAGTAAAGAAAAATTGATAAAACTGATTAGATTTGATCACAAAGAGAAGGCAAATGTTAGAGAAATTAAAGTAACAGGTTGACAGAAGATGTTGAGCTGAACAAGAGGAAAAGGTAAATGATGATTAAGCAATCAAATGATGATGGAACAAATAATTACATTTGATGATAGAGATTATGTTGAGTTGGTGATTCGATTGTTAATTTAATGAACTTAAACGAAAACCTTTTTCTATATTAAAAATGGAAGACAAAGGAAAATGTCAATAGCTTTGAAATTATTCCTTCGGTTGTTGATTAATTCACAATTAATGTTGATCAGTTTTCTTCAAGTTTTATTTCACTTTGTTGGTAATCAGACTGAATCTTTGTCACTGAGAATAAAATAATCGACTGTTGAATAAATAAAAAAATAGATTCAATCTAATCTTAAACAATTGAAACAATTAAATTCTCATCGGTTAATTGAAAATCAATGTTACCCTTTTCTTTTTTTCTTTTCTCCACCCAAAGGGGATCATCTTATCAACGGTTTTTTTTGTTCTTTTCTATTTCAATGTCTCATCAGATAATCTAATTAAATTGATTCGATTGGTTAAGGAAACTGTTGCTTCTAATTGTTGATTTGAATGTTTCCACAAATTGTTACTCGAATTACTTGATTGTTCTCATACAAATTCAATCCTGTGAGAACAATTATCAATACAAATATAAGTTTTCCTTCCGCGACAAAATGAGAAACCCAATTAATTTGGTCTCTTCTTTTTTCCTAATTAATTGATTCCGAAATTTTAGATGTTAATTTACTAACAATTACCAATTTAAACAACAATTCGAGAGAAAACCAAAGCCTTGAAAAGGAAAACAAGAGATCAAGTTAATTGATCGTTTCTATTGTTGGACAAATCAATTCTCTTTCAACTAATTACATTATTAAACTACAATTAACTTATCCTTTCCAACAATAAAAACAAAATTGTATTGACAAAATTTAATTGAAAGAAACAAAAGATTCACTTAATTGTATTAACCGTTTCGTGGTGATTGATAATTTTTTAGTGGTTTTAAAGTGAATCTTTGATTAGGGTAAGACAAATAATCTTGAAACTGGTTAATGATAATCTGAAAATTAATCTAAATTAAATTGTTCTCGTTTCTCTTGATTGGATTAACTAAATGCAATTTCAATTCGTTCCCCAGGACACAACTAGTGCCATCTACCTACAGGGTAATGAGAGAACAACAATAATGGGGGAGAGATTTTTGTTCCCTGCGCAGTGAACGAAATCCGATTGATTGTCTCGCTCTTTTCAATGTTAACTTGAATTCGCCGCCAGCGACTCGCGCAATTGAATCTCCACCCTCTTTATTTATTTTCTCATTACCCTGTAGGTTTGTTGACAATGATTCAACAACTATTTCATTTCATTAATTAAACAGCAATTCATTTTTTAAGTGATCATCTTTAAGTGTCGATTTTTGTAAATCATATTTTTTTGTGTCCACTATTAAACCCTTTGGATTATATCATGGCCGATAAGAAAAAGTAAGTTACATCGGTTTGTGTGTTTCCCTTTAAATTGTCTTCTTTAAATGTTTTTTAACCACCGACATGGGATCCGGAAGATTTGCCATTTCTTTCTTTCTTTATTTCTATTTTCTCCCTTTTCTTTTCTTTGTATTTTAAGCATCTTTTTTTTCGACAAAGAAATTTTTTCTCTTTTTGTTCTTGTCGGCTTTTCTCTTTTAATCCATTTGTGATTTGTTATCATTTGTTCTTTCTTTACCTTTCTCTTTCTTCAGCCCTGAGGATCTTTCTACTGCTATTCTGAAAACCAAAAATAAGCCCAACCGATTGATTGTTGAAGAAGCCACCAATGATGATAACTCGGTTGTTGCTCTTTCTCAGGTAATCAAGTTGTTTCAATTTATTTTTGTCTATTTCTTCCCTCTTTCCTTAGTTCATCTTTATTGATCATCTTTGCTTTTTATTTTCCTTCATGTTGCTTCCAGTCCAAGATGGATGAGTTGGAGCTTTTCCGTGGAGATACAGTCCTTTTAAAAGGTAAAAAGAGGCGAGAAACTTGCTGCATTGTCTTACAAGATGATGCTTGTGCAAATGAAAAAATTCGTATGAACCGATGTGTTCGTAACAATCTCCGGGTCAGACTTAGTGATATTGTCACAATCCAACCTTACCCTGATGTCAAGTATGGTAAAAGAATTCATGTCTTACCCATTGATGACACTGTTGAGGGTATCACTGGTAGTTTGTTTGAGGTCTACTTGAAGCCTTACTTTTTAGAGGCATACAGACCTATTCATAAGGGAGATCTTTTCGTAGTTAGAGGTGGTATGAGAGCTGTCGAGTTCAAAGTAGTCGAAACTGACCCATCGCCTTTCTGTATTGTCGCTCCTGACACTGTCATTCATTGTGAGGGAGATCCTGTAAAACGTGAAGAAGAGGAGGATACACTTAATGCTGTAGGTTATGATGATATTGGTGGTTGCAGAAAACAACTCGCCCAAATCAAAGAAATGGTTGAACTTCCTTTACGTCATCCAAGTCTTTTCAAAGCTATTGGTGTTAAGCCTCCTCGAGGTATCCTTTTATATGGGCCTCCTGGTACTGGTAAAACTTTGATCGCTCGAGCTGTCGCCAATGAGACCGGTGCTTTCTTTTTCCTTATCAATGGTCCAGAAATTATGAGTAAGCTTGCTGGTGAATCCGAAAGTAATCTCAGAAAAGCTTTCGAAGAAGCTGAAAAGAATGCCCCAGCTATCATTTTCATCGATGAACTTGATGCTATTGCTCCAAAACGTGAAAAGGTAGGATTAGTCTCATTTCTTAATTATTTCTCAATCTTTTATTCATTCAATCATTATGGTAATTTTGTTATAGACTCATGGTGAAGTCGAAAGACGTATTGTCTCTCAACTTCTTACTCTTATGGATGGATTGAAACAACGAGCTCATGTCATTGTTATGGCAGCTACCAATCGACCCAATAGTATCGATCCTGCTCTTCGTCGTTTTGGTCGATTTGATCGTGAAGTTGATATTGGTATCCCTGATGCCACTGGCCGACTAGAAATCTTAAGAATCCACACAAAGAACATGAAATTAGCTGATGATGTTGATTTGGACAAAATTGCCGCTGAAACTCATGGTTTTGTTGGTGCTGATTTGGCTGCTTTGTGCTCTGAAGCTGCCTTGCAACAAATCAGAGAGAAAATGGATCTTATTGATCTTGATGATGATCAAATAGACGCTGAGGTCCTCAGCTCACTTGCTGTCACAATGGACAACTTCAGATGGGCCTTAGGAAAGAGTAGCCCAAGTGCCTTGAGAGAAACTGTAGTTGAGGTACCTAATGTCACATGGGCAGATATTGGTGGTCTTCAAAATGTTAAACATGAACTCCAAGAAATGATTCAATATCCAGTAGAATATCCTGACAAATTTTTGAAATTCGGTATGACTCCTTCAAGGGGAGTTCTTTTCTATGGACCACCAGGTTGCGGTAAAACTCTTTTAGCCAAGGCAATTGCTAATGAATGTCAGGCTAATTTTATTTCCATCAAGGGACCTGAGCTACTTACTATGTGGTTTGGTGAATCAGAGGCTAACGTTCGGGATGTTTTCGATAAGGTAAAGTTTAACCCTTTAAATCCTTAATTCATTTGTTAGTGACCTCAAATCTCTTGTTCTTTCAGGCGAGAGCTGCTGCTCCTTGTGTACTTTTCTTCGATGAGTTGGATTCTATCGCCAAAGCCAGAGGTGGTAGTGTTGGTGATGCTGGTGGAGCTGCTGATCGAGTTATTAATCAAATTCTTACCGAAATGGATGGTATGGGTAGTAAAAAGAACGTATTCATCATCGGTGCTACCAATAGGCCCGATATTATTGATCCAGCTATTCTTCGACCTGGTCGATTGGATCAACTTATCTACATTCCTCTTCCTGATGAAAAATCACGAGAGTCCATTCTCAAGGCCAATCTGAGAAAATCACCAATTGCTAAAGACGTTGATCTCACCTACGTCGCTAAAGTCACTCATGGTTTCAGTGGAGCTGATTTAACTGAAATCTGTCAACGCGCTTGTAAATTAGCTATTCGAGAATCTATTGAAGCTGAAATAAAAAGAGAAAAGGAAAGAGCTGCACAACCAGAGGGAGCTGCCATGGTGAGTCTTTAACTTGATTATAACATCTCTCTCGATCAAAGGAAAATTTCCTGCATTTTTCTTCCTTAAACTCCTTAATCGTTAAATATTTGAATGTTATGACCTTGATCACATTTTCCATTTTATTGCTATTCACCTCATAGCACTTTGAATATCTTTAACCTTGTTCTATTTTCTGCTGAAACTTTTCAATCTTGGTTCTGGTTGATTGTAATCGATAGGGTCAAGTCAAACTTGCAGTCGAAGTCTATAGTTTATATTCAGCTAATCCTTTGATTCCTTGAGAAATGAAATTTAAAGATCATTTGACTAATAATTTTTCACCCTGCAGGATGTGGAAGAAGTTGACCCCGTTCCTGAAATCAGAAGAGAACACTTTGAGGAAGCTATGAAATTCGCTCGACGATCAGTCAGCGATAATGACATTCGAAAATACGAAATGTTTGCCCAAACCTTACAACAAAGCCGAGGTTTTGGAACTAATTTCAGGTATGTTATCCAATTAAATAAAATATCATTTTCTGCAGAATGTTTACTCTTGAGCGCTCATTGAAGAGCTTTATTCTTATTTCGAATCTAACTTATTTCTATTTTTTTTTCTTGATCAGATTCCCATCTGGAACTCAACCTTCATCCGGTGGTCCAACAGGGTCTGATAATCGAGGAATCGGGGATGACGGTGATGATGATTTATACAGTTAAAGAGAGAATGGTACGAAAAGAAAATGAAAAATCAATACTTTACAAACTAAATCAAATTAAAAACAACATTTAATTACATGAATAAATAAAATCAAGATAATATCACCAAAATTTGCAGAAATGAAATGATGAAATTCGAAAAGATTTAAGTTTTAATACTTTTTTAATTTATCAATATGAAAAAATTAAAACAATCTTAATAACACAGTTATAAAAAGAACGAAGTTAAACACAAAATGATTAACAAGCAAACAAAATTTAAATTGATTTATGAAAAAGTTAATCTTTTTGAATGAATGTAAGTCACAATTTAAAAGTAAATTTAAAACATGAGCAGTGGTTTTGTCGCAATTAAGCAACAACGATATGAAGAGCATCTTGAATCTTTGCAAAAATTTCTCTCTTGTGTTCGGATAAGAAGCTACGATGATCCCCAGAGAAATGATGGATTGTTACGTTTCCTTCAACAATCTAAACAAAATCAAAGAAATGAAAGTAATTAATCAACTGATTACTGAACCCAATCGATGAACAACTTACCTCTGCTAATCCAAGTTCCTGTTCATTAGCCTCTTTAAAGGCTTTTCCATATCCTTCCGTCGCTTTGTAAACGGTGACATTTCCCGCGAGCTTCCTCTTGGTCTTGTAGTAGTACATCATCTTCATTTTTCTGAAATATTGATTAGCTGCGTAAGTGAGTAAACTTGGATCGATTGTAATTCCAGTTTTCGATTCAATTAAATCATTGATCTTTTTGGTTCTCTCCTCTCTCGTTGGTAGATTAAGTAGAGTCGCTCGGAAAGAATTAACATTTTCGAAGGCGAATAAAGAAGAGACGAAAGATATTAACATGTCCAAATGAGCTTCGTCTTCTGAAACGATTTGATTTCGTTTGACTAACTCGGAACAAGCGGCTTTCAAGAAATCAGGGGCTGAATCGAGAAGAATCAATTGTCGAATACATTCTTTACCCATTACTTGTTGTAGTTGAATAGCGACTTCGAAGGCCACTAATCCTCCGAAAGAGTAACCGATAAAATCGAAACCGTTTTGATTTGGTGCTTTTTCTCTGATTTTAGCTGAATAATAGGCACCGATTTGCTCTAGAGTTTCAAATTGATCTAAATCGCGAGTCCAGTTTATACCGAGAACTGGACGATCAAGTTCACTAAGAATTGGAATTAAAAGGTTGAAATCTCCTTCGATTGGAGGGAAGACGAATATCGGGACACCGGTGCATTCGACGATATTGTAGAAAATGCTTTCAGGGGGTTTGAGATTAAATAACGGAGTTTCTGATGTTTTATCTCCACCAGAACTATTGGAATTAACTTTGATTTTCGAAATCCTTTCTTCCAAATCTTGAATCTCTTTAACTTTGAGATTACGAATTTCTTGAGTTGATAAAATTGTATCATAATCACGTTCTAATCCTTGTTTGATTTCAACGGCCATCAAAGAATCGAGACCAAGTTCGGATAATGTGACATTCGGATCCAAAGAACCGGGATCTTTGACACCGATAATGTGACAAACGGTTCGGAAAAGATTTTCTTTCGATGCTCCTGATACTTTTTTAGCGTCGGCGAGAACTATTGACGAAGTCACCATGTGACCTGATTGAATGAATTTATCTAGAACTTCGAGACAAGATGGAATTCGCTGCGGTACTGTTCCTCCCAGAACAACTTGATTGCCTCCAAAGTTTTCAGCGACCACACCAACATCACCAATGGCTCCCCATTGAACGGCGAGTCCTGGATGACCTGAGGCCCGACGATCTTCACAAATACGCTCCATAAATGAATTACCGAAGCCATAATTGGTTTGACCTGGATTACCTTTACCCGAAGCGACTGATGAGAAACAGACGAAATAGTCCAAAGATGGACAAGTAGCTCGAGAAAGTGAGTCCAAGTAACGAGTGGCCTTTATTTTTGGTCCACATACTTTTTCAAACGTTTCCTCTGATTGATTTTCAAAGATGGCGTCACCAAGTACCATGGCAAGATGGAAAATACCGCCGACTGGAGCTAAATCAGTGGCTTCTTCAATTAAAGCGGCGGCAGAAGCATAAGTCAGTCCATTGTTGGTGGAGACTACGATTGATCGATCGGGGTCTGATCGAAGTTTTGAAAGAACGAAATGTTGATAAGGTTCTCGAGGACCTGATCGTGAGGTTAGAACCAAATTCATGGCTCCTCTCTCGACCATCCAAGACGCCAATTCTAAACCAACACCACCAAGACCTCCAGTGATGATGTAAGACTTTTCTGGGCTGAAATAAGTTCGAGCGATACAAGAAAATAATCGTGATGAGGTTCGAGCATCTTCACTCTCATCTCTCATTTTAATCAGAACTTTTCCCATGTGTCGACCATTGGCCATAAAACGAAAAGCTTCTTCTGCCTGGTCCATAGGGAAAACGACGGGTGATAATGGGACAACTTCCCCAGATTCGATACCTCGAGCCATCATGTAGTAAAGTGTATCATTCATTTGGATTCCCGATTGGGTTTTGAAAACAAAACTGTCTTGTTGTAAATGAGCGACACAAACTCCATGATAGGTTCGATTTCCTTCCAGAACAGTTTCCTCTGTGAAAATAAAGTAAACATTTAATTTTCTTTCATGATGATCAATTGTTTTTATAGAACTTACCTAAAGGATTGTTTTGGATGATATCGTATTTACCGATCTCAAGGAAACGTCCAAATTCAGCGAGACACCTCACAGAAGCTTTGAATTTATCCTCAGATAATGAATTGAGAACGATATCAACACCATAACCATTTGTTTCTTTCATTATTAATTCTTCGAAAGATGTTGATCGAGAATCACCAATATGTGAGTCATCTAATCGCGGGAACATTTTCTTGATGAATTCACGTTTAGCTTGAGTACCAACTGTGGTGAAAACTTCGCAACCTCGAGCCAAACAAACTGAAATAGCTGCTTGACCAACTCCTCCAGTTCCAGCATGAATAAGTACTTTCTCTCCAGGTCGAAGGTTACCTCGGATAAAGAGAGCGTAATAAACGGTGGCATAAACCACTGGGACGGTGGCCGCTTGTTCCAGTGTCCAAGACGAAGGCACCTCGATCATGAATGATTCCTTACGATTGGTGACAACAGAACTCGCTGTTCCCATGACGTTACACATTCCAGCGACTCTTTTGCCTGATTCTTCACAGATACCAGCGTATTCCATACCAATGATACATTCTTGTTTCATGTCTTCAGGATAAGCGTCCAAGGGAATTCGTCCAGTCGCGACCATGACATCTTTGAAATTCAGAGATGAATAGTAAATATTTACTAATTCAGTTCCTTTTTTGGCCAAATGAGGAGGCATTTGATTCCAGATATCATGAGGTGACTGATGCCACCGAAGTGAAGATAAATCTCCTTTTTGAGTGACATCCAAGTAAATATGTTTAGCTTGGGTCATCGGAGTTTCAGCAGGATCGATAATGTGATGACGGTATGAGCCCAATTTACCATTTTGAGTGACATTAATCACTAAATCAGTTTCAATTAGCCGTTTAGATAAAAGATCTTGAGCTGATTGTAAATTGTTTGTCTCATCTGATTGCGATATATTATACAAACATCTAATCTGATCACCTCGAGGTTCTCGACGTAAACAGTTGACCATACCAAGGATTCCGTTAATTGGCTCGTTTGTGTCAGCAATTAACCAAACTTTTTGTTCAATTTCACTGAGTAACATTGTTTTCAAACTTTCAACCCATTTAAAGTCATTAGTTGATACAACTAATGAAGCATAATTAGTTGGTTGTGGTGGTTTACGAAGCAAAATTGATTGTAATTGTCCTGAAGAGCCCATGGTTGTTGAAATGACCTGTAAGCCGACGGAAGCAGCTTCGTCTTCAGTGATTTGGTCTATGGATAAATTAACTTGAGGCAAATCAAGTAATGAGCTGATTGTGTCTTCGATTGAGTAACTATTAAGACGGAAACAAAGTAAAGCAAATCCACCATTTCTTAGGTTATTTGAACAGTAGGACAAAATTTGCCCAACAGGAGCTTTCTGATTGCATGAGGATGTTTGAACTAAGGGTTGAACTCGAACATCTTTGTAAATAATTAAATCACAAGTGTCAATTTCTGGTAAATGTCCAGATCCAATTGAGCCAGGGATGATTCTGGCTTGAGATGCAGAGATTGTCACTGATTCTGGTTCAGGGTGAACTAAATTAACTTTTGCACGAATTCCCAATGACGATATTGAATCAGAAATTGTTTCAGCAAGTAAAGCAAAAGTTTCGTTAATTTCAGTGATGATGATACTTTTGGAAGGTAAATTTTCAACAACAAGGCCAATTTGATCTTGAATCAGCTGATTAATAGAAGATTGTGAAACTAAAAGATCACCGGACAATTGTTCTCGATTTGCTTCCAATGATTTAGATAATCGCTGAACAGGAGACGAATCAGTTTGTTCAGTTGAATCTAGAGATTGATAAAGTGATTGGAGTAAAGCTCCTTCATCGCCTTTAGTTGATTCGAGGTATTTTTTGATATTTGAATCGTCAAAATTTTCAACGGGTTTGGTTAATTGTTGTAAAGTGTTTGAACACATTTCGATATATTGTCCAATCTTTTTTTCCAATTTCAAGTTGGGTTGAAGCGATTGATTGAAAGGTGAGAACTCATATGATTCAAGAAGAACCGATTGATTGTTTTGCCTTCTCGATACTGATGTGGCCTTGGCACCTTTCAGAATCATTCCCGAAGTTACACCGAGCTTAGCTTGATGGTCGAAATAGACATCCATACAAGCCTCGCCTCCCGAACCAGTTCTGGCCTCGTCGATTGATGCAAACAAAATTGTTGGATCAACTCGAAGATATTCAATGAATGTTGGCAAATAAAGGTAACGGTGCTTTTTGGCAAGAATGGCACATTGAAGAAGAGCATCTGAAAAGGATACCCAATGATCCAAAAATTTAACGGTGCCGTGAGATCCATCGGAAAGTGCATCGACTAATCCTTGGAAAGTTGGTCCGTAATCATAACCTCGAAGTCGAAGTTCTTTGTAAATATCTTTTGTCTTCAAACTGATTTTATCTTTCGTGTCCAATTTGGACGAAATGGTTGTCATCATCGATTGGTACAATGGAATCGCTCCGGATGGGATTTTAATCTCTCCTGAAACTACAATCGCATCGCCATCGGTGACTTGAAAAGCGTTTGTTTGTAAATTGATGTGAACACCAAAAGTAACTGGTGCACTTTTTGGTAACAATGTGGCCTGAATGAAACGAACATTACGAAATTCAACTGGGACGTTGATTCCATGGATACCATTAAGTCGACCAAGATAATGCCAAGCGAGATAAAGGTAGCATGTCGCAGGGACCAGCACGCGACCATCGATACAATGTCCCTCCAAGAAAGCCCATTCGGGAGACATCGCTTCGATTGAATAATTGTTGTTCGATTGGATGAAATCAAAATATTCGGGGTATTTACAAACTTTCCATGTCTTCGAATGGTCCCATCGGAGGAGATGACCGATGTGAGGTGTTTCTCGAGGAACAGGGTAAGATACTGAAGGATAGAGACGGTCAATCCTTGGGTACTGACCAGTTGTATAAAGTTCACCCAATGCTGATAAAAGGGAATGAGTTGTGTTTCCATCCGAATTTGATTTAATCATCGGAACAACAAGTTGACTTGATGTTAACGGTAAACCGAATGAGTTACTTGGTGTAACGATTGCAGCGTCAATCGGTAATTTGGACATAATTGATTCGATTGATTCGTTTGTCGTTGTTGTTGATGATCGACCAATCAAATAGTTAACAGTTATTTCAGTTAATCCATTTGATTGAATTAGTTTATTTGCTTTACCAACAACTGATGAGCCCAATATGCTTGTCATTTGATCAGTTCGTTGATTAGTAGATGCTGATAAATTGGATAACCAGTAACCTGATAGTAAAGCCTGATTTTTGTTGATAATCTCATCTGAGTAAGCGGCAACTAGTTCACCAATATAGTCGACTCCAAAAACGCCTGAAGGGGTTAAATCAAGATGTTTAAATAAATCAATTAAAGCCAATTGAATCACGAGTGATTTAAGTGATTGTCCAAGTGAATCTTCATTGTTGTTTGTTGTAAGAAGTGTTTCTAAATCGTAATTAACTTTTTCTCGTAACAAAGAAACTGAGCTTTGTAATGATGTTTGAATTACAGGGAATTCAATCAATTCTTTGGACAATTCAGTAACGAAAGTAGAGCCTAAGGCGAAGTAGAGTGGCCTTGATTGTTGCACATCTTTAACAACCCGTTTGGCGATCCCATCAGCAGTTAATATAACATAACCTCGAGTTTTAAATCCTTGTTCAGGTTTAATTTTAGCAGTGTCGTTAACTATTTGGAGTAACCCTCGGTTAACCTCCTTCCTGTTGGTCTCAAAGAAATTAAAAAGTAAATTAAGCCCTTCGGCTGTTCGGTTAGATGAGTTGATTAGACGGTCAATTGGTTCAGTTAAATTGTAACTTTCTTCATTTACATTTTTAGAATTTGCTTGAATAACAGCGTGGACATTGACACCTCCGAAACCGAAAGAATTGACCGCGATGTATTCATCTTTGAACGGGGTCACCTGTGTCACTGGCTTAATTATGCCATCAACTAATTGCTTGATGTTAGGATTAGGTGACTTGTAATTAAGATTCGGGGGAATGCAACCTGCCTGCATAATCTTGCTGACCTTTGCCAATGAACAAAGAGCTGAAGCTCCTTCAGAATGACCGATTGAGGATTTAAGGCAACCGAACATTATTGGTTTAGTTGAGTTATTTGGCCTCAAAGTACCAACAATGGCCGCTGATTCAACGGGATCACCAGCTTGAGTACCAGTAATATGAGCTTCGACATAATCAATATCCTCGGGATCAACATCGATCTCTTCATAAACCTCTTTGAGTAAATTGTACTGAGTCTCATAACCGGGGAAAGTTATACCTTCTTGTTTATAACCATCACAATTAGTGCGACAATTAAGGATTTTACCGTAGATTCTTTTAGCATCTGACTCTCTTTCTAATAAGAGGGCGACTACGGCCTCAGAACGACAATAGCCATCGGCTGAAGCATCGAGGCACTTTGAGGTTCCATCAGGTGATAACATTTTCAATTGAGCAAATGCATTGGCGATAGCGGGACGAAGTTGAACTGCGACTCCAGCGATGATACAACGATCACAGGCGCCTGATTTAATTGACAATAAACCTTCAACGAATGATGAAAATGACGAGGCACACGCGGTATCGATCAAAACAACGGGACCTCTCCAATCGTATGCATATGAAATACGAGAAGCAAATGAATGGTATGGACGAAGCTTAGAATCGTCTTCACGATAACCTGCTAATGTGTCGTCGTAACAAGAACCCAAGAAAAATCCAGTCCGAGATCCTCGAAGATCATTTGGATCATGACCTGATAATCGAGTTGAAGATGATTAATGGACGAAAAAAGTGATTCATTAATATCATATAACTGAACATATTCCTTAATCACCACTAATAATTTGGTATAAATACATAGTGAGCGTTTAAAATGAGTGAAAATTTCAACATTTCGCCAACAACAATTAAACAATTTGATCAAATTAAACATAAATTATAATAATTTGGTAAAGAGAAATTTCATTCATAAGTTAGTTTGGATTAATTGTCTTTCAGCACTTGTTATACTTTTAATTTACTCGTGACGATAATGATAATCAATGAGAGATTAAATTAACCCAAACATATGATAATAATCAATGTCCTCTCATGTAACTTATTAATGTTAATTGTCTTAATTTTCATGTGAAAATTTTGATTAACGACTTGAAACCTATGATTAAAATATCGAAGTTTCTGTTTGGGTCAGTTTTTAATGATTTAATGGTCAATCTGAACTTGATGTAATTGTTAAAATGATGATACAGTTTAGATCAACTTACAACTATTAAGGTCATGATATTACAATAGTAAATTAACTTTCTCTTAATTTCCGGACAATTTAAATTTTGACAACAACAGCACCAAACTGACCTGAAGATGAGATAATTATATTAACAACAATCGACAATTTAATCAGTAACAGGAATAGGAAACACCATTAAAGACAGAAGCTGAAGACAATTAAGAGCAAAGAATTAATTTCATCCGCATAATAATGAGGATAATATGGGTTCGCAATAAAGTTGATTAGTTAATAGAGATTAAAGATAATCGAATCGTAACCTTGGATAATAAAGATCAATTAAATAATTTAAATTCTACTTGAGACAATTAACTCGACAATCAAAATCAATTTCTTATTCCATTTCAACTGTAGGATCAATTATGTTTTCATGAGATCTCAACGTATCAACCAATTATAATAACAATCATAATCACAACAATTAGCTGATTGTTGAACCAGGTCATCGCCGGAAGGAATGAGTAAAATAAATAAGATACAATTGATTGTTAGGAAAACACGCAAACAACAGTAACAAAATTATCGAAACACAATTGTTGAAATTGCGAACCGATAACGGTAATTATTTGCTCGAACTTTTCTCCCGTTCGAGTTTTAATTTGATCAATTAGATTGTTGGACTGTTGGGTGGCAATGTTATTAATCGTAAATTATTGATAATTGATTGTTACCTGCGTCCCAAAGAGCCTCGTAAACGACTTCATGAAGTAAACGCATCTGAGGATCCATGTCATGAGCCAATGAAGGATCGATGTTGAACATTTCGGCATCAAATTTACTTATATCCTTAATTTTACCTGTATTTGGTGGCAAGTTAATCAATTCTGGAATGATTAAGAAAGGGAGAAATTAGTTGATTCAGTTATAAATATATATCAATTATTAATAGTATCACATTCAGCTGAGTGCAAAGGTTTAAAAATACAACATGAAGAGTCTGATTTTGAGACATCGCCCTGGAGGCATTTGTATGATGAGAATAAAAAAGAAATTAATTCAAATTAGAAACAATTAACTCTGATTGTGATTATTTAATATCATATCTATGCATATGTGTGAGTTAATCATGTTTAATTTATTGCAATTACGAGATAACGATCATAACGATTAAATTGAGATTCTTATCATTAGTGATTAAGCTGAAAAATGAACACAAATTAAAAGGTGATAAACTTGACACTCGATGATTGAAGCTAATAATTGATTAGATTTGGATAACAATTAGAAGAGCTTGTTGTTGATTAGTATGAGATTAGAAATATTTGAAAATCAAATAATAATAATAATCAAATGATATTTTGTTTATCTAACGATAATCAATTGCATCGGAATGAAAGATGATAATTGAAATTGATAATATTATCGATAGTTAATCAATTGCAATTCTCAGATAAGTTAATTGTTATTTCTCGGTCAAAAAACGTTATACAATCATCGTTGACCAAACTACTAATTAAATAATAATATGGAGGAATACCAATAGTAAAAGTGTTACAATCAACTAATCATCTGACTAAATTACCAGAAAATAATGATAATGATTAAAATTGAACTTCAGGAATGAATCAACTAATCGAAATCAACACTTCCTCGTCCTCTTTTCTCAACTATCACCTTAATCATGGTCAAAATTTGATGATTAAATGAGCGTAGAGATTTTTAATCACCGTCATCAGCATCATCATCATTTGAATAATCTTCTTAATCACAATCAAACTAAAATTCACGTTTTGATTCAACTTTCTCTTCCTGACAATATACAATTTGAATTAACTTATAAATATATCTAATTCATTCATTAAATTGTACACGATTTAACCAGTTTTCATCTAAATAACAATTTAATTCAACGAAAACTGGTTAATCATAATCAAAAATGAGTGTTAAGAGTAGCCTGAAGGTAAATCATTTTACCTTTAGTTTTAAATTGTTGTTGTTTTTAAGTTAGTATTACAATCAAGCTACCAAAGTTTATTAACCAACATAAGCCACAATTTAACTGGAATTAAATCAAAGTTAAATAAACTTAAATCTGGTTCAATCTATTGATCATTTGAACAAATTGTTGTTACTCAATAAACAAAAAAATCAAAAGGTAGACAGAATTAAAATTAAATATGAAAGAAAATAAAAATAAAAAAATTTACTTGATTAACGGTAATTTGAGCCTCGGGCGATTAACTAACAACTAACATCTTCCGCAATTGTAATCATAATGATTATCATTTAAGTTGATGATTTAATTAATCTTTTTTAACCTACTACCCATTGGGTCATCTTAATTAACCTGTAAGCAATTTGATTGTTGAAACAAAAATAAAATTAGCTAATGAATTATAAACAAATAAACAAACAAAAAAGTTTTATCACTAATTACAATTTAAAAAACATCCTAATGATTAAAAGTGGGAATCAAATTATTGATTAATCACTTAATTTGCGAGATCATTTCACTTAATTATCATTGTTATTAAGGTTATTAAGTTAATCTTGTTGAATCGATTCGATTTGAATCATTTGAATCAATTTCTTTTTAATTAGTAACAATTAATTTAATGACCTTTACTAACTACTAATTGTTGACCTTAGCTGAACCCGCGTTGATTAGTTAATCAACTGGATATTTGATCAAGGCTGAAAGCAATTTACTTTCGTCCATTATAATTGTCACCATTGTGATGACCTTTGATTTAATTATGATTAGTTAGTTGTCATAATAATGACAATGATATTTGGATACTAATTAACAGGAATCCCAAGTAATTTTGATTGTAATCAAAGTTTTTTTCTGGGAATCTGGAAACTTAATTGTTACATTAATCATCACAATGAAGGGAATTTGAATTAATTTTGTTTAAATTTCAAAGGTAAATTCCGGTCAATTACAATTAATATCATGGTTTTGGTTTTTGATTGTTTGATTAGTTTCAATTTAAAACCTATAATACAATTAATTGTCTTTAATTTAGTTCTAGAATTGGGAAGTTTATTCCTTAATTGTTGTTTCAATAAATTGTCCAAACAAAAGTTATCAACTATTCTAACAATTTACCAAGGACAGTTTTAATTGTTCATCGAATCAGCAAAAGTTACTGAGTAATTATTAATAAATTGTCGAAATGTTTTTCCTAATAAACTGATTGTTGAAATAATCAGAGGATTTAATATCGTTACTCCTCAAAATCAATAGATGGTCAAGTTGAATTGATGAAAATCAATTGTAAAAATTAAGTTCAAAAGTTCATTAAAACAATTAAAAGTTTATCACCAACACGAACCTTTTTGGTTTAAATTAACATCATTAGATGAACATGATTAATAATATGTTTTACTTTCAATATTAATAGTTGATTATTTGTCTATAAATGACAATTATGATTGGTTATACTTCAATGATAATTAACATGATTGGATTTAATTTGATCATGATGATCATAATCATGATTTTAACCAACAAAATCAGATTATAATTATAACATGATCATTAGATAATCATAGTTCTGATAATCAGATAATTGCAACTATCGTTTCAAAGACAAACAGCGATAAGTACATTGCATGGAAAAGTAATGATTAAGCTAATTGTTGAACAATCAAATGAGATAATCAAATATCTTGGAATGAATAGAAAAGTTCTGATCATGAATATTGAAAATCCTATCTTATCGATTGAGGTTTAAAGGGTTGAATAGGTTATCGCTTAAACCAATTAGTTGAATTGATTAACTTACTGATTGGCCAACGACGTGAATCCTTTGAATACATTGGTATTGAATTCATCAAATTGTTCCAGAGCTCTTCGACACTGTCTGCCTCTGGGAATCGACCGGAAGTTCCGGACATGACGATTGTATCATCGTACTTCCAGGTTATCTCATTGATACCCTTGGATTTACGTGACGACGACATTGTGAGTGGACGGAGCCAATTTCGCAGGGGTTCACTTGATTTCGGGGACAACGATCAAAGAGTCGATTGAAACTTGAAGAAAACACAAAGTAACTAAAAGTTTAGAAACAGTTGATAAGAGGATAAATCGTAACAAGAGAAAAAGAAATTCGACCAAATATACTTATTCAACTTTTCGAACTAAAATGAACGATTAAGTTTACCTGACATTTCTCTCCTTCTCTCTCACTCTCTTACTTTTTCTCACTCGTTCTTATTATTTCTCTCTATTAAACTCCCTCCTTCTTTTCATCATCTTCACTCTTTCAAGTTAATCTTGTCCCTCTTTTCACTCACTCACTCTCTCTCTCTCTCTTCTTTCTCTCCCTTGCTTAATCAACCCGAGATGATGATTTGGTTGACAATATTATCGGGATTAGTTGATTGGTACCAATCGGTCACAATGTGGATTAACAGCAATCAACGTAATTATTTTAATAGTTTATTGATGTTAATTTACCTGAAGAGGTAAAATGAGTTCCGAAAACAAAAAACTTTCACTGAGTTACAATTATTTGTTATTGTAACTAAATGTTAATTAGCTTGGTGATTTAGCTTCATCGGTGAGATAATTAACTCACTGAATAAAATTGATTAGATAATTGTGAGGATTTAACTAAATTTTCATTTTTTTCTTTCTTTTCTTTTCTTCCTCGTTATTAATTGTTTAACTGATTGGGTGATTTGACAACAATTTAACTCAATTGTTACAACTTATTATCATATTCATTTAATCAGGAAAACGATAGTCCCAATTACATGATTGGTAAATTTAATTCTAATCATTTCTATACAATTCATCTAACTGCCTATCATTGATTTAATTTCGTAGTTGATTATATCTAAAATTATCATCACAATTATAATTTGATTTTGTTGATTTTGTTGATGATTATTATCAAGACCGTGAAATCATCAAAATTAAATGATTATTTTCAATTGTTGATAAGGTTCAATCATTTTCTTTGACAATCAACTTTGATTGTTGAGCTTCGACTTTTTTTCCTGAATCAAAAAAGTTGTTGATTTGTGTTGATCGTTGATCGTTGATAGCTTATTTTTGGTGATTGTTGATATTTAATTGTTTGGCAATTGTCAAGATCATGTTCAACAATCAAAAATTGTTGACAAACATGGATTCAAGTGATAAGTAATTAAACAACAATATAATGGAAACAATCAACAACATCAAATCAAGGTAACAATTTATTTTTTCTTATGACTATTGAAGAGGTCAAATGATGATTACAATTCTGATGATCAAAGTTGATTGTTAAGCCTTTGAAACAATCATGATAATCATAATCAGGCATCATTACGATTGTAATTATAATTGTTTCCAATTTGTTTTAATTTAAACAGTTTCTCAATTCGGACTTACAAAAGTAGGAAGAAGATTAGGATTAAGGAAATTAAGAAATAGGCTTAATTGTGATGAATTATCTTCATGATGAAATTGAATATCATTCAGTTTCTACTGACACCGATTTGATTTTAATTAGAAATTATAATCAACAATTTATAAAATTACATTTAACTTTTTTTTGGTGTTGCTGAATTCACCAAATTAACCATTTGAGCTGTTGAGGTTTTAGCTAATTGTTAATTGTTGTTTTCTGATTGTTTTGTCGTTTAATTTTTGTCTTTGATTATTGTTGACATTTTGATTAAATCTATTGATCATTTCAATCATTGATCCATAAAAATTAAAGGGCCATCATCTTGGTATTGAAGTAAGATGATCAAAAATATTTAACTGGATGATCTCAATCAATCTGATGATTTGTTGAGTCTTACAATTAACTGATTGTTGGTGGCCAAGAAAAGACCTCATTGTAATCAAATGAGAAGAGAAAAAGAAACGATTAAATGAATCATTGATTCTGGCAATTAAACAAACTGTCAACTCGGTGATTAACATTCGGATATTTTGAATTGGCCCAAGTTCAATCGCAATTAATTTTAATCAAATTAACACTAATTTAGTCCCAATGGGACAAATACTTCGAAATTAATTGAACTTGTCTAATTAATCAAATCTAAATCACCAGAACCTTTCATGATCTCCTATATTCTAATAAAAGTTCAAGGAGCTGAATCTCTGATGATTGACTTTAGGTCATTCACTTCGAGTCCTCGAATTTATGTTCTTCCGGTTATTGATTGGAGTCGAATCGAATAATTTATCGTTAATGGCTTCGAAAATTAAATGATCAACTGATTGGTTATTCTGTTGAAGTAAATTCCATTTAATTTTAAATTCTACACAAATTCAACAATTAAACTCAATTGTTGACAATTTATTCGGTTGTGATGCCATCTTGTGTTGAGAAAATAAACTATCCTCAGCCTTTGCATTCTATTAATTCTGATCAATTGAATTAACATTTTGTTGGGAGTAATCAGAATTGTTAATGGTTGTGCTTTGAGAGACTCGATTATGATGTAAATGAAAATCTTTTAATTGAATAGTTACTTCATCTTTAATTCAACAGTCGAAAGAATCAATTACATGAATGAGTCACTTATTCATCTTTTCTCAGCCTTTTCTCTCGAGAGTGAGTTTCATGTTTCTCTTCATGATATTCAATTGTCCTCTCACCACATCATCTTCGTCATCATTTTGCTTCTTCCTCGAGAAAGTTTCATCTTCTCTTTACCATTTCTATTTCACTTTTCTCTTCCAATTTTGATTTTCCTTTCGATCGCCAACAAAGTTACTAAGCTTCAACCGGAAGACATTGAGAAGATGCGACAGAGGAAGTCGAAAGAGAAGACAGAGGAAGAGAAGAAGAAGAAAAGAAGAAGAAAAAGAAAAAGGAAAAAGACAGAGAAATGTCAGAGAACATTAATGAAGTTTAATGCGAATAAATTTTGATGGAATCAAGAAAAACAAGAAGATCAACATTTTAGAAAATGAACCAAATTTGAGATGAGAAAATACTAATATGGAAGTAAAAGAATAAGAGAAAACAAAGAGAGAAAATGTAGGATAAAGATGGAAGATGAGGAGAAGAAGAAGAAAATGATTGGAAGAAATAAGAGAGAAAAGATAAACATAAGATCAACTGTTATCTTCTTTTCTGTCTATTGTTTTCTTTTCTTTCTCAATTGCGACTCTTGATGATCTAAATCAACGGTTGACTTTTTCTTCCAAACTGATTAACTATTAACATGAATCCGAAAAACGATCATAACAATTTAATGTAATGATCAACATGTGATTGCGAATCAATCAGATAATCCGGACAACTCAAGTTTCGAGTTGAAATGAAATAAGTGCAGACAGAAAGAGAAAAGAGAAATGCGACAGTGGAAAAGAAAGAAGCAGAATGAGAAAGAGAAAGAGAGAGAAGATGAAGAACGAGGGAGAATGAAGATGAAGGAAGAGAGAGAGAGAGATTAGAAATGTCAGGAAAAAACATGTTTCAGTTTAACTGAATTAGAGTTTGGGTTCGGTTCATGTTCTCTTTTAATTAACAATTTGTTACATTTTCATAATTATTCGTTTTAATTGTGGTGATTGTCTCCCTCTCTCTCCCTCTCTCTTTCAATTGAAGTGCTTTTACCGTCGATCAACTGATCAACACCCGAATTAATCTCTGACTATCACCGTAACTCGAAACTCGAAATGCCATCAACAGAACTGAACCAAGACCATGTTTCTGATGCCCCGACCATTGAGGGTCTCCGTTCATCTTACGAATCGTGTTTTACCTGTGGCGTCAGTTGGTTCGATCACCACGTCTCTTTGGACTGCGTCGAGTGCGGTGGTTACGCTCTCCAACGACCCTGCCCTGAGTGTGGTGGCAAATGTTCATCTTATTGGACCAGAAATTGTGCTATCAGTCATGAGCAGAGAAAAGCGATCTGGGAAGGAAAATGTTTTCTCTCTTCTTAAATTCACTTTCTTTAGACATCAAATGCTACGAAAATTTCTCGACGAGCTGATTAATTAATTAATTGTTCTCAATTGAATTAAAGACAATTTGTTTATTTATTATTACATAAGTTTTTTTTAAATTGTTCCATCATTTGTACTGATATAACTTCAACCAGGAAGTTATTATTATAATTGACTAACTATGACTTTGATTAGCTTATTAAATCATTAATCATTTCTATTAACCAAAACATTGATTCTCAAGTGATTTTATTGATTATTAGATGTTGATTGTTGTTCGTAATAATTCAGATGATTGTCTTTGGCTTTGATTGCTTTTCATTGATTAACCTCGACGATTTCGAGTTAACAACTAATAAGAAGTTGGGAATTCCAATCAATTCACTTTTCCATAGACTTGATTAGTTAACCTGACAATTAATTCCAGGGTTAGGCAATTCAAGGTTTAATTGTCGAGAGAAGATCAATTTTCTGTTCAGTTTTTACTATTTAGTTTTAATTATGTTACAATAAGTAGTTAGTCAAGGTTGGATTTTCAACTCTTCTCTTAATTAAAGTAAATGCGCAAACCATAATTGTAATTACTAAGTAACTTTTAGAATGAAATTTAATTTAATTGCTTGAAAAGTTTAGAAAATCAATAAACCGATCGATCAATAATTAAGTAACAGGCACTCAAAACGTGGTAAATTAATCAAATTGTCAACGAATTCGTTGACAGTAAAAGTGATGGATCAGCAAATGAGAAGCGAAGAGCTAAATCAAAGTCATTTAAATCTCCAAATAGCAAATCAAATGACAGTAAATCAAATTATGGGGAACATCAATTGTGTGGAATCAATTGATTCCCTCGGGGTTTTGATTCACCTTTGGGTTTACTTTCAACTTGAGATGTTTTCATTTGTCAATTAGACAAAATTAATGAGGGGAAAGTGACACTTTTCGTCTCTGGATCAGCAAATGAAATTAATAGAAAATCAATTTAATTGACCAATTAGATTTCGGTCATTTCGTTAGTCAAATGTGGTCCAAGGTATAAAAAGGTGACAGATTTTAATCTTTTCATCAGTCGAGGTTTGTTGTTCTCTATTAACAATTGACAAAGGTGAGCTTAATTTTCTTCAACTTTTGTTAAATCCGATTAGCAATTTACAATTAACTCTTTTTCTTTCTTGTTTTTTTCTTTCTTAGTGAATTTCCTGCGATCTCCATCTCTTTATAAAAGTGACTATTTAAGATGACCATGTATTCAGTATCTCTCTTTTTAATCTTAATCATTTCGCCTCATTGCTTGGAAGCAATGACCTGGAATCTTTACCGAAATGCTCCTTCTTGTTGTCAATCGTATCAAGTCACCGCTGCTCCTGTTAAATGTGTTCCTTGTCCACCCACGACAACTTTACCTCCCAAAATAGTGAAACCAGTCAGTGAACTTTGTTGTGGGGCTTATGAAGTGGCCAAACCTTGCAAACCTTGTGTTCCCGTCTACCCAGTGAAGGAAGTTACCACTCCCGCTCCTCCGCTTTACACACCGAGTCCTTGTCTTCCTCCCACATGTTATACTGATCTAGTTAAACAAAAGGTTGAGATTGAAAACATTTACAAACAAGGAAGTCAAATGATGGTTGATTATTCTGATTCAGCCACCGGTCCAGTCGTTTATGTCGCCCAAACAATTTCTAACGGAGCTGATTTGATTCCAACATTGTTTGCCGCTGGTGGTGGTTTCCTAGGAAAAGCCATTGCTGCGCCTATTCAATTCTTCAATCGAATTGGTTTCTCTTTTCTTTCTGGAGCCATAAGTCAAGTTGTCACTATTCCAATTTCATTGGGAACTTCCGTCAGAGCTTCAACTGTGGTACTCCAACCTTATTTACGGTGGTTCGGATTAGGAGGTAAAGACGCCCCACACACTTGCTGTGCTACTCCACCCACTCCTGGTACTTTTGAACAAATTGGACTAAAACCCGTTGGTATTTTAACTGGACCAGTTCATCTCGCCTTGGGATCCTTCTTGAGTCTCGGCGGATCAACTTTCCGACTTATTGGAACTTTGACTAAAAGTGGCGGTGAATTTTTCGAGAACACAGGCCATGGATTCAAGAACGTTGGAGCTCTGAAAGTAGCCGATGGAATAAAAAGTGTTTCCTCTTTCTTAAGCAAAGTTGATAATCCACAATCACAGACCATTTGTATCGACGATGGAAAAAAATTATCGTTCTATGAAAAAGTTCCCGTTATTGCAACTACTCCGATTCCAGTTTACTCGACAACTGTAGCACCTTACACGACAACTGTAGAACCTTACACAAAGGTCGAAGTGGTCAAACCAGTGATCAAACCCGTCGTCACCACTCCCTATCCAGTCGTCGCTTCCACTACTGTTAAAATGGTTCCAAAATACTCGACAACACCTCCGCCAACAACAACAACAACAACACTCGCTCCAAGTTATGAAGTAACAACATCTAAGGTTGTGGCAGTTGCGAAACCAGAAATCCCTGTTTATCCTGATCTTCCGATTCTCAATGAAAGTGAATACGACGCTGGCCCTGAAGACGACGACGAGAAAGAAGATAAATAATTTTTAATAACTGTTATGTTTTTACCGTTGACAAGATTTTATATCGTTTCTAAACTGTAGATCTGCATTTTTAAATATTCAAAGTACAAAAAACCGACCCAATTGTTGTAATTAAATAGTCAAAAGACACGATCACTAATAAAAAGATGCTCAAAATTATATGATTAAGATCTTTCGTTTTTACAAAAAAATCTCAACCTGAAAAATGATCTGAAGTAACCAAACAATCAGTTAATTGTTTTCATTATCTTGATTTGATTGTGTGTCTGCATTGGAAACCAACTAGAGATTTAATTACGAAGGATCCAATTCTAACTTTTATTGATTAGTTAATTAGATTAGTTAAAAATAGAAGGGTAATTGCAAACTACCAGAATTAATTGTTGCACTTTTTCAACACTAAAGCAGTTTGACTTTTGAATGAGCCAAATCAAAGATGTGTTTTGATTAACAATCTAAATTTAAATCGAGCATCACAAACTGATTCTAATTATATTCTGACCCAATTTCTAAATAACCGAGATATTTTCAGAGTAAATAATTAGAGTAAAGTATAAATTTATTAATAGTAAAATCAATTGATTATTGATTGAGTTGAAATCTTACTAAGATTAAATGTTGAACAAAAGAAAAATATTCGTAAAAATCATCATTAGAAATTTTCAAGAGAAAATTTCGTTAATTTCTCCATTCAACTTTTCCGTTGTCGTTCAATTTCACTTGACCACTGGCGAGATATTCGAGTGCCAATGGGAATATTTTATGTTCGGCTAATTTTACTCTTTCTTGCAAGACTGTTGGAGTATCTCCTGGTAGGACTGGAACGGCTTCTTGAAGTACAATCGCTCCAGTGTCAACTTCTGGTTCGACGAAATGAACGGTACATCCATGGATTCGAACACCGGCTTCTAGAGCTCTTGAATGAGTGTCCATTCCTTTGAACAAAGGCAACAAAGCAGGATGAACGTTGAGCATTCGACCTTTCCAAAGACGAACAAATTCTTCAGATAATATTCTCATGAAACCCGCCAGACAAACGATCTCAACATTAGCCGATTCTAAGACTTGATTGACTTTCATGTCGAATTCAACTCGATTTTTGAAAGCTTTATTCTGGACAACGACAGTTGGAATTCCAGCTAATTCAGCTCGATTAAGTCCAGTGACTCCTGGTTTGTTGGAAATAACCAAAACGATTTGTATTGATTGAGATGTTTTAGCAGAATCAATCAAGGCTTGTAAATTGGTCCCGGAACCAGAAATTAAAACAGCGACTCTTTTCTTGGCCTTTTGACCGATTCCATTGCAAGGAGAGTTTATCAAGCTACTAAAATTATTAACAATCACTGATTCGTTTGAACGTTTGACGATTTTACCAACTATGGCAGCATTTGGTTCGCCGTTGATTTTGAGTAGATTAAGAGTACAATCAACATTTTCTTGTTTAACTACAAGAATCATGCCGATACCACAATTAAAAGTTCTCAACATTTCCTCATCCAATATCGATCCCGATTCTTTGAGCCATTTGAAAATCGGAGGCATTGACCATCGACTAGCGTCTAACAAGGCGGCTAAATGAGCTGGTAGAACACGAGGAATATTTTCAGTTAAACCTCCGCCAGTTATATGAGAAGCTGCGAGAATGTATCCCAAACGAATGGCAGGAAGAACATTTTTAATGTAAATTCGAGTTGGAGCCAAAAGTGATTGACCCAAAGTTTGACTCGAGTCGAAAGGAGCTTTGTCATTTGGAGTTAATCCACTTTTGTCAAGTATTTTTCGGACCAAACTAAACCCATTAGAGTGAACACCCGATGAAGGCAAACCAATTAGAATGTCACCTTCACAAATCTCTTCCAATTTGGGTAAGACTGATTTCCGGTCAACAGCTCCAACGGAAAAACCAGCCAAGTCAAAGTCTTTCCCATGATACATTCCTGGCATCTCAGCAGTTTCTCCGCCTTGAAAGAGAGTAAATAATTAATTGACTTTGATCGATCATTTTATTAATGGAAATGATCAATACTCACCAATTAGAGCACATCCAGCCAATTTACATCCCTGGACAACACCGGAAATAACTTGTGAAGCTGAGTCAACATTGAGTTTCCCACAAGCAAAGTAATCGAGGAAAAACAAAGGTTCAGCTCCTTGAACCAAAATGTCGTTGACACACATCGCAACCAAATCGATTCCAACGGTATTCAAAATGTTACACTCGATTGCGACTCTTAATTTGGTTCCAACTCCGTCAGTTCCAGCGACAAGCAATGGGCCATTAGGATATGCATCAAATAGACCACCAAATCCTCCGATAGAACCAATTACACCAGGTCGATTTGTTTCTTTTACCATTGATTTGATTCTATCAACTAATTCATTTCCAGCATCAATATCAACACCACTCGATCGGTAACTCAGATGTTGATCATGATTACCTAATCTATTTTGAATAGAATACAATTGATGGACATGAGTAACTTTTCTTATTCAAATGAATTTAATTTGCAACTATTAAAATTAATCCAATAGAAAAAGGTAAGTAAATGATGAAAGAACTACAATTAATCAAGATTTTAAGTTTACATACTTTTTCATTGCTCTTTCACCAATATCATGGCGATAGAATGAATTTTCAATTGCTATTGATGATGCACCTTTTTGAGATTTGCTAATGGCTTTTTGGGGGTCACTGTCCAGAGCAACAACGGTTAGAACTCGACCACCGGAAGAAGTCAATTTATCATCAACCCATTTAGTTCCCCCATGAAAGATAATACAATCTGATAACTTTTCGAGGCCAATTATTTGTTTACCAGTAATGGGTTTATCAGGATAACCGGCGGAAGCAATAACAGTTCCACAAGAATATGAATTTTTATCATCCCAGTTAACGGAAATGGTTCCTAATTTACCAGAGACACAAGCACAACAGATATCGAAGAGGTCTGATTTGAGAAGGGGAATAACTGATTGAGTTTCCGGGTCACCAAAGCGAGCATTAAACTCCAATACTTTTGGTCCATCGGAAGTTAACATGAAACCGGTAAATAAAACGCCGATAAACTTTCGTCCATCGTTTCTTAGTCCATCAATAGACTTTTGAATAATCGAAGCTATTTCATCAATTTGTTTTGATGAACATGGGTAGGGACAGAAAGCTCCCATTCCTCCAGTATTTGGACCACGATCTCCATCATAAGCTCTCTTATGATCTTGAGCTGGTGGCATGATACTGACATTAGTTCCATCAGAAAACGCCAAAACGGAGACTTCATCTCCTTCCATGAAATCCTCGACAACGATTGATTTCCTGCATCACCAAAGATTTTATCGTCCAAAATTTGCTCAATGAATCTACAAGTTTCCTCTTTACTAGTACCAATCAAAACGCCTTTACCAGCAGCGAGACCCGAAGCCTTAACAACCCAGGGCTTCAAATGAGTTGGACATTCGGTGACCCATTTTTTGGCTTCACCAGAGGAAACAAAAACTTTGTGTCGAGCGGTGGGGATCGAATGACGAACCATAAACTCTTTGGCATAAGATTTGTCACATTCGATTTGAGATGCTGATTGTGTTGGACCAAAGCAACAAATTCCATGTGATGCTAGTAAATCGGTTAATCCGCGATGCAGAGGATCTTCAGGACCAATTAAAACCAATGAAGGTTTTTCTTTTAAACACCAATCCTTAACTGTGGTTAAATCTTTCAAATCGAGAACTTTAGACAAATAAGATGTACATAAGGTTAGGTTACTTTAGAAAACGAAATCAACCCGATTCGAAGCAGAAATTGATACTCACGAAGATTTGAAATTTTGCTTTGATTTTTGTTGTTTGTTGTTCCTCCGTTTCCAGGGCACACGAAGACTCTTGAAACTTTTGGAGATTGGGACAATTTCCAAGCCAGAACATGTTCCCTTGATCCATTTCCAATAACTAAAACAGTTTCGGTCATTTTTAATTGTTAATCGATGGACGATTTTTTTGCGAAAAAAGAACAAAAAATTATTAATATTTGTCGTAAACTGAAGGTTATTTGATATAAATCAATTTGATTGAGATCTTGAAGTGGGCAAATATAAGTGAATAAGAAACTAGATTATTTCCTTGGAGAATTGATAAAATTAAATTGATTTGAATGATGAGAAAAACAAAGATATTGATTGTGATTTGATTAAAAGCATCAGGATGAAACCAGTTCCAATATTGTTCAAATGATACAATCAAAGTTTGAGGTCTGATTGTAACAGATAACAATTGATTACAACTTTGATTGATAAGATAAAATACTAATGAGTATTTGAGATGAGACATCGTAATAAACGATTAACTATCAGGATCATAAACTATTGATGATCGAAAATTCAACTTTTCAATGGAATAAAAAAACAATCTCTTTATGGATTTGAGATTCTCACCAAAGGTAATTACATTTACTAATTACCTTTGGCTGTTAAATAGCAAAAAGAATAAAACTTACTCACCATATGAAATTCTATCTCCAGAGATGATTTATCCAGACAATTAAGAGGCTGTTGATTGTTATCTAAATGTAGAATCTTTTGAAATCAATCATCACATGAGAGAGAAAAAGTTGTTATGAAAACAAATGGAATCAATGTTTACATGTGTTCGAGTTGATGAAAGCCAAGAGATGGCGTTAATTGTTGGACGATTTGTTTCAGAGTTGATGAGATGATGAAATATGAAGATGAAATGATTGAATTAATTACAATTAATTCGAGAAAATGAATTAAAATTAATTGTTGAAAACAAGTGTTGTAAGAGAAGGGAAAACATTTCTGAAGGAAAATCAACCCAATAAATGAAAGACTTTGCTATTAATCGAAGTTTTCTTGTTACCATGAGATAGTTTGAGATTTTTTCTTCTCACTTGATGATTGACAGATTAACGTTTCAGTGATTTGATATTCATAAGACAAAAGGAACGAAAATACTTAAAATTTTACCTTGAATAACCATCGATGAAAAGTATCACTCACAAAGACAAACTTTGATGTTTTCGAGTGTTTATCGTTTGAAAGGTTGTCATCATCATCGAATCAAATTTTGAGAGAGTCAAGAAAAAGAGCCATCATCATGTTTGTCATCATCGTCATAAGAATTATAATCTTCATCCATCTCGTGTATTGATCTCCAAATGATGAGGATTCTCGTGATATTGATAGTTCACAGGGCGAACAACAAAGAGTAAAGAAAACCGATCAACAATTTAGTTAATTAATTGGTGAACGAATTAAATGACAAACGTTGAGGGAGAGAGAGGATAAAGAAAGAGATTCAACGGATGCGACCTTCATCATCAATCGTCTCTCATTTGAGGGACTAGAGAATTTGTTGGAATTAATTTCCTCATGATGATTTAAGAAGAGAGAAAATCAGTTCTTTTTGAAGAAAGAGGGCAAGAGAGAGAGAGAGAGAGAGAGAGAGAGAGAGAGAGAGAGAGAGAGAGAGAATTAAAATGATGAAAAAGAGAAAAAAACAAAATGGAGAGAAAGTAAAATGAGAAAGAAAGTGAGTTGAACTCTTTTCTAACATAATAGTTTGAGCTTCCACCGTTTAAATTAACTAGTTGATTGTTACTCTTTCTCATTCATAACAATTCAACTTTAATTAACTTTCACTTATCTAATTGTTAACTAATATTTATTGTCTTTTCTTTCATTAACTAAATTGTGTCTCATCAATTTATGATTTCCCGGGTTCACTTGATTCTCTTGTGTCTTTATTGGTCATTGGGTTTTGACAGATTTAATTGTTCCACTTTAACTGTTTGTCAATCAATCTAATTGTCAATTGATTGAGTGCTTGTGATAAAACCTTTTTAATCATATTCACCATTGAATCGTAACTCATTTCAGAATCACAGCAATTTGTTGTTTCTTTTTATTCAAATGAAAATGTTTAATCTTCATCATCAATCATCAAATCATCGCAATTTAAATCAACGTGTTAATAGTGTTTCTTTTTTTGTATCTTTTTCCATCTTTCTCATTGTTCTGATCGTTAGTAAATCTCATGCATTTGCTCAAAATCCTCCTGAATTCATTCAAAAATACGAAAGTGAGTAGTTGATATTCTGTCACCTTTTCTCTTTTAAACTGCTCACCTTTAACCTCTCACATTATCTGTTGAATTTTGTTGACCTTTAATCCTATTGGATCATCACTACCATTGTTTTCCTTCAATTTCTAACGTTAATTTATGTTTACATTGATTCCCATTAGAAAATACTAATACTCTTAGTGTTGAGGTCGTTCTAGGCCCATCTCAAGGTCCGAATAATTCGAGTAATTCGAGTAAAGTGAATAACGAAATTAAATTGGCCAGAAAAAACTCGACGATTGGAATTGAAAAGAGAATATTCAACAACAATCAAACAACAAGTTCGTTGGTCACTTTTGTCAATGAAACATCTCGACAATCAGCAAATAAAAACAAATCCGAAGTGAAGACAAATATCACCAAAATTCATCGCGAAGATGAGGAAGTTCATTTGATCAGTTGGCGGTGGGCAGAACTTGGCAATTACTTTCTGATTGGAGCCTTTCTGTTAATTGCTGCCGGTGTAAAGATCTGTTATCATCACAGTCACACTTTGAGCACTCACATTCCGGAATCATGGTCAGTTTCATATCTTTTCATTGAGTCAATTTCCATTTCATGGTCATCTCTTTTTTTCCAGTGTTCTCATCCTTTTAGGTACAATTGTCGGGACCATTTTCTTGTAAGCAGATTAGTCCAACTACAATCCTGTATAAGAATAGGAAAAAGTTTGAAAATGTTGGACTGGAAATTGTGATGAAAAATTGTCGAGTTAATTTAAATATCATTCAGAGGCTCAGTTTATTGAAATTAAAAGAGATACATGATAATCGGAACTGATGCAATCAAATTGAGAAAGAGAAAAATAATTGAATCTAATCAGATGCACAATTTAAATTGTTTTTCTCGTTTTCACTCTTATCCCTGATGTATTCTCTTAATATCTGAGCAATTCCGTAATAACGAACTCGACAATTAAGTGACGTTTCCGACCACCATTTACAATAATTAATTCATTGCGAATTCAGTGATACTCATTAGCTTTCTCTCAGTTTCACAGACACCCTTGAGAACGAATATGTTCCGAAATTCAATTCATCTACTTTCTTTTATGTTTTACTTCCGCCGTAAGTTTTTAATTGTCTTCATTTAGAACAATTTAACTTATTTTAATTTCTTCTAATTGTCTTAGGATTATTTTGGAATCAGCGTATAGTTTGTACGATAAAAGTTTCTTTAATAACATTGGTACAATTCTGTTATATGCTGTCGTGGTTTGTAAATATTAATCATTTTCAATTGTTTCCAAAGAACGCTAATCAATTCATGGTTTAATCTAATTGAACAATTCAATTATTTGCAAACTTTTCAATAAACATTTCAGCAATTTGATTAAGTGCAACAATCGACTAATGAATGGATTCTGTTTCTTTTCCAACTAATTAAGGGCACAATCATTAATATCGCAACAATTGGACCAAGTTTATATTATTGTAGCGAATGGGGGATTTTCGGATCAATCAGAATTCCGATGATCGAGTGTGTGATATTTGCAACTCTAATCAGTGCTGTTGATCCAGTGGCTGTAAGTATTAATATGAATCGCAATCAATAGTAATTAATGTAAAATCGATCACAGGTGTTGGCCATTTTCGCCGAAGTCAATGTGAACAAAGCCTTATATTTCCTCGTTTTCGGAGAATCGCTTCTTAATGGTTGAGTATGATTTTCGTGTAATTGAATTTCAATCTTTATTTAAATGGTTTCATTTTCTTGTGATCCACTCGATAGATGCGGTTGTTGTCACCATGTACAATACTGTTTCTGCTTTGGCAGGTCGAGAAAATATTCGAGTGACTGAGATCGTTCGAGGCATCTTAAGCTTCTTGATCACCTCAGGTGGAGGTGTTTCCATGGGAATATTTCTTGGAGCATTGAGCTCAATCGTAACAAGATTTACAGCTGATGTAAGAGGTAAATTGTGCTAATTTTACAATCCAAATCAATTTGGTTACAATTAATATCCACTTTCTCTCTCGCTCTGTTAGTTGTCGAACCATTAATTGTCATTTGTTTAGCGTATCTTTCCTACGTTGGAGCGGAATTGTTTCACTTCTCTGGTATTATTAGTCTTATTTGTTGTGGGCTCATGCAAGCAGAATACACTCGTCACAATATATCTAAAAAATCATACACAACAATTAAATACTTGACCAAAACTGTTTCATCCATCGCTGATGTGATAATCTTCCTGTTCCTTGGAATGGTTTTGGTGAGAGATGACCATGATTGGAATACTGGATTCGTCTTATTCACTACAATATTTTGCATCATCTATCGTTTCATAAGTAATAACGATCAGTCTCATGAGTTTATCACTTAAAGTCTACATAATATTAATCTCATTATTCAGGTGTATTCAGTCTTACGTATTTTGCCAACAACTTTTTCCAACGATTGAGGATTGTTAATTTAGCTGAACAATTGTTGATGGCTTATGGTGGATTAAGAGGTGCGATTGCTTTTTGCTTGGCGATTATGTTGGATACCAAGAAGATTAGTCAAGCAAATCTATTCGTAACTGCGACTCTATTTGTTATCCTTTTTACTGTGTTTGTTTTGGTGAGTTTGATACACACAAATGATTTGCTCAATTCCATAAATTAAAACATTTAGATGTTATTATGGCTCATAAAATACAGAATCTTCCATAAGCGGAAAGAATCACGAGTCAAATTGAACGATTCATTTGTAGAAATTACCATTAGTTATGGTTAAACGTATTGATTAACTTTGAATTTATTTCGATTGGCTTATTTGCTGAGAGAGTTTTGTCAATACAATTATTATTTTCATTCTCCTTTTCTCTTAGGGATCTACAACGAAACCGATTGTTAGATTTTTACAGGTGAAAATTCATATCAAGCACGAAGCTAAATTGTTCATTGAAATTAATAATAAAGTGGTGGAAACTTTCATGGCCGGAATGGAAGAGATTGCCGGGAATCGATCAGCAAACTATTGGGCAGTAAGAACCGTTATTTAGAAATTGATTATTGTTGTTTCCATTATTAACCTAATTGTTTGATGATTTTCAGCAAAAATTTGCTCGATTTAATGATAACTATGTCAAAGCGATTCTTATTCGAGGTGGGGCTGAAAGAGCCGCTTCGATCAGAACGGCCTATGAGAAGGTAACTCATCATTCATCACAATTTGATTTGTCATTAATTCGAATTATTTTCGTAAAAGTTCTATCAAGGTAAAGATGATGGATCACGTATGTTGATCCAAAATGTGAAGACCATTGTAAAAGAGGAACAAGAAGTCGAAGTGGCTGAAGGACCAACTCATTCCAAGTTAATTCGAGCCTGTTCCGATGGAGCGAATGTCCAAAACAAAAACGATCAACGACCAAGTACATGGAGACTATCCAGATCTTCTTGGTACACTCGTCGTCATCGAACTCTGCCTGCTCGACCTGGTCCAGAACCTTATCGTGAATTACGATCACCTAAGAAACCTGATAAAACGGAAGATGTTAGTCGAGCTTTAGCCGAAGCCTTCTCGAAATCAGCTTACTATCAATACACTGGAGGAATTCACAGTGTTGAAGATCGTGAGGATAAAATAACCAAAGAAATTGCTCGTAAAAGTAAATGGTTGATGGCGAAGTCCAAAATACAATTAGCTGCGATCGCATCTAAAAGTAGCGAACAAGGAAATGAACCATTGCCGCTCCATTCCGTTGTTCAAGCTGCCAAAGCGTTGGCAGCGATGAAAGAGAGACAACAAAGCGAATCGGTGATTTTGGACAATTTAAATGAACAAGTCTAACATCAGAATTAATCTCGATTCATTTCTTAAAGTGTATCCCAATCTCTCCAATCAATTTAGATTTAATCTTTTAATTATATTAATCTATTTACTAAACATTGATTGACAATATTTTATAATAAAATAATTTTAACAAAACCAACAAATTGTCGTGAAAACTTTCAGTTAAGTGTAATTAACAACGGCAGCTTTTATTCAAATTAACTACTAGAAAAAATTACAATGGACCACAAATAACATTTAATTTTCATTCATGACCTGAATTTGAGGTAAAATAAATTAGAATTGAGTTTCTTTCAAGCTAATCAATCAACTATACATTTTATCCTCTTTTTTAGCTTGAACAAAGGCTTCGAGTGTTAGATTAATATGTTTGTGTTTCTTTGGTAGATTAACACTGATAACGTAAAGTTATCGGTTAATTGTCAAAATTAAGTGAAAATTATATTTTTACATATCGATTCAACTAATTTGAGATGATCAAATTGTAACAATCAGTCATAAATGTCTTTTTTTCTGATCGACGTTGGAAAATTGTCTTTTTTATGCCTCTTGTGGGGATAATCTTGGTTTTCACATCCAAAGGTTGAAAGTTTGTTTGTCTCAGAGCAATTGAAACTTTCCATAGTTTCTCAGATATCACAAAATTAAAGATGATTTAAAATCATCATCGTCATTGGTTTTCCAACAGATTTTTGTCCAAAGTCCGAACGGACTTACATTCGGTTTGTCGTGTCCATTAGACAAAAAATTAAAATAGTAAAATTCAACAGAAAACGACTATAAATTCAATAAGAACAAATTAAGATTCGAGTGAAAATAAAGAAAATTGATCTTCTTTAACAATTCAATTTCTTCAAAATTTGATCCATGGTTGAGATTTGTCACGATTCCTTTCAAATTACTCATAACAGAAGAGATCCTTCATGAGTCCATCTTTCTCAGTCTCTTCGAATTTTTTCCATGACCTTTTAACATCCTCGTTATTCAGTCCATTGATATAAAATCCTTCGTTGCCTCCTCGCCATTTTTCATGACCAACCGGATATTTGATTGATAAAATGTAACAATCAAGAGCACTGGTTAGATCCCAACATGCATAAGTAAAGTAACGAGCAAAATCCATCATCGAATAGACCAAAGCACAAAGAAGAGCAGTGTAGGGATGGATAAGTCCAATCAGCGATTGATTGATTGTCAATAAAAGAGGAGCTACAAGACTCGAGTCCCATTTGTCCATTTCCCCACGAGAAACATTGGCCATTACCAAAGCTATGACAAGTTTTGCAAATGCGAATCCATAGACCATAATGAAAGCAGTCGAATTCAATGTGAATAGACCAGAGACATAATTAAACCAGGAGAGGAACAACAAAAGCCCTAGAGGGTAAAGTGGATTGTAGATCGAGTGACTTGTTCGCCGAGGGATATTAACACCGGATTCTTCCAGTGGAGTTTTCTTTCCTAGAACAGACATATTTAAATTGTCGTAAATGACATTCATTAAAGATACGAGAGTTAAAAGAGCCATCACATGAGTAACAGTTATATCCACATTGAATATTGAGAAAATTGAATATCGCCAAATCTTTTGGCCTCCATAAGCAGTTAGTCCATGAGTGATAATCATTGCCCATTGAGCTTCACTCACGTCAATTCTATCAAAATAAAAGGGAATAAATTGATTATAAATACAAATTGATTATGAGGGGAACTTAGCAACGGATTAAGAAGTGATTTAATTAACTTTCTTCGTGAGGAGACTTGTGACTCCCGAGTGATAATACCTTGGTTACAAGTAATTTGAGACATTGATGGGGAATAGTAATTGTACTCACTTCTTAAATACCATACAATGAGTAACATGATCGAGCCAGTGAGTTGAGAAAAATGCAACAAATGTCACCATGGAGAATAAAAATAATAGATTTGGATGATACCTAACTGGAAGGCGATCGCAGTTGCGATGGTAACGAATATGGTTGAGACAGCGTCGCATCCATGGTCAGTCAACTCTTCGATTTGAGTGTTTTGCACTTTGGCCGATTGTTTACCATCAAGCGCGTCTAAAGTTTGGTAAAGAAAAGTACCAATAGCACAGAGTAGAAATGCCCACGAAGGAACTTCTTCTTTGAGAGTTGGTGCGAGATAAATTACGTTAAGTGAGCAGAAAATGTTAATCGCAAGACCAGTGAAGGTGATCAAAGAAGGAGCAACAAATTTCGGAATAAAACGAGCGAGGTTGGTCCAAAATCTGTAGAAAGGTAAACAAAAATGACGATTATTTAGTCAGAATATTAAATCGATTGAAAAGACAGATGGATAAGAAAAAATCGATCCAAAGTGATGACGCACAAGCAATTATTTGCTTTTCGTATCTTTGAAAATATCCATAAACTGGATCACAAAATGGTGAATAGAAATTGAGTATATTTGATGATCTCTAATCTTTTCCATTCGACTGATTGTCTCAACATTTAACGGAACAATTAATTACCTTTGGAGACAAAGCATCTCAAGAATGGATCCCGCAGTAGCACAGTAGATATAAGGATATTTGGAAAGGAATTGCATCTGTCGACTCGATAAAACCCAACCGCCGTTCATTTGTCGTGACTTTTCATAGATAAACTCATCATTACAATGAATTCCGGCTTTGGCCTTTTTACTGATCATTTCGATTTGTTTCACTTCCGTTTTCACTTTTTCTTGAAGTTCTTTCAAACGAGCGATACTCTTCTTGCGGAAACTGTTGGTTTCACCAAAGGTAATAGATTTTTCTTTGAAACAATTGTGATGCTCCGTTGATTCTACAAAATAAAAATGGAAATACAACAATTAGAATCTCACTGAATATCTCAGGGAGAGGGAGAGAGATTTGAAGGTAAATCTACTTGAATCGACAGGTAAGAATAGAGAGAATTTGTTTACATACCTTTCTCATGTAACATGATGGTGATTATAATTTAAAATGACACAATAGGTATAACTCGTTAATAGCCTGTTAAATTGCAATCGGGAATTAAAAATAGAACAATAAAGAGTATAAATTATAAATTTGTTCACCAAGAGAACATAAAAATGGTGAAAAAAACATCAAACTTACCTGGTTGAGTGAATTGAATTGAAGAGCGATGTAAACAATGAGACAAGACGCACAGTAACAAGAGGGAAGATAATTGTTGACAGCGAAAAGAGGTTTGACCATCAAAAGGAGGAGAATTAACAATAAGATTGTTTAGATTTGAGAACAAGTTGTCCTTAAAAAGAATTAACTGGTTGTTCAATTAACAAATCAACTTTCATTCGAATATCTGAAAAATAATGAAAGAAAACAAGAAGCAGAACATTAATAAGTCGCGTTATCTTAATCAATGAAAGATCATCAATTAGACTTGTTAACACTTTCTCTTTCTCTCTCTCTCTTTGATCACTCGCTCACTTGAGGATAAACTGGTGATGAGAAATAATCATAATCTAAACCATAACATACGAATTACTTGATCATGAGACGTTTACATTAGTTGTTATTTGTTTGGGGAGTGAACATCAACCTTGCATTGGTACATGCTCATAGAACACAGGTAAAAACGTGACCAGCATTTCCTTTTCCTTTTTCATGTGAGAACAGTTAAAATTATTATGTGTTAATGTTTAATCTACTTTACTTTAAGTGTTACTATTAATATTAATAATTGAATCAGCCTAATTAATTCATCTCTAATCATCTACACCTTAATATCATGAATAACAAATCAATCAACCCAAAGAAGAAGAACAATCAACAAAACGAAGTAAGTAAATTACTAATATTAAAAGAATAATAAGACTGAAACTCTACCATGAGTTAACAAATTATCAAACTGACTCTAATGAGAAAATTTATCAAACTTTCCCAGAAAACTAAACCTGATGAAAAATGGATTATTTTCTGGACAACAATTAAGGGAATCAAAAATATCCCAGAACATTATAAAAAACTGAATTTTGAGCAACAAACTGAATTTAAAGAAAATCTATCAACCCTAATCAATAACAACGATTTAAGGAAAAGTCTATCTATTGGAGACACAAGACTTAAAAATATAAAAATCATGGAAAATGAAATCAATCAAATCAATTTTGACCCCATCAACTGGAACAAATCAACCAATGATCAAACCAATTGGCTACAAAGCTCAACAGATAATATTAATAATAATAATAATATTGACAATCAACTCAACCAAATTCAGACAAATGACTTATACAATCCAATAATCAATAATGATGAAATCAACATTGAACAAATCACCATTGAGGAATATTTACTAAATAATCAACAAATCGACAACAATGTAAACCCATCGACAATCCAAGAAAATCCAACTACTGACGATAATCAATCAGATCAACATTATCTACCTGATTTCCTAGAAATTGCAGATCAATTTACAAATGGTGAATTAGTAATAACCCAACCGATGAAAAAAAGGAAAAATGATGAATTAGTATTTAATAATAATATTAAGAAACAAAAAACAGTCAATGATAAATGGATAAAATGGAACAACAAAATGATGGATCCAACGGTATTTATCAATCATAAAGAAATCAATGGTGAAAAACTGATGGAAGAAATTAATCAACTACGAAAAGATGGACAAATTAACTTCCAACTATTCAAAGGAATCTATCATCATGGTAATGGAATAAAAATGATTTGTTTCAATGAAACAGATCTACAAACAAATATCCAACAAATACAAAGCCACTTCCCCAAGATTATTATTGATATCAAAAGGCCGAAATCGCCAAAAATCAAAATGTTTAACTTTCCATCAACAATCAACAATGAAGATTACATTCTGGATGAAATAATCAAATATAACAAAGATATGACCAAGGATAACACACAAATTATTAATATTAATAATTATGGTAAACGGATGGATATTACATTACAAATATCACCGGGAATCAGATCAAACATTCAAGAAAACAATGGTTATGTAAATTTGGCGACAAAGTCGATGAAGGTAATTGATCATTTTGATTTAATCTTATGCCATCGATGTTTGTCAATAAATAAACATAAAACTGGCAAATGTAATAATCAACACATTTGCAAAATTTGCGCTGGATATCATAAAGTGTGTTCAAAAGAAGATAAAGTAATCAAATGTGGTACCTGTGGTAAACACGGGCACAAACCTTTCACGTTTGAATGTGAAGATTACTCTAAAAAAGTACAAATTGAGACAAATAAGACAAATTATAATTACGAATTTATCATGGTTTAATTCTTCTTTTCCTTTCCAAAAATTCAATTACAAAAACTTTCCGTTAAATTCATAATGATCTCAAATAATAATAATAATAATAATAATAATAATTACACATTTACTCTCTACCACTCAGTTAATTCAATCTCAAAATTATCTATTCATTCAAATCAATGTTCAATTTTGTCTTCCACTCTGTTAAATTCAATTACAAATTTCTTTTCTCTGAACAAAAATTAACTAATAATAATAATAATAAAGATGATAAAGGAAAATCAATAACTCGCTTACCACTCTGAAAATTCAATCTCAGGTAAAACAAATCTAAATAAACAAAACCGACATCACGTCCAACTTGAAAGGAAAACCAACTCGACCAAAAATTCCAACATATGAAAACTCTTCCGATAGATCAGGAAATCAATTATTGGTTTTACTCTTCATTGATAACCTCTGGATACCTCTTTTTATCACGAGGATAAGTTCCAAGAACAGAAATACACAAATCCATCCTCGGATCACCATAATGAGCGCGCTTATCAATCAATGTAATATCAGCTGAACGACTGATAAAATCAATAAATCCTTTAAGAGTTGAAAATTGACTCAGAACAACATGGCGGAAGCTAATCAAATCAATAGCGTCCGGATCAAAATTTCCAGCCGAAGCAATTTTTTGGAAAACATCCGAAACGGTAGCATCTAAAGGAAAATCCAAATCAGCATTTCCTCGGCCCTGAGCACGAAGACGAATATTAATATTATTATTAATAATAAAAGAACCAGACCCAATGCCATTAACGGAAACACCACGAAATTGCGAATTGTATGAAACTTGCTTAACCGCAGAATAATTGGCCAAATTGGTAGCAACACTACTAATATTATTAACCCGATTCGCCGAGTGAACCATGGGAACACCAACTTGACACCTTGATCGATGAGCCAAAAATGAATAAACATCAAAATGCCCAGTACAATTCTTACACTCGACAATCACCTTTGAATAAATAACCATGTCGATCAAACCAGGCTCAGTGAAATATGGCTGACGAAAATCGATTGAACAATTCTCAATGGGACAATCAATAAATCCATATGGCTTGGAAACTGGTACACTTTTCGGGTCCTTTTTATTTTTTCGAATAATTTTTCCACTAAATTGACTCTGATTCACATATATCGGATTCTTAACAACTGATGCAATACAAACAGAGCAAAAAAGACGCTGACAGAAAGGTTGAGAGTTTCCACCATTATGGCTCAAGGGACTAATTGCCAATCCACCACAAATACCACAAGAAAGTAAATCAAGATAATCAACCCCCGAACATTGATCCAAAGGAATTGACATGATTGAAAATGAGAAAGAAAAGTAAACAACTAATAATAATAATAATAATAATAAAATAAACACGAAAAGAACGAGAAACAACTGCAGAGAATAAACTAGAAAAAAAGAATAGAACAAAAAACAAATTCTCTTCTATTAGTTAAAAGCGAAGTACATAGATGGCGACACATAGTATTCTTATTATTGTTAGATTAAATTGTATAAAAGCTAATCAAATTACAATTTATATCACAATTTAATTCACAATGTTTACCTGGTTAAATTCAGCAATTAATAATAATTTTATATCCTCTTCAAATTACATTGAGTGCCTTAAAATCATCAATCACCTACAAAATAATTCAAGTGAAAGTGAATTACTTAATCTCAAAATCAAACTAATTAACTGGACTCACATCCTCAACCTCATCACTAACAATTGGATTAAAAGTCCAAATTTAATTCAACAAGAAAGTGAAAAGTGCAAACAAATTATTAATATTATTAATAATATCAAAGTTGATTGTGAAAATCCGAAGATAGAAAGTGATAAACAAATCGTGATCGCATTTAAATTACTATCATCAAATATCATCATAGACAAATTGGTACCAGAAGAGTTTATAACTAAGACAACCGGTTTCAGTAGTAACAGGAAACAAATTCACCTTACCGATAAAACCCCGATTAGTACTTTGGAGAAACTCATATCTATTAGAGAACCTGATATTGAGTTCATCATCATTGGTTGGAGGATTTATTCAGCAAAGGTGAATGAACATCAAATTGAATATCTTAAACAGATATTAACAAATCTCAATCAAAAAGAAATCATCTTTCAAGTTAAAAAACTGACCACCCAATTATTATTATTAATAATATCAAATTGTGATCTATTCCATCGAAATCTTCAACAGAAAAAGTGGACAATTAAGTCAAACAATCTAACAACGACATTTAAAGTTCGACCATCATACAGAAAATGTCAACTTTGCGAGCATATTCATACAGGCCATCATATAAACTGTTCACAATCATATCATTCAATGTGAATAGATCAAGGAAACTCACCCAACAAATGATTCAATTCACCAAAACTCATACATCAACAATCACATGTATAACCGAACCAAATTCATGCTGGATTGGTCAAAATAATCTTGATAATATTATTATTAATAATAGAGTATTAATTTGCTTCTCATCCAATATTTCAATCAACCAAATTGAAACAAAATTAAGTGACATGGTAATAATTGATGCATCAACTGAAAACAAATATCAACTAAGAATAATTGGGGTTTACATGGCTCAATTATTCTCTCACAACCAGGAAAAAGGTAGAAGCAACTGGGGTCAAATTAATCAATTCATCTTGAAAGAACCAACAGTCATCACCGGGGATTTCAACTTTAAACACAAACTATGGACACCGGAACCTCATTACAATAATAATATTATTATTAATAATGATCTAAGTGACCTAAAATCAACAATTAAACCATCAGTAGATCAACCAACCTTTGAAAGAACAATAAATGGAAAAACAAGTAAATCATGGATAGATGCGATTCTGGTGAATAATTCAATCACTAATTATCATGGAAAGATAATTAATCGTCACACCAATGATCATCACCTACTAATCGCCACAGTTTTTGTTGAGTCAATAAGAATAAATCAAAAAAGAGTATTAATAATAAACTCATGGAAAATCAATAAAGAAAATTCAGAAATCGGTCAAAGATGCAAAGAAATCATCAATTTTCCCAATAAACATGGTACATGGATCAAGGTAAATTGGACTACAAAAAGAAAATCAAAGCAAATCTCAATTGACTACAAAAGAATCATTGGAAACCCGAAAAAGATCTGGTCAGCAATTAATAATAAATTAATAACACCAAAACAATCAATGCTCCAAAATAGTGACCCAAAAACGATTAACCAATATCGTGAATCAATCAATCAACAACTAAATGAATTCACGTCAAATAAACCAATTCATAAAGATCCAACATCGAGAGGAAATTACCCAAAATTAGGAGAAAAAGAAAAAGAGAAAATAATTCACTTCGTGAAGAAAATGAAGAAATCAAGTTTAGATGCTGACGATTTCAACTCAACATCATTTAAAAAGTTCTTTATTAATAATAAAGAAAAAATATTATTATTAATAGACGAGATAATAACTAATGGATGGATACCAAGTTGTGCGAAAATCATGGGAATTGGAATGGTCAAAAAATCTGATGGAAGATCTGTTCGCTTCGTCAAAACACCAAATTATCTACTTAAAATAATAGATAAAATAATATCGGAAAAAATCCAAATATTATTACCGAAACTGATATCATCTGATCTTCAATATGCATATCAACGATTTACAACTCGACAAAATTTCTTCTTGGATATAATCAAAGAAGTTGTGGTCAACCCAACAAACAAAATAATATTAAGCTTGGACATGAGTAAAGCCTTTGATGAGGTTAATCCAACAACAGCAATCGCGAAAATTCATCAACTCGATCAACAATTAGGATCACTAATTGAATCATTCTGTAAAGAACATTGGCTCCGAGTAAACTGGAACAGAAAAATATTATATAAAAAAGAATCAAACTCAGTCCCTCAAGGTTCATCATCAGGACCATTAATATTCATCATCGCGTTGGATGAAGCTCTTAATAATATTAATAAGTCCAATATTAATATCAAGGCTTTCGCAGATGATATTTGCATAATCACAGAGAAAAAAGAGATGAAAAAAGTTATCAACATAACGAAGAACGAAATGGAAAAAATCAATCTGAAATTAAACGAAAAGAAGACGGAAATATGGCCAATATCGAAACAAATGAAAATAGTTGGAATCAGTATTAATATTCCGTTTAAAATTAATATTCTAAACAAGCAACTATTGTTAATAATCAACGAAATCAACGAAATATTTAAGAGATCAAAACAAATCATAAAATTTTACCAATTCAAATTCGGAGAATTATTATTAATAATATTATTCTTCCAAAATTCTACAAAATTGGCTTTGGTTGGTGCTGGGATAACGATCTGACGAAAATCATCAATGAAATCCAGAAGAAAATTCATCATTTATTAATGAAATTAATAGGAATTAAAGGAGAAGGAAGATGGAGAATGAAAACACTGTTTAACCTGAAAACAGTCACAGAAACAATACTAAATGATCTGTTTACATGGATCAAAGAACGTGATGAAAAATTACTCATTGACAAATTCAACTTACCAACGGAGAAAATCTTACAAAAAGTCAATCTAGATCAAATAACGAGAATACAAAGCCGAGAAACAATCGACTGCAAATGTGACATCATCATCAAATATCAATCTATTGACAATATCATCTTCATCAAAATACAAACAAATTCATGGGAATTTGAATTTAATCATCTAAAAGAGCAATGGACATCATCACAGATCAAAATCTCAAGAATAATAATATTATTACTTATTAACAAAGGATATAAACACATAACAATTCCCGAGATACCAATTGATGGGAAATCAAATTCATCAAAAGATATTCTTTCAATAATTAATAATAATATTAATATTGAAAATTCAACTTTCTGCAGGAAAAAATGGAATAAAACAAAACTTAATAACAATAGTAGACAAATAAAAACAACAACTTGGATCACAAGGAATCAATTAAAGGAAAGAATAACATTTAAAATCAATAACATCATCAAAGAATCAAAAGCAAAATTAACATCGATAAACTCAATACTTTACCCACAAAGTAACTACCTAATTCAACGTGGAACTCAATTAAATAAAGATTTCAACAAAAAATTAATCTCAATGAACAAATATATGAGAACCCCATGTTGCGATCAAAGAGATAATTACTTACATCATCTATTAACATCATCAGACCATTTGGAAGAAATCATCGGACCAGTAACCTGGAATTGGGACTTAACAGATTCATCAGATTTACATAAGGCATCAAAAACCAAACTATTATTAATATTATTTAATCATATTGAAGATAATATCCAAAAATTCAATACTTGTAATTTCAATCTTTAACTGTAAAATGACAGGGAGATAATCATTGAAGATTATCTAGAGGTTTTTACAACCTCTCGAGCTGTATCCTCATTTTTCAGTTCAAATAAATATTACCTTTCAGTCAAATGATGGAGATGATGGTTGTTGTTGTTTTGTTTAAATTCCCTTTTGATTAGTAGACTCTAGAAATGATTTATTTAGATAATTACGAAAACCTTGATTGTTGTAAGTTTAAGATTGATGTTCACTTGATCTCATTGCGATAATCTGAGAATTGACAAAGAGAAATACACACAAGGTTGATACATGGAACCGAAAGATGAAATGATCTTCCAGATTGTTCTTTCCACCCTCAATCTTCCTCTTCTCTTCTCTTTCTCTTCTCTCTCTCTCCTCACTACAAACGGAAACCACTCCTCTTACACCAATAGAGAGTAAAGGGGGATGTCAATTCCCAAAAAATTCTATTTTCATTGAGTTGAAAGAGAAATTCTGAAAGTCATGAGCAATCCCCATGACTTTATGTTCCAATGAGTAAACAACGAGCAACGTTCAACTCGTGAGTGATTAAATTCACCAATGGCAGTTAATCGCTATTTCCGTAAACAACAGTAATTACATTCACTTTTCCTTATTTGTGTTTATCAAAAATCTATAATTAACTAATCACATTTACTTAACTTACCCTGATTGTTGCTGTTGAATGAAGATGAATTTTGATGAGTTGAAATACAGAAATAGATTGAAATGAAATAATTGATTATCAGAATGAGAAAACAATTGATGAAAAATTCAATCAAACTAAAACACAACAATACTAATCATTAATTAATCATACGACTATCAATCTGTAACAATTAAATGTTGACACAAAATCATTTCCCTTGAATGAATTTACTATTACAATGTGAACATGTAACAAGAATAATAAACAAACAGCAATCAGCTGATTTCTTTTAATTGTAAACAACATTAACCTTTTTTTACGCAATTGTCATGACGTTTTCTCGTCAAATGATTTTAAGTTAATCTGTTGATCTAAATAATTAGATGATTGCGATCAAATATATTTGATAAAAGTATTTAAATTAATTCGATTTAGTTTATTCAGCAATCAGTCAGAATTTGTTTGAATCTGTTGTGATTAAATTGTTTGCTCATGAATTCATTTCAATTAATAGGCAATCGCTTTTGTTGGAATAGTTAATTTGGTCTTGAAGATCAATTGATGATTAAGTTAATTGTATAGCCATTAAAAGAGACAGCTACCAGGATATTACTTAGATTAAAGAATCAGTAAATGACAAACTGATGATCACAATTAGTTGAAAAGGTAAGTTGATCTCAAAATAGGATAATCATCAGTTTGTCATAATTAGAATTGAATTTTTCCATTTCAATCAATCAATAAGTCGTTAAATTAACCATGAGAACGGATTTTTTCCAACAATTAAGTAATAAAACGATTCATCATTTAAATCGTATAGTTTCAATTGTAACCTGATTGAATTTAATTGCATTCGTTTATTATTTATTTTCAATTTTATTATCATGAAACCGAGAAACCTGTAATTCAATAATTGATAATAATTAAAAACTATTCATATTATTGGGTAGAGATCAAATTGTTTGATCAAATGATTTACTTTCATATTCTAGTTTTAATTGATTTCTATTGAAAATTAATAGCTAATCATTTTTGCTATTGATCATTTATCTCAATTAGATTGATTGTTTGATTCTCTCGTAATTTAATTGAATGTTTTTCCTAAAGAACAACAAATTTATGTAAATCGAGTCGTAATTAACTTTTCCCTTTTGTTAATCACAATAACAATTAATCAAACCAGTTATGGGATTAAAAAATTAACTGAAAACATCCTAGAGCAATTTAGTTTAATTAGTTCAGGAAGTGACATCAATTAACTTGATTGCTTATTAATCGCGATTCAAATTTTGATTATTCGTAACAAATTGAACATTAACCTTGACCGATTTGACTGATTAGAAATTGTTATTAATCAAACCAAATTACAAAAAATTTGTCTAAATCAGTTGAATGTGAATTAATATCTAATCATTCAGGTAGCTTCATGTTGACTTAAATTGCCTTAATTACCATTAACCCGGAAATCGATGGAATCGTTTTAAGTTTGAGATTATCTTGAATCTCTTGATTGAGAAAATCATAATCAATTTTTTTTTCTTTGATCACCAGAGTTTTTATTAGTGGAAGACAATTAAAGAAAATATCAGAACAAAGATCTGGATTAACGGATCTCGGATTATTTGAAAGGTGAAAATGAAAACATCTTTTAATGGAAAATGGATTAACATGAAGACAGTTGACTGGTAATTCCTCAATCAGTTGGATAATCATGATAAATGATCACAAGTCGATTCAATCTGTTAGATAATTTTCCGATCAATGTATTATTATTTATGTGCACTTAATTATATATTAATATCGTGTTTTCAATCGGAATTATCATCTTCATCATCATCTGCATCATCTGCATCACCATCACCATCTATTTCATTATCATCATCGTCATTTTCATCATCATCATCACCATCAGCGTCATCATCATCTACATTCAAGGCATCTTCGTCATCATCGTCATCGTCCTCATCTCCATCTTCATCTTCACGTTCTTCTGAGTTATTTTCTTGGTCTGATAAATCCATTACGACGATTCTTTCCAAATCTCGATCAGAATCATGTTCGGAGGAATTGTCATCTTCTTCTTCCTCATCTTCTTCTGAAGAGGATTCTTGATAGTTAATTGCTGTATTTTTACTGGATAATTCTTTATCTTTATGGTCTGGCTCCATCTAGAATAGAAGACAAATAGACAATTGATACATCGATTAGGCGAATGATACAATTTGAAATAATTCGCAACTTACCAGGGATGATATTAAACTCAATCTTCCTTTTAGAGCACACATACGGTCGAAAATATCACATCTCGTAGAGAAAAGGTGTTTTAGAGAAGTTAATTCTTGTTGAGCACTTTGTGACTGTTAAAGAGAGAGAAAATTGCAATTAGCAAAAAGACAAATAGAGAGATGAGTAGTTAAGAATTACCATCAAAATCACACTGAGTTTCTCTTGCAATAAAGCTGTAAGCCAATTGTAATAATGGATTATTCTATCGCCTTTTATAAAAAAGAGTTTATGAAGCTTTTTGAGAAATTCTTCAACCATTTCATTAGGTAAATTATGTACAGTGTCTCTGATAATCGAGAAATCCTTTCGGTCTAGTACAGTGCTAACCATCACTTCATTTTGGCTTTGTAACCCTTGGACTAAAGTATTGACGAGATTTCCAGTACTTGGAGAATCACCATTCAATATTCCGTCAGTATTTCCATAATTTATACTTAGATTGGGATCAGTAAGCATTTCGTCTAAGCTTTGATAGTCTGATTGACTATCTGTATGTTTACGCTTCTTTCGGCTGCTTAATTTAACTCCATTGGCAATTTGCTTGGTTAATCTAAAAAAAGTAAAAGAAAAAGAAAAAAGAACATGAGAATAAGAAATCACAAAAGTTGTCCAGTGGTCAAATTGAAATAGAGATAAAGCTTCAATTAGGGTGAAAGAGAATTAAGATATTAGACAAGATCTTGGTCATCGATTATAAACTATTAAACGTAATATAAATCAATTAAAAATGAAAAGAATGAAAAATTGAAAAGGTAAACAATACTCACGGTGTAGCCATTTGTCCAGGTCCAATCACAAATGCTCCATCTTTTAAAGGGTCGATTATTTTATTGTTTATCGAGTTTGACTTATCAACTCGACGTAATTTTTGACTTGACATTCTGAAAATTTTAGTGGTAAATAAAATACAAAGACAATTAAATTGATTAATTAAGGACAAATTAAACACGTGGGTCAAAACACAACACGCTCATGAGAATACAAAATGAAAAATATTAAGAATGAAAACTATTCACACGAAATTTGCTCGAGGAATAGACACAAACACCAAATGTTCACTTTTTGAGCCTTTTAACTGTTTAGAAAATAATTGATTTATCGAATTAATCAAATTCAAAACGATTGAACTTTAAACTTTTATAATGGAAAATTAAAAGTCTAATAATTGGAAAATATGTAAAATAAAATTAGTTTTTAGAGGCACTTAAACATTAGAAAAGAGGCCGACAGATGGAGCTAATGTTCACCCATCAGCTGTTAACCAGAAAAGTTTTGATTAATTAGATTAATTTTATTTAAATTGTTTAAATTAAACTCTAATCTAAAGTTTAATCTTTTTGCATAATGAATATAAATCAATTGCCAGATGATTGTCTTCTAATTGTCTTTGAGTTATTGCCAACTTTAGATCATTTAATCAACTGTATTAAAGGTGAGATACTTTTGAGTTTTTCCATTGGTTGTTTTGCTTGTGACTTTAAATGAAAACCTTTCAATTTAACCTTTGTATTAATAGTGTGTTCAAGATGGGAAAATTTAATTCACCTACAATTAAAAAAGATCAAATATTTAACAGGTTGGTGGAAAAAAACTTGAAATGCGATGCATGCTGCATCTTATAAGTGGAACTAAAAAATTGTTTGTAATCAGAATCAAGTAAAAGGACTAAATTGTCAATCAGTTTGACCAATTACGAAACTATCAATGGCTTTAGTATGGATCAACTTTTACCTAATCTCCAAGTAAATTCAATTAATATGGCTCGAGAAATCAGCTAACTCTCATTTTGGCTATTCCTTTAAATGATATATATTCTATTTCTATCTCAACCAGATTATACAATTTCCATCGGATGAGGAATTCGATTACCATGAATTGGATTGTTTGTCAACTAGAAAACCATTGAGAGGAGTAATCAATGCAGATCCTAAATCTTTTATGAAATTTTACAAAAACTTTCAAAACATTGAAATACTTGCGACTCCAAACAGAATATTAAACTTTGAATGTCTACGAAATCTCAAGCAAGTCTATTCCAGTTACGGAACTTTCGAGTGTTTCGAGATGTTGGCCCAATATTCACCACAAGTACAGAGAATATATAACTCTGAATTCGAATGCTGTAAGTCCCGATCTTTACAGTTACATTAGTCGAATCAGTTTATTTATCGTTTAGCAAATTCTAAGGAAATGTATCTGCTTAATTTCAGATTATCCCGTGACTGCTTTTTCCAATTTTTCCAATTTAATCATTTTCCCTTATTTGAAGATCCTTCAAATGAATTGTGCTTATCATTGTGATCAAGAATTTCCTGGAATTTATTTGATAGATTTTTGTCCGAAATTGGAAAGTGCCCATTTCTTCATTTGGAACGATTCAATTGTAATCAATGAAGATAAATTACACAACAATTTAAAAGATCTTGTTATTGAAAATAGAAACCTACATGAAGTAAGGATACGAAATAATTATTGTTTGTTTTGAATTGATTGTCTAATTTTTATATTTATTCTCTTTCAGTATGATTATAACGTTAACCTACGATTTTCATCAATTCAGAGGATATTGGTCAAGTGTCCGAACATTGAACATTTGGCAATTAGATTTAATGATTTACTCAAAGATGAACATGTCATGGAGATTGTTAAAATGATGAAACACTTGGAGATACTTGATTGTCACGGTTGCCCGAAACTAACAACTCAATTAATTACCAAAATCAACAATTATTCACATCAACATAATCGACAAATAAACTATCTTGGTACAAATAGTCCACTCAGTGATTGTCAAAAGGTAATTGCTGAAGAAATGAACTTCATGAAACATTGTTTCTATACAAAATTTAATTCACAACCTCTCACTTTCGCCACATAATTAATGGTAACAATTAAAGAATTAACAATATCTTTGATTTTTATTGTCAATTAATAAAGTTTGACTAAACCAATTTATAATTTACATTGGCAGAAAGACATGAGATGGTTAATAAATAAATGATAGAAATTGACTAAATTGGATGACTTGACATGGAGATTATTATACAACAATTAGAATAAGTTACAAATATTAATTTTTAGTTTCAACTTGTACAATATTCGTGTGATATCATGTTAGTGAGACTCTCATTCCATGAGACTGATTGTCCATTGATTATGATTGATTGGATGCAACCATTGAAACCAGAGTAATACTGTAAAGGGAGGCCGATTGGGAGACTTGGAGGTGAACCTGAAAACAATTAGAACAATTAATTAGATGATTGTCTTAATCCAATAGAAATTTGGAGTTTATATTATACTTACCAAACCAAAGGATTCCATTTGTGTTCAATTCAATTGCTCCTTCTGATGAATGATGACTTAATGGAGATTGACTGTCAACTTGAAGGATTCCAAGTCTCTTATTCCTGTTGAGATATTTTCTTATTAGATTAGATTTTCTCTGTTTCAATTTTTATTCTGAATAAATTCAACTAACCTGATGATTGTTACATGATGCCAACGACCATCGGTCACTTTGAACTCGCTTCGTAGTGCAAATGGAATCCGTTGACGACCAAGATTATAACTCAACTCTAGGGAATCGGATACGATGGCTAATGAAAGATAATCACTTTTCAATGAATATCCGGTTCCTTTATTTGTCCAGACTAGAAGACCATTTGAAGCGAGAGTTTTAAATGTTATCTCAATGAAAGTTTCCTTTGTATCTGTTGAACTGTTTAATTGATTTAATAATTAAATTATCGATTAATTGAAAGACTTTGGTTGAAAGTTGGTTTAAGTTTAAATGATTGATTGTTAGTATTTGGACGGAGATGAATTGACCATCACCATTAAGTTTTGACTGTCAAAATGTTCATCAGCAGTTTGAAAGACTCCGTTGAAAGACATTGGATTGAAAAGTTAGTAGTTGTAAAGGATAAGTTAATTTTTCTTAATTGTTGGAACCAAACATTATTAAACTCACATAGAATTGACTTGATTTTTGAAGCTCAGATGATTTGAACCATTAAGTTTGATTATTGGAACATCATTTGCCGATATTCCTGGTAAACGTTTTTCACATCGTCTTCCGGTGAATTCATCTGAGCATATACATAGAAAACTATTCAGTTTCGGTGAACAGAGACCAGAATTAAGGCAAACTGGTGATCCATTCGTATCTATACAAGGTGGCCCGTGGAAAGGATGAATATTATTAAGACGAGATGAGCGATCAACTAGCGAATGCCATTTGTGACCATTAATGTAAACATATTGAATCGATCCATTTAATCCTGGGTAACGGGATTGGAACCAACTAGTTGTTGTGTCATTGGGAACACCACCAAAGTATAAGGAACTTTGAAGATTCAGTTCGTTGAAGTTACCCTGAATGAAATTGAAAAATTAAATTCATTAACTTTTATTCGTTTCAAGCTAATCAATTTAAGTAACTAACCTTTGATTCTCCGTCTATTAAAGGTCCAGAATCGATTTGAAGTGTACCTTTTCGTCGATGTCGAATCGCTTTCACTTTGTGCCATTTATTCAAACTAATTTGGATCGGATACCTGCAATCAGTGGAGATTAAATATCATATTAATTTCTAATTAAAGATAAACTTAACAATAAAAAGATCTCACCTGATGTAACATGGCCCAGATCCTAAATTGAAGACAAATTCAAGGTAACCAGAAACTAAGGTTATCCAAAGATAATCACCTTTTGTAAATTTGTTTGGACCACTGAACAAGATGAGACCATCAAAGGCACGACTGTAAAAAGCTAATTCAATTTGACTAACATGAGCCAAATTCGGATGATCATCAACAATTAAATATGATGATCTCTTGAAATCGGGTACAAAGTCAAAATTATTTTCTTTTTGGGTCAGATCTTTATTATCTGAATTCAACTGATCCTCTTTCAGAAAATTAGCTGATTGATAATAATGATTTTGATGAGAGAAATGTTGATGATGTTGATGATTGTGGCGATGAAATGAATCACCATTCACTATTTTATCATCGCTGGGAGGCGAGGGCTCATCAGCTGATGGCTGTTGACAAGATGATGAGTCGCACAAAGAGTCACAATTTCGGACACTGTTTTGAGCGATGATCTTTTTGGAAGACGGGTAATTTAAATCAAGCGTTTCTTGATTAATCGATAATTTAGTTAAACATCCAACTAATCCTGATGTTGTTCCAAGATTATGACGAGTTCGATTATTTCGCCGTTCAGAAGGGTAGCCTCCAATGTACAAGAAATCAGCTAAATTAAGTGTTTTCATCAACCCAAGTGATCGACCAGTGATCGGGCTTTGACCTGCTACAGATAATAAACCTTCTTTGTGATATAATTTTGCAACGATTCTCAATTTACGACGAAGTGAAATCTTATCTGGTGAACGAAGCACAACAAGCCCAGATCCTAAATTATAACGGAACTCAACTCGACCCTCTTTGATTGTTAGCGCGATGAAATCGCCCAAATCATTTACTTTTTGGCTGTTGTATAAAATGACAGCATCTTGTTTCGAGACGGTCAGTTCGAGGTCAATGTCAAGACGACTTTTTGATCGCAAGTGACCAAAGACCAAGTAAGACGAACCGGAAAATCGAGGAACATCGAACCATGCAGACGGATCAAGGTCACTTGACAAAACCAAATTACGAGTCAATGAAATTAATGGACTAGCGAGTGGATCATTTGACAACATTTGATCTTCCATTGAAAATGGTAAAATAATTGGAGTTGTCGGCGGATTTTTCGTTGTTGAGGAGATTGTGGACAAATTGATTGAGTCCGTTGATGATAACTCTGGAAGAATTTCTTCACTTGATGATTGGGATGATGATGGAAAAGGCGGGAATGTCGTTGATGTTGTCGTCGTAGTTGAGGTCATAGTTTGTTCATTGCAAGAGCCTATTTTGATTACATTCAATACCTTTTGCAATCTACATGCAAATAGATTCAATTGACATGCACTTCCATAAGTATTGTTGTCAGAACCACAAACAGGAATTAAATCACTTATGTCACAATTGAATTGGCAAGAACAAGATGGCACTTGAGTTAATTCATTCTCAATACAAGTCGCTCCAAATGAACAATTCATTTGATCACAAGTTGTTATTTGGTTCGATGAAATTTGATCTTTTTCATCAATAAAATCACCATTTTCATCGTTATCATCAATCGATCCTCCGTCAGAACCAATGCAGCCAAATTGTGTGAGTGTTTGTCCTCCGATGCACAGATCACATTTCATACCGATCGCATTGTCCTTGCAGACGCAACGACCAGTGGTTTGTTCACAATCATCACGAACCGACCCATATTCGTGGCAAGAACATGCTACAGAGAATTAAGGAAAGACGAGGATAAAGAGATAGTAGGACATTTCGCTTTGAATGCAGAAAAACAATTGAGCTACTTACGAGTGCAACCGGCATTTCCTTCTGAGATTTTATGTAGACCCCAATAACCTGGTTCGCATCGTTCGCATTTCAATCCACCTAAAAGAATGGAGATAAATCAGAATAAGAAAAAAATTTGAATTGATCTTCATCTCGACTCACCAACTCCTGGTTTACATTGACATTGACGAGTAACTGGATCACAAGTCGTTCCTATTGATCCGAGTCGATTACAAGCACAAACATCCGGACATCCAGCGTAGTTCGGACCTCGACTTGGAGTCTTTTCGTCTGAACAGCAACCATATCGTGTTCCAAGACATCCAGAATCTTCACTATTCTCAGTGATTTTCATGCTGATTTCTGCTGTTTTGCAAACCTCAGGTGAGGTCAAAACTAATGGTTTACTCTTTTGACACGATGTTTTCAGCATCGAACACTCATTTGGATAAAAAAAAGTGTCATTCGCACAAATGATGTCAGATGAATTGGTCTCATCGCAACCAAATAGACATAAACATTCCCAGTTACCATCAGATGATTGACTGCACGTCGAATTAAATTGACACAGCAATTTACCTCCACACAAAGAATCAAAAGTTGCTTCTGTTGTGTTCATTGGTGTTGAGGAGTAACTCGGTGTTGATGTGATCATAACTGATGATTCGGTGAAATTTTGATCAATCATCAAGGATCCATTATAAGGATTGGCTGTACTCATTTCCAATATATTAATAGCCGTAGGAAGATTCAACTGATTGATTATGTTGTTTTCTGAAGGTCGAGATTCATCTGCACATTTACCATAGAATCTGATATTTAACTCGAAATTTGATTGGCATGAAATCTTTTCCATCTCACATGGATTCCGATAAGTGACACCATCAGAAGCACAAACAAGTTCCTCCTCATCTGGACAATCTTCACGACAGTTGCATTCACCGTCCTCACAACGAGCCTCGTTGTTATCACACTTGGTTCGTTTGCAAACATTACAAGCACCTAATCAGATAAACCAATTAACGAAAATAATAAATATTTACAATGATCATCGATAAAAATCGAACAAAAAAAATACCTTTAGATTCAACGGCGATGTTTTTTTGTTGTTGACAAGAAGTAACTTGTAACAAGCACTCACTGGGATAGGTTTTACCATCGGTACCACAAACTGGTTCGTTGATTGCTACACATGATTCAGGGCATGAACACTTTGACCTGCCAAGTCCGTCGGTGATACAAACTGAATAATACTTACACAAAATGTTGTTACATCCTCCTAATGAAATGACCAATTTGAAAACCAGAAAACATACATCAGAATTTAAATCGATTCAAAATATACTCAAGAATTGACTCCCAATCAACTGTTTGTATACAATTGACATTTTCTAGTCTTTGTTAATTTGATGAAGACTCTTGCTAATTGTTTGTTTGATTACTCACCACAAAGACCTTTGTAACTTATTTCGATTAATCTTCTTCTCTCGCAAGATTCTCGCGCCAATTTACATGGATTAACATACGAAATACCGTCAGAACCACAAACTGGATTATACTCTTCGGTACATGAAGCAGGACATCGACATCGAGTTGTTTTGGTTATTCTGTCGACATCACAAATCGCCCCGAAAGAGCAAACGGTTTTTTCACAATGATCGGTGCTTGAACAGGGCCCATAGTTTTTAACCCTAACAAGTTGATTGTTCAAACACGATTTACGATTTAGGTCACAAAGAGACTCATAAGTTATCCCATCATCGCCACAAACTGGCTTCAAGATGGTTTGACATTCAGGTGGACAAATGCACGATGTCTCTGGTTGACTCAAGTCACAAACTGAATTGTTGGAGCAATTAAGAGCTAAACACTGGTCGTTAACTTTTGACGAGTTACAATCACCCTGATGAATTACGTAAAGATTACGACGACTACGACAAGATTCAACTCGAAGATAACATTCGTTTGCATAAGTTTTACCATTCGAAGCACAAATGGGTTTGAAGTTATCATTGCAAAGTGAATTACATCTACAAATTGGATTACGATGTTCATCTAATTGGCATATTTGATTAGCAGGACAATCAATACCATCACAGGGATCTGCAAATGAACAATTGAGCCTCAATTAATAATCAATCAATCTAATTCATTTATCTTTATTCTCAACTATCTTCCACTAATAATTACCACATTTTCCATGATATTTAACTGTCACATCAGTTGAATGGAGACAAGACCATCTTTTAAGTTCACACAAATTGGGATAATCGATTCCATTTGAGCCACAAACGGAACCTGATGTCTTTGGTTCACCATGAATTGAACATTTCTCTGGACAAATGCATTCACTGGTTCGACCATCAATTGATGATTTACATATTCCTCCAAATGGACAAACTTTATCTTCACAAGGATCTTTAACCTCTGTAGATGATGAAAGCAAAAGGACACGAAAAATATTGATGATTTTTGGAAGAAACAAGAAAATCGACCAAAATGAGAGACAAGTAATGACCATTGGTCATCATCGAAATCAATAGTTCCATAAATCATCAACTTCGATGACTTTTAAACCTTTAGATTTGAACCCTTTAGCATTTATTACTAAATCAGCCAACAATTAACCTAATCAACTTGTTATAGATATAATATGCTCTTTGTATTGTTAAGTACATAAATCGGTGCCATCTCAATGTAAACATTTTAATTGTTGATGTAAACACTGATTAATCGTACTAATAGATTCATTCACTGTTTGCTTACTATTTACTGAGATAATAATCATTTAATTATTTGATTGATAACTACAATTGGGTTATAATGATTTACCAAAATACGATCTTATTACAAGTCCAAGATTATCAAGAGAAAGTAAAACAAAAGGATTAAAACGTAATGATGATGATCATCATTAGAATGAAAAAGTATTAAATGAATTGATTGAGGAAACGAATTAGGATGATGAAAATAAGGGAAACCATTTTACACACTAATCCATTAATCTTAACTGTTCATTGATTGTAATATAACATAAAAGTGACATGTTGTTCAAGTGAGTCTGTTAACATGAGAATCTGATGGAACCATTTTCCGAGATTATCAATATCATAATAATAATGATTAAGCTTTAACACCCATGCAACTATTAGTTTCAATTGATGTAAATGGTAAATTGATTAATGATTTCAGGATGAAGATGCTTATCATTTTTATCCTCATCTTCGTCCAAGTGCTCATTCTCATCATCATCATGTGAAAATCATTTTGTTAAACGAGGAAAATATTTCATCCTCCAAATTGGATTCCCAATGATAGAATCAAAAATCAATCTAATTAGTTTCCTTTTTCTCTAAGGTGAGAATTGAATCTTTCGAGAAATTTACCACCACAATCTATTAGTATTGATCAATTAGATTCTATCTCGTCAATATGATACCAATAATGATAATTAAATATAAAAAAAAAGATCAACATGATTCAATAAATTATATGATTGGTCTCTATAGCTTTTCAATAGGAAGTTAATTTAATTTAATCAATCCTATTCCAATTACTGGCCTTTGATAAATATTAACTGGAATCAAACAAAACTCATAACCTTAAGTCAACAATTTATTTCATTTGATTGATTAGCAACACCATGTAAATTAATTGAAAGGAACTCGAGATTAAATCCTTTTCCGATTTTCAATTCTCATAGTGATTATATTAATTGTAGAGTGAATTAAATGGTTGACACTTACGACATTCACCAGGATGTTTAATAAACAAGGTGGTTCGTTGATTACATGAGGCCAATTTTAATTGACATTCGGATGAATATGTTATGTTATCGGTTCCACAAACAGGAGCAAAAAGATCAGCTGAACAGGTAGATAAACATTTGCAAAAAGGTTTGTCCGTTTGCTTGTCCACTATACAAGTTGCGTCGAATGGACAATTCATTTTGTCACAAGGACCTGAAATTGAAGCAATTAAAATGGTAAATTAACAATCAGGTGATATGCTTTTAGTTTGATCAATTGATTGTCGGTGCAAACAATTCAATTCAATGTTGAGAAGCTTGAATCAACATCTTTGATTGTGATTAACAATGCGACTTGTATTCAAATATTTAACCATCAATCAAGATTCAACTTGAATGTGTTTTATTTAGTTAATCAAATTAGTGGCAAATACAATTAATATAATCAAAAGTTATCAATCAAAAAGTTTGAAAAATGAATTAAATATTAGTCGATTCGTTGAATGTAAATACAAATTGTGAATTATTTTCTTAATCATCATTAAATTAAACTTCCAACGCCTAAACTGTTAAGTCGCCTACTCTTAATTTTAAAGGTTTAAACATAGAAAATTAAATTAAATTGTTCAATGAATTTAGATGATCATCATTATTAATAAACATTAGATTCTATTAATAATAATATGATGAAACATTTATGATTAAATTGAATGTAATGAAAACAACAATTTAACAATTACCGAGATTTTCTCAACGTTGATCACTTACAATCGTAATTGCAAATTGTAATTGACACAAAATTACTGTTTTTAATTCAACGATTACCGCACACAGATTGTGTTAATCAGCAACTAATCTTGATTGCTAATCAATTCAAAAGGTGTGGTTGACAGTTAAACTAATTCAATTAGCAATTAACTTGATAACTATTGGTTTTCATGATTGAAGACAAAAAAGTCATCAGTGAATTGAAAGTTAACTATTAATATTATCAAATAACACTGATTGTTAGCAATTACGATCAAGTTGATAACCATCATCACTATTGGTGATTGTGAGTGTCCTTCAAATGATCATTATAATTTGATTAACTATTTTAATTGTGATAGTAATAAAGTAATCATCATCTGGAAGGAGACGAGTAAAAGATTCAATTACATGGAATTAATTTTAATTACTTTTAATCTCTATCCATTGATTGACGTTTCAAGTATCAAAGTGAACTTAATTTAATGGTGAATTTAATTACGATGATCAAAATCATTCTCATCATGGTGATGATTATAAAATGAAAGATGATCATGATTAAGTTAAAGGTTAAATTGTGATCATGATCAAAGAGTGAAAACTTTCTGATTCTTTGATGTTTATGACACTGTTGAGGTCGCGATGATTAAATGAATTAATTCAGTAATTTATTAATTATTGTTGATGAGAATTAACAACTTGCTTGCATAATTAATCAACTTTTAACCAAAATAATGTGATCGTAATGGTTAGTTGATTGTGTCGAGAATTAATATCGTTTCACTTTATAAGAAAAACCTTGAATCTTTGATTGACATTTATTTTAATTACAATCGTGATTTATGTTCATCAATCTGATTATTCATAAACTGAAACTCTTTAATTAAAGAGTTAACAGTTAACAATCAACCGGGAAATCAGTCGCAATCAGTTAATTCAAATAAGACACTTTTCAAATCATATCTTTGGGATAAACAAGTTATTAAATCAGGTGGATTAAGCTAATCTCTTTGATCTTAAACATGTAAGTTTTTATCTGAAACAAAGTGTTTGAAATTAGTTAATCTTGTGAAAAGAGATAACAAATTAATCCAACAAATTAAATGACATGATCTCAATCTGTTGATTTGCTGTCAATTATTATTGATCTAAATTTAATTACAATCAATTTTGCAGTTGATAAAATGAGTAAAAAATACTGATTAAGTTAATATTGTTTTCTTACTTTATGATTTATCATCTTAAGACAATTTAATAATTGTTATTATCCACAATTAATAAATGATTTGGATTTAATATTCGATACATTGAGATAATTTAATAATCAACTAAGACTAAATAGATATCTAGATAATGTAAGAATTAAAAATAGATCAACAATTTACCTTCTATTCGTGATTAAGTTAATTTTTACTTTTGCCCTTGAGAGATTAACGAAAACACTGATTTTTACTTGACTCAATTAAATTAAACTAAATTATATTAATAATCATTATGATGATAAAACGATTAGCTTGATTGTCGATCAAGTTAAACCAAAGTCACGCAACAATCGGTTAACAATCAACAACAATTTAATATTGGGTGAAAAAGATGAGCAAATTACTCAATTGAAATGGTGATTTTAGTCAACAGAAAACCCGAACGGATCATTATCATGATGATGATGCTTATTAACTGTTAACTGTCATTAATTTAAATCAACCTGAATGTAGGTTGATTTGATACAATTTAAGCTATCATATTGTTTGATCAAATTAACGTAGGCTAAAGTTAATTGCAAGATTTGATTCACTCGAACCGCACCTTTAATGTCAATCAGTGTTGATTTTTTGATTGTTTAATCATTGTCAATTTATAGCCAACAATCAACAGATCAACAGTAACTATTATTGCAAAGCAAAAAGTTACATTTATCTTTGATTGATCAATCAGAATTAAATAAACAATCAACAGTAAATAATAAACAATTAGATGGTGGGCTTGTTTATCAACAGAAAAACTCAGTAAATCTAATTCAGATGTCAATTAACTGTATTGTCCATTAATCACATTATCTGCAATTTCAAATTCAAATTAAATTGATTCGATTTAGTGACAATAATTTACAAGTGGAAATTTTTATCTTCAATCAAGAAATGATTCAGTTCTGCCTGTTAATTGCTGTCAAACTCGATGCATTAGTGAGTAATTAATTTCTTTTCATTTAATAAATTGTAAACACTTAACGAAGTGACACTATTTCGATATGATGAATCTAAAGTTACATTAGAACTTTTTTGTTCAACATTCGTCCTTCGAGAATGAATATCTCACATCTTATCTATCTCACTATTTGTATCAATTAATTTTCATTTGATTTATTTTCCTCAAATTAATTGATCAGATTAATTCGATATCTTAAATTGTTGTCAGTAAATATTGGAACCCGGAACTTGAAGGTTATTATCAATAGAATAGCAAATTATCAGCGAAAGTACGAAAAGAAATCGCCCAAAAGTTTGAAAAGTTTTCTAAACTGAGGATGAGTTTCCATTAGCGCCTACATTGATTGTAGAGTGTAAGTATTTTCATCTTGCGAGTCTCACTCCCTCTCATCATCCTCATCATCTAATCCTTATCTCCATCTTATGTTTATATTGATCTTAAAACAAATTATCATCTACTTGCAGTGTCTTTTGTTGCCTTGAGCTGATTTCACAGCATGAGTCAAATTCATATTGTTCACCATGATTATTACATCTATTTATTCATGGTAAGGGATTGGAAAGGGAGATGATGATGAGGCTGAAGTGGGAGGAGGAGGAGAGGGTTTAACAACTGTGAAGAGCCCAGGAAAATGTATGTTACCTGTGGGTGGTAAATAACAGTTTGTATTAGTAACAGTTTGTTGTTTTCAATTGTTTCTTTATCCTTTTAATTGTCTACTCTCAGTGTGATTTCCATGGTTAATTTTAAGTTCATGCTAACACTGAACATGTATAATTACAATTATAATCACAATGGTTTTAACTCTTCAAGCCAACAATCATAATCAATATTTAAAAATCATTAGTAAACTTTAAGCTAAAACAATAACTTTTTTCAACCGTTTTTATGACCATAAACAAACTTAATCACAATTAACTATTTAATACATGTAATATTGAGCATTTCAGATACAATAAAGTCCAATCATCAATTCTGCAATCATTTGCACTTTAATTTGTTGATTCACTTTTTGTCAATAATCCGAAATGATTAAAGATGAAATTTAACTCACAATATATTAATATTATGTAATATCTAATGTTCATTATCATGTTTACCTTTTTTTTTACATTTTTTGCTGCATTTTCAGTTTTGTGTTGATGTTGATTATTAAGTTTATGATTTAGAGACATTTAATAGCCCGAGGGTACATTTTACCTGAACAAGAAGGTAAAATGTTTGAAAGATTTTAAGGAGTCTCCAGTATAAGAAGAAAGTGAAAAGGTAAACGTTGACTCCACCAAAGAAAAGAGAAACAACTTTGACCCCAAACTCCTCCTTCAACATTTTAAGGTTCCTTTGGGTTACTTTGGGGATGAAGATGATGAAGATGAGGAAGATGATGATGATAACTTACCAACAGAATCAAAATAATAAAATATTTACCTATTTCAAGTTTACCTGTAGTATTACTGAAACGATTATCATTTGAAAGGTTACTGTTAACTTTGATTTAGACAGAAAAACAAAGAAGGAGAAAAATCTAATTGTAATCATTTTAAGCAACTAATTAAGTTTTACTTTTTAATCAACTAACGAGATGATTGACTCAGCATGAGATGATAATGATGAGGAAGACAAAAGATTAATAGATTGAAGAAGATGATGATAATAGCATAATGATGAGAAATGTTTTAAATGGTGATAACTCCAGGGAGTGTTTGTTATTATATTTATCATCAGTTAATCATCAATTGATATTAGTTAGTTAATTGGCTTTCAATTCTTAATCATGATAATGATCAAAGGCACAAGATAATGATTCACTTAATTGCTAAGGTATGACCTTAATTGTCAAGGTTGTACATTGATTCACTTATTGATCCGATATTTTGTTTTCCTTTAAATTATTATTTTACGTAAGTTTTGTCTCTTATTTGATTAACTGATCACAATTAACAAATTGAAGCAAATATTTTCCGAGTGAATATAAAACTATGAAACTTCAACAATTAACTAAACTCATCATTTATAATCTAATTAACAGCTTCTGTCCATAATTAACAATTAGCTGATTAAATTGATCTTGGATCGTGTTGATAAGGCGGATCATAATTATCACACTTAACTAATTAACAAATTACAATTGGAAAACTTGATCAAAATTAATCTGTTACTTTGTATCAAAGTTGATTATCAATCTTGCGACTTATTTAAATTGCGATTGTTAATTGTTTGGTTTGGCATTATAAGAATTTCTAATTTGCTCCAGGATAACTGTTAATTTTAATTACAATTTAAGTTAAGTAAATAATGGTTACAATGATTATTAACAAATCAATGACCATGAATTAGATGCAATCAACTTTCATTGCGATTTGAATTGTTTTTTGTTTTCAATTTAATTTAATCAGTCAACTTGAAGTTAATCAAATTAATAATGATAAACTTTTTGCATCTTTTGATTAATTTGTTTTACAATCTCAACAATTTAGTAATTGTCACAATCAATGATGCTTGGATTGACAATTAAGTGAACATTAGTTATTAATTATCGTTAATTAATTAACTCAATCATAGGGGGTTCGTGTTAACTGATCATCAATTTGTAATTTAATTTGACTTACTACTAATTACGATTCAACCTAAATCAGGGTAATTAACATTGGAAATTAATATTTTAATACAATTGAATTAACCTTTAAAAGTTTAGGTTTAGTTAAACTAAACCGGTTTAAAGGTTAAATTAAAAGTTAATCAACCTACGCTTAAATTACCTTAAATGGAGTCCAATTGATTGTGAACAACAATTAGACGAAATCAGATCTAAATTCTTGGGATTATAATCAAAATCAATGTTGAAATAACAGTAACAATTGTTGGTAAATCAGCTAATTGGTAATAATTGTCGGATTATATTAATACAATTAATTTGCAGCTAATTACAAGATTATATGGATCTAATTTGTTTTGATCTAATCCTTGATTTAATTATTAATATTTTCATAATTAGAAACATAATATTAAGGATTCAGTATTTCATTAAATTTACTTCAACTTTGGTGATTTAATTGTTACTTGCGATTGTAAAAGTTTATGTTAATCATCAAGTTTACAATTAAATTTACACAGAAAATTTTCCTCCTTCTCTTCCCATTCCAAGCCCAAAATCTGATCTTTTAATTAAAAATTAGATTCACTTCCTGATTGACTTTCATCATGTAATTAGTACCATTAGAAAGAGGAAAAGGCAAATTATTTAAATAACTAAAAATTGGTTCAAAAATGAAATCAATTAACGTGTTGGATTAAATGATAATTACTAAACCATGAAAACATATGATAAGAGAAAGGAAATACAGAAAGAAACTTATCCATGAAGTTGTGAAGCAAAAAATAGTAAGCAAACTGGTTCGACAAGACTTAGAACTTAGTAGTTTAATCACAATTAGAAGGACTAATTAATCAAATTAAATCTAAAAACAATAAAATCAAAACAGAAAAAAAAGATTCAATTAGTTTGTGAATCGAGTGACAAGATGATGGAATAGTTGGTGCAAAGGTGATTCGTGAAAGTCTCGATTGTTTTTATGTGTCAGATTGGAAGATGAAGGAAGAAAGAGAATAGTCGATTCTCTTTCTTTGTCATCCTCATCCTCATCTTCATCCTTTTTATTTTCTTTTTATTTATTTATTTTGATATATTTTATATTCTCGACTGTTTTATACATTTCATCTCGATTCGATATTTTTAACAGTCGAACATGTTTTTCAATCACCATCGAGTTGAATCTCAACTTTTTTCTTCTCTTCATTCAGTTTCGATTCGAGTTCAGAACTTTTTTCGAATAAAAAATATATTCTTTTTTTGAGTTTTTCTTTTGTTGTCAAAGTTTTACCTCTTTCTTTTTTTCCATAGACAATACGATATAATAAAATATTATTATTATCATGATTCCAACATGATAAAAAAGTACAGAATTTTTATTCGGAAATTTTTTCTTTTACTTTTATTTTGACAATTTCTACTTTTACACATGCATGAGTTTAGTCGAAAATTCTGATTCATTTGAAATTTCAATGTTTCTATTGCTTTTCCATGTCAGATTGTTTTTCAAATTCTATTTCAACTGAATCATAAAACGAAATGAATTTATTATCTAATTGTTTTCGAAGATGGTTCGGATTGAGCCTCAGCTTTTCTGTTTACTAGTGACTGTAATTACTTTCAATTGTTATTTTGTATCCTATTAGTCGTGAAGGAGGATGATGAAGATGAAGATGAGGATGAAAATGATGGTGATGGGCGTGTTGATTTACTCAAGAGTTTTACTTTTGTAATGATCATTTGGATGCTCTGATACTTCATGATAATAATGATGCTCAGGATAATGATGATAAGTTGCAAGTATAAGATAATGTCTTTCGATGATAGAAAAGGCAACATGATAGAAACTCAGGAAGATCACATGGAAAATGAGTTATAAAAGGTGAATAAAATTGAGGAAGTTATGAGAATCTTTTCTCGCCACTGACATTCTAATAACATTCAAATACACTCATCTTCATGTGACCTTGATGATGATAATGAAGATAAGTTGATGATCTTCATCTCATCTTCTTTCCTCGGCTGATATTTTACATTTTTCATTCGTTTTCTTTTCATCTTGTTCCTTATTCTTGATCACCAACACTTTCAATTCTCTTCATTATCTTCTAAAAGCTCATCTTCCTCGATGAGGAATCTTCATCATGATAAATTGCATTTGCTTGGAAGAAAAGTGAAGATTATCTTCATAATCATTCACTTTTACTCGAAATTGATTCAGAAGAAAATGAATAAGGTAGAGAAAAAGATTGTTAATCATATTGAATTGCCAGTAAATCTGTTAATCCAAAAGTAATTCAATATAATGGCTTAGAAGATGATGAATATCATGATGATGTTTTCAAGCTTATGAAACATGTAAAGATGATGAGGACTTACGTTCATCCGAATCTGTATAAACCTTTGCTGATGTAATATCTGGAAGAAAAGGGAGAAAAAGAATAAGAATTAATCATTGGTTAATTTCATTGTTTCATCATCTCATTCAGATGATCATGATAGATGAAATGAAAAAAATAACTGAAAAATTGATGAGCAAAAAAACTTGATCCTCAAAAATTATCTTCATCCTGATCATCAGAAAGTGATAAACTCTAAGTGACTGTTGATTATATAATATTGGTTAAACTGATTGCTTTTCATCGTTTAAATTGTTATTGACATCAATCATCATCTGATGAAGAAGAAGAGGAAGAAGATGATAAAATGATGAGGATGAAAGTTCAAGAGAGAGAGAGAGAGAGAGAGAGAGAGAGAAATTCAGATTATTTGCATCTTAATTTATTGCTCATGAAACATGATACTGATAATAAGAGCTCGAAAACTGATAACCGGAACTGGAAACGATGAAGATGCTTTTATTCAAGTTATAGTTCTGTGATAAATTTAAGTTCAATATCATGAATTTTCATTCCTTTCAAAATGAATGTTATTCACTCCCAACTTCAACTCCTCATCTCGTATACTCAATTAAGAACGAAAATATTTTATTTCATGTGAATGTTTTCTTGATTCAAATGCTCAGTTGAAACTTACTCATCATTATCTTCATCATTCTTGAATGATTTGAAATACGAGACGAAGATGATGCAGTTGATGATAAAATTCTGACAAGGTGATAACAGATCAGAAGAAATGATAATATTAATAATGAATTGTCAGCAAAGAAATAATAAGATTCCAATGAATTCTTAGTAACACTTTTCTCTTGTTCCCTGAGAAACAGGGGAAATATTCATTATTATAATCATCATATTTACATGAAAAGTAATCAAATTTCAAGTATATTAAATTATTTGGAATAAATTATAGCCATGATAATTATTCTAATGGTTATTCAAAAAAAGAATAAGTTTTTTTGATGAAATGATTTAATTAGCAGGAAGCATAAAACTAATTTGATAAAAATTAATTTTTTTCTCACTCTTTATCTTCATTCATACGAATGATAATCATCATGATGACCATTGGTCTCTCGCTTGCTTTCATCCCATTAAGTTCACCTTAAAAAGTTTCAAGTTTAGTCGAGATGAAAAAGCCACAAGAGAATCAATTTATTTTCTTACACTGACCAATGGTCACTTGTCTGACCTACATTATAATGACCATTATCATCTGAGCTTTTTGATGATGATTTGTTTTTTATCATATCAACAACAATAATAATAAATCGCCGGTCAGGTTAATTAACAAAGATAAATTATCTTCATAATCATTACCATCACAACGGTGAAAATTTATTGTTATTCATGAAGTTATTAAGTTGACTAATTATCTTCATCAATCAAACCAAAGTTTATTGATCAAATTATTATCATTAACATCAAATGATGAGATAGAAAAGTGAATTCTGATTGATGATGGTGATAGTCTCCTTTCCTCATGAAATCTGATTTCATTCAGTTTATGTGCTTTCTAAATTCTATCAAAATTTTAATTGAAAAGTTTCACTATAAGTTCTGGTCTCTATTGATTCTCAAGTAATATCATGAAGATAAAAGTGATCAGCATGAAGAAGATGATGCTCACTGGGTCATCTCATCACCTCAGCTCAATTGAAATGAACTTTCCCCCAATTTCAATCTATTCTTTTGTTCAGTTTCAAAGTCGATTGCATTTACTTTTTCAATAGTTACTGAAAAAGTTTCTCTTCTCATCGATTCTTTCTTTCGCTTTCGCTTTCGCTTCCGTTTCCAGTTTTTGTATTCTATCACAAGGTGTTGATAACAAAAGGTGATGAACAAAGAGAAAAAGATGAAAAGAATGATGAAGAAGATGAAGTAACATTGAAAATGGTGAAGCGAATAAGCTGAAGATGATGATCAGAAAGAAGATATTCCATGTAAATTATAGGCTACATGATCGCAAGTTGTATCATCATCTGAAAGAGATGATGAGAAGACCTCAAGTAAAAAGAGACGATAAACAAAAATCTAATTCTTATTCACTAAACATCAATAATTTCCGGAAAATATCTTCTTGGTCATGGGGTAAAGTAAAGATCTATCGAGAAATTCATGATTGATTAACTGAAATTCTCATCGAGTTAATTTTCATGATAAGTTGAATTCATGAGATAACATTTGTTTCTTGTGATGATATCATTTCGGTTATTTCGTCGTTATCTTGTTATTAGATGTAAGTTAAAGGGAGAAAACAATTGAATCGAATTGAGAAATTGGCTTAGAACTTTTTTGTTCTGTCCAGATTGTTAGTCTTTAATTGTACGACTGTTAAAACAAGACACTTAATACGATTGAATCAATGGAGTGGGATGATGGATTCAGTTATAATATCGTAAGAAAATGTTACATGTGACTTGGTTTTTTTCATCTTCTTGGTGAGTTGTCACATTTAACGCTTTCCTTGTTACAATCATCATTTCAATCATCATCATCATCGACAAAATCAGTTTTTTTCTGTTGTTACTTGACAAGAGAAGCAAAAACAGTTGAACATTACAACATTGAGAATGTTGGATCAATCAAGGAACCATGATGATGATGATAAAGATGATGATGAGGTATTATAATGCTTTGTATGATATCCTGAATACTATTTTCATGTGCCATTGGCAGTCACAGATTCAAGCAAATGTTTACTTGTTTTGCAGGAAAAACAGTAAAAAAATCAAATAACATCAACATGAGACTGAGAAAAACCGTTGAAAATAAACAGCATTTTGTCATCCTCATCATCGACACCATTTTACTTATCATTATCATCCTCATCTTTTTCCCCTGAAGCAAAAAGCTCTTACCTACTCTTCTCAAGACAAAAGTAAATATCATTGATACTTTTCATCCCTTCAAGCGACACTTTAAATCATAATATAAATCAAGAGTTGACACCGAAAATTATGATAAAAGTGACGATAAAAATGATAATTTAACAGAGAAAACTTTTTACAAACTGATCATTGATATTTTTTTCTTCTTTCTCAAGTTTCTGTTCATGACTATGATTCAGGGAGGATGATGATTGTTCATCCATCACTAAAAGACTAATATTATGGTTGATATCGATTCTGATTCTGATGTTTCATAATGGACTCACTTTATCACTCAAAAAAAAGATGATTGCTAGATTAATATTTGCTGAAGGAGGAGGAGGAGGTAAAAAGATGATGATAATCATGATAAGTTTCATCATGTTAAAGTTGAGGAAGAGAACATTGTTTCGAAAAGTTTTGTTTCCAAGTGATGAACATGAGCCAGAGGAACATGAATCATCCTCATGTTAGCTTGAATAGCGATGAACCAACAGTTAATTAATACTTGATTAACTATTGCTAGGAAAACAAAATTAGCGAAAATCAATTAATTTTTAACCAAAACTTTTTAGCTTCGATTAAAGTGAATGGGTTGAATTCTTGAGACTGAGAGAACACATTTCAAGAATTCTCATGTTTCTGAATTGATGTGAGTTAAAATGAAAATTCATTCCCAATTTTAAATGTTAACCGGAAGTGACCACAGGAAGTTACAAGAACCGCAATCAAGATTTGAAATAAAGATTTTCTGTTCTAATAAACAGAAATAACTCAGTGGAAAATAACGGTAAGGATAATAATCGATTTATCTTTTTTTCCTTCTTTGATTTCTTATATTGATGTTTTTCCAGGGGAAAAATGATGAGATTTTTTGGTTCACTCAATTCGGATAACATGTAATGTTTCATGTTATTGTTACTCAGTTATTTCATTATTTTCATTGTCAACTGAAAATCACTTTTGATAATCAAAGTAATTTGATAGAAGCAAAAAAAATGATCACAAATGATTATTTCAATGATAATGATGATGATAATCAATAAGAGGATTCAAACAGATATCTAATAACATGTAATTGATGATTAGGATGAAAAAGGCTGTGAAATGATTTGATTAAGATCATATTGATTTCTGGTGACCATTGGGATGACTTTCTGATCATTATCATCATCATGGTCATCATCAGTGTTATTATCAATGGCAACTTTGAAAATGATGAAAAAAAGTTCCAATGAAAGGATTTCATGGTAACTTATTATTACATTTGGTTCAATTGAATCGGTGGATTTGATGATGACCTTAATACTGACCCTTTACCCTGCTAGTTCTTGATAATAATATTAAATTGTTTCATTTTTAGGATAAAAATATAATAAACTTTTCATTTCAGTTACTATTGGTGTTACATAAATCTTTGAAATCTTGTTGATTCAGCTTTTACAATCAAGTTAATTTTACTTTTTCACTTAATGATTTAGGTTTTGCTATTGATTAGACTGAATTGATTGCAATTTAAATTGTCCATAATTTTTTCTGTTTAGATTGTTGTTCATTTGTCTCATTACTTTTTTGGTGATCATTTGTTGGTTAATCAAATCATAATTTGCTAAATGATTACAAAAACTTTTAATGGATTCATATATCATTAGATTGTTATTATTAATTTCACTCTAATTATGTTCATCATCATTTGTATCAAAGTGTTAAATTAACCATTTAATTGTGATAATAGGTATTAAATGGTAGAATTAGTTAAGTGAGATTACTCGTAATGGAGAAAGTGGGAGAAAAAAACTAATTCCATTGCGAAAGAAAAAGTTCTAATGCATTAGAACATTATTTTCTTGTTCAATATTGAATTCGAGGCTAAACTAAATTAGACTTGAATGATAATAGTGAAAAGATTTTATTTTTTGGTGAGAAATGATAATTTAAATATTAAATCCAATTGATTTTTAAAGATAATGCTGATTGAAATTGTTCACTGAATTAATCAAATGAGATGAAGGTTCCATTTAATTGTAGTTCACTTGAACTTCAATAAGCAATTGATGACAATTGCAGTCGAGTTACATCAATGAGGAGGATAAATAAAGATAAACAGTCAAAATGATTTTTCAGTTGTATTATTATTCACAACGAAATGTATCATCAACATGAGCATTTTGATTAACATTTGAATAACATCATCCTCTTACTGTGTTTATGTGCTCATCACAATAAACAGAACCATAATGAATTCAGAAAAACCAAACTTTAGTTTGTATCCAAAGATAATTGTGATTAAGATACAAAAACTATTTAATTCAAACAAATTGTTGAGGTTAATCACTCAACTTTTGTTGTATTCCAATTCGTTATTCTTAATAGAAATGCAAATGATTAACATGATTGTCATTAACATCATCATTTGAAACAATTAGTACTAAATGATTAAACTAAATTACTATCATTAGATTGTATTATAAAGTATTAGATTGTGATAATAAAAGTTGATACATTTGGATGTTTAGAAATATCAAAGAGATGATCATTTATCGTTCTCTGAGTTAGGAAAATGAATAATGTCTTTCAATGGATAATCACGAAAAAATTTTCTATCAGCATTGAGAAAAACACTTTCAACAAATTCCCTAATCGTTTGATAATCTCTGTTTTCCCTATTTACTCGAGGATTATCATTATAATTCATTAGAATCCAAGTGTTATCTAACTTATCCATGCTAAAGACAATGAGTAATAATGAAAAATATTTTCATTATTTCTGTTCCTCTTAACAATGGTTTTCATGATAAATGAATTTTCTGAACTTCGATGAATTCAATAGACTCTGTTTCAAACTCATGATATTATTCAATATATTATTATTAATATTATCGTTATTGATCGTATTCAGATGATGTGATTAATATTATTTTCAATTTTCCTGGACAATGTTGATAACTGATGAAGTTAAGTCAGTTGAGATTAATTAACAGGAGGATTATTACAAATATTCATCATAATGAGCAAAAAATGTTGAGACAAAAATGTTATGAATTTTTAGTCAGAACTTTTTCTCCCTCATGGTTCATGTTAATCATCCTGTTATCCTAATTCATTACAACAGGATAAAGATGATGGGTCAATATCATGTTCATTTATTAGTCTCTTAATAATAATGATATTATATAATAAATTGTATTATTATTATTTTGATTGGGAAAGTGGGTGAAGCTCAGGGAGTTGATGATGATGATAAGAGAAAGATGAAGAGGAAGAGGAAGAGAGTAGCAATTGTGACTATATCATTATCCGAATAGCAAGACAATTTGGATTCTGATTCGCATCATTTGAGCCTCTAGTCAAGAGTAAATATCATTTTTATCATCATTGAGATATTTTCATGGCCAGAAAATCACAAGTCAATGAAAAGATTCTGAAGTCTCAAGTTAATCAGAAAAAAGATTCCGAAGAACCAAAAAAAGGTAACATTGAGTCTAAGTAACGGTAGATTGAACTTTCAGGATGAAAATGAAAAAATGAAACGGGATGAATTTGATGATAAGGAAGAGAGAGAGAGGGAAAGGGAGGGATGATGAACATGTTTATAAGTAAGATGATGCAAATGATTTTGACCGGAAATTGATGTTAACATAAAAAAAGATGAAAGAAATAGATAAAAGTTATTGGTTAATAATTCATCATGATGATGTAGTGAAGGAGGATGAAGAGGAGGAGGAGGTGGTGGTGGGAGGATGTAGGATATGATTGGATGACATGTTAAAATGTTATTGATGCAGTAACTTACATCCTATTTTATGTAGAAGCAAAAAAGACGAAAGGATGAAGATGAGGACGATAACTGTGAAAGTTATACCAAGAAAATAGGGAAAATATTGTGATGATGTTAACAAATTTTTCTCAGGTAAACAAGTCCATTCTAAAAGTATATCTATCAATGAGCGATTATTATTATTCACTGGATTCTGATTGTTTTGATTAACTCTTTGGTTACTTGGTATCATTATCTTGTTAGTTATTACTTGTGGTGGGAAATGAGGATGGAAACCAAGTTGTTGTTGTTGTTGATTGTGCTGGAGATGCGGATGATGATGCTGTTGATAGTGACGAGGTGATGAAAGATAAATTTGATCCTTGACACTTTTATGTGACTGATTATGTGGTTGATTATTACCAGAGTGATTCTGTTGGAAGTGATTAGATAAGTGATTAGAATAATAAATTTGTCCTGGTAATCCGTTAATTAGATTAGCTGGATTCTCGTAGGGGTTTGAAACGGAGCTCATGTTGTTATCAATTAAGGGTGAGTTTGATTCTTGAAGATAAATTGATTTATCATTTGTTATTGAATTATCGTAGGCTGAGTTATTTTCAGAATCTAAATGACACGAACAAAGATATTCATTGAATAAAGTGTTATTATCATTATCAATGAGGTCGCCGATTACTGAATTACCTAATGGTGATGGGCCACGAGGAGATGACCGAGAGTAATAAGATGAAGCTGAACTTTGTTGATGATGAGGATGATGTTGACTGAGAGATGGAAGATCTTGAGAGTGATAATGGGTTGATGATTTCGTTGATGAAGATAAACGAGAAGGTTGAAGAGACTGATGATGCTGAAGATTGGATGATGATCGATGGTGATGATTGTTGTTATTATGGTAAAAAGTGACCTCAGAAAAAGTGACACTTCGATTGGGTCTACCTCGTCTGAGAGGATAGAGAGCATCAACTGAATCACTTCTCATTAAGGTGAGATAGTTAATTGATCACAGGGAACAATTAGATCACAATTAATTAATCAAATTGAAAGACTTTGAAAGACAGTTGAACAATAAAAGGAAACATTTTTTTATTCACAATTTATTTTATTTTGTTACTTCATGTGGTTGATTGTTGAAAGACTTGGTTACATTTTTTATTGTTGTTGATAAAGATGCAGATTATGTTGGTGATGTTGATGATGTTGATGATGATCATCAAGGTGATGAGAGATGATGAAAGACTTACATTATAATCATTATTTTGTGGAGCAAAAAATGACTTGGAAAAAGGCAAAGAAAAAGGCAATTGAAAGACGAGAAAATGTTGAGGAAAAAAAAGTTACATAAGAGGTTTCATGGTGATGAAGATTCTGATGCTGATTTTGGTGAGATTCATCCTCATCTTTTCATCCTCTTTCTTTTTACTTTCTCTCAGTTTACTCTGTCACTGGGGCACTTATTTCTCTCTTTTCCTCTCTCTCTCTCTCTTTTCCATCACATTGTGAATACAAATTGAAAGGAAAAAAGTGGAAAAAAGAGTAACTTTCTCTCAAGTTTGATGTTATTCACTCTTTCAGCATTCTTATTGCAAATGATTGGAAGAGAAGGTGAAATGATGAGGATGAGGAAGCTGATGGTTTCAACATCTACTGTAGCATCATGATGATAGGGCAGAAGATGAAAGTGAGCAAGGATACTCTCAGTTAGTTGTAGAGGTTGAGGCATGATTGTTAGTTGAAAAAATTGCTTTGACTTTGGATCAATGAAAATAGAGGAAGATGAAGATGGAGAAAGAGATTTGATACAAAGAGAATGATGAAGATGATGAGAATGAGAATGTTAAAGAATAGGGAAAATGAATATAATGATAAAAACGAAGATAACAATTAAGATCTTATTGATGAGAGAAATCAAGTTCAATCATATCAACTAATTAAATTCTCGTTTGTTTTCCATTCAATGTATTAATAAAAACTTCATCTCTATTTCACTTAATTCATGATTCATTTCATTTCATGTTATTATCATAATGACGTAAGAATTATAAACAAAAATACCTTAATGATTAGATGATAATTACCTTAATCTTTTCTAATCATAATCAAACTTTGAGTGGGAGATGAATTTGTTACTTTAATTGGCCGTTCATTTGCAAGTTACAGTTGCAATTTGACTTTTTTGTTTACATTTGCAAGATGATTGAGTTTATTGAATTATAATCAATAAATCACAAAGGTAAACTGATCAATTGTGAACCAACATGGATGAAACTTGATAATATTAATAAAGATAAGATCAAGATAAAAGTTGCTCAAAAAGTTGTTTCAATGTTAAAATTTCACAGAAAAAAAGTTGATTACTTTCAATGGAAAGCAACTAGTTTTTTTTTCAACGGAAATCGCTGAGTTAATTTAACCAGAGTACTCACCATTTGTGATTAGTTTAATTGTTTGTGACTTTGACTTTGATGTTGTTGTGAATAATTTGGACGGAAACGACGAAGAAGATGATAATAATGGTGATGGTGTCGTTGAAATCGCTCGAGACACGAACGATGATGAAAATTTGGGTGACAGTTTGAACGGTGAAGACGAATAAGAATTTGATTTGATGATTAAAATGAAAATGAAGGTGAGAAATAGAACAGCAGTAGAAGAACAATTAACTCGTTAAATTGAGATGTAATCATATTTTAGCACTTGGTTAATGCAGAAAGAAAAGTTTTAATCCTACAAACTTTTCCATCAACAGTTATCTAAATAATTTGAGTTAAATGTGAAAAAGTAAAAAAAAGTTTTTCAACTTTAGGTTTTCCGATTCAGTTTGGTGTTCGAGGGAATTGGCGCCACCTGTTGTTGGGAAAATCAGCTGAAAGTTGGAACTTGTTTCAGAAGAGTTTCAACTTTTCCTCGTTAATTTCAAGCAAAGATCAGATTATCGTCCGGGAGATGGAGCTTGAGCCCTTGTTTGTGAACGCAAGCGTCAATTAGGCCTTGAGATCAGAACATTTTCTAATCGTCGAAATGAATAGTTATTGATGAGATCGACAGATGGAGCTCAATGGGATTGAAAGTAACTTGAGAGTAACTTTTTGTTTTTTTCATAACTAACATTTTACTCAATTTTATTTAGATAACTGTTGATGGAAAAGTCTGTTAGGTCAGAACTTTCCTTTTCGCAATTTATACTAAGTGAAAAAATATGATTACATCTCAATTTACCGTGTTGATTGTACTTTTTTTATTATTATTTTATCTCTCATCTTCATCAACTTCTTCCTCTTCCTCTTCATCTTCTTCTAATAAAATGATTTCATCTCATCCTTTATCATCATCTTCGTTCTCACCGACATCTTCACACTCATCGTCATCTTCTTCTTCTTCTCCGTTTTCTTCTTCATTAAATTCTCTGTCATCCGAATCATCGTCACCTTCAGAATCTTCACCAGCCTCATCTTCCAAATCAACCTCCTCCTCCTCCTCTTCCTCATCTCGTGGACGCAATTGTTCATCATGTATGTTATTAGACGGAGCTAAAGAGCGACGCATTCGAAGCATCAAATGGCAAATATTGAATAAACTTGGCTTCAAGAACGAACCAAATATAACTCGTCGAGATAATCTAGAGGTTCCACCGTTAAAAGATATAATCACTTCCTCCATGATTTCCCTCTACTCTAATCAAATGTTACCCACTTTCTCAGCGCAACGATTATCTTCCAATTCTAATTTACAGTCCGAGACTAAAAAGCTTCTAGGATTGTACAATAAGGACGAAATGATGTCTTCGGATCAAGCTTATCCCACCTCAGAGGATTATGACGATGATTCAGAAGATTTTTATGTCAACACCGATAAAGCAATTAGCTTTGCAATGAAACGTAAGTAGAAACAATTAACAAAATAACAATTAGAAAAGTACAATTCACATTAATCAACATGCAATTGATCAAAATGACCAATCAACCTGAATCGATACTATTAACATCATTTACCAATCTTAATCCAAAAGCAACTCTTTTATCAATATTTTCACCTTTGCAATTTACATTCACCTTTGTTACATTTAATCCCTGGATTATGACAGCTTTGACCGGTCAAGGCCATTTGTTTGATTGTTGCAAAAGTTATAAGAAAATATAAAAATGATGTTCAATATAATGAAAAGTAAAAAGTTGTCAGAAAAAAAGAGAAGAGGTCAAGAAAAAGGAGAACAATAATAAGAGAAATCAGTGCTGACCTTTAACCTCTGTCAACGGCTTGCCCAGGTCAAGATGTAACATTTTACCTTAGCAACAGAAAAAAATGTATCAAGAAGAAGAAAAAAAGATGATGAACAAGAAGAAAAAAAGAAAAGAAGAAAAACTGAAGAATAGTTATCTCTTCGCTCTCTCTCTCTCTCTCTCTCTCTCTCTCTCTCTCTCTCTCTCTCTCTCTCTCATCATCTTTCATCTTTTTATTCCTCTTGTTCATCATTCATCTTTCATCTTTCATTTTTCTCTCTCTCTCTCTCTTTCTCTATCTTTTATCTCTATCTTCATCTTTGAACGCATATACTTCCTGTGAGAAATACATTCGCCTTTATTATAACAAAGGTAAAATACTTTGCTGACCGTAGGTCATAAATTTAAATGGAGTAACAATGACCCATGCGAAGTAGTTATTGTAATGTTATGAATAATGATTTCATTTTTACATTCGATGATTGAACTGACCAGTAAGTATAATAACTATCGATGCAATAATATGAATCAATTAATGTTTCCCTTTTAATTGCGATCATTTGAAATGATTATAATTAGTTAATATTATTTGGGATTAAATAAAATTTTGATCTTCGGCCTTGAAGGTAAAGGAGTTTTTTTCTATTAATTTAGAAGCAAATAAAAGATAATATTTTGCGATATTAAAAACTATAAATTATTACCTAGGCCATAATTTATCAGGGCCGAAGGCCGATCAACGATCAACAATTAATTGTAATAATAATAATCAGTCCGTCAGAATATGATTAACTACCGATCACTCGTTGCAAATAAAAGCAATTTGATTTCAATGTTGTCAAAACGAAAGATGATCAGGTTAACAAAAACAACGTTAATTAACCCAACAATTAACCTTAAAACTAAATAATCTAAGGGCGTAATCATTACAATATAACCAAATCCAGGTCAATCTTTGGATTAACATAGACCTAGTTTTAGTTTTTGTCTTTATTATTACCATTGTAATTGTAATTGTAATTGTAATTGTTATTGTTTATCCGAAACTTGTAATGGGCTTGACCTGAAAAAGTTAAATCAAAAACCTCAAACATTAACCAGAAACTAAACTTAAATTACCGAGACAATTATTATCCCACTGACTATTTATGTCTGATTATGGCAGTTTGCTTGATAATAATCATAATCATGATCATCATCATGGTTTAATTATAATCATTGATTAGTAACTTTCATCTCATTGTTATCATAAATCCTCCCAATAGAAAAAAAAGTTTTTCCATTTTGTTTTTAAAATAATTTCTATCTTATTGTAATTGTATTAATAGTTGATGATGGTTGATACAATTGCTAATAACATCATCTCAATGTAATTAACTGATTAAATTTGATTATCCATCTTTTTGCTTGTGAGAAATTCAAGTTTAACCAAAATGGTTAGAGATGTACAATTAACAGTCCGCCTTCACAATTTGTGTTGCAATTTAACAGTTTGTACTTTAATTGTATTTTGATTGGGAACAGTGTGGAGTTGTTATGTATTATCATATTAGATTGTAACTATTAATAAATTGCCAGCAAAATAGATACAATGTATAACATTAATAATTACAAATTTAAAATGTTCAAGTTCTCATTGAAACAATCAACACAATATTCATGATTATAGCAATTGATTAAATGTCATCAAAGATGAACAAGTTTATCTATACTAAGAATACATAGGAAATTATAATATGATTGATGTTGAGAGTGAGGGAGGAAGTTGATGATTGTGGAGGAGGAGGAAGAAGAAGAAGAAGAAGAGTTCATCATAATCAGGAGATGTTGATTAGTAAATTGTAATTCAAGACATTATGGTTAATTCCCATGAAACAAAAAATCGGAAAGAATAAAGTTTTCTACAGAAAATAATATTTTGTTTCTTTTTGTAGTTGATATTTTGTTACAATTTTCTTGATTGTTATGATTAGTATGATAAGTGACTGACCTTGGTTAACATCTCAAGATGATCCTTATTATTATTATTGTATCAATTTTAATATCACATGTATCTCATCTCGTTCTAGATCAAACTCATCTTCATCTTTGATTAAGTAAACATTTTCATCGTTCTCATCGAGTTTCACTAAAGATGAGCATTGAATCTGATTTCGAGGTTGACAGAACCCCTTTTCTGGAGATCATGTGATTAAGATAACGATCATCATGATTTGCCCAGAATCATGATCATAATGATAATGTTGAAGGTGAAGAAAAATGTTACATTTATTAAAAAGTTATCAACAAGAATCAAATTAATGGCAATCGAGTGAAAGAGTTAATCTTTCTGTGAGATTAGTAACTAAAGGCTTAACAGTTAGTGTGTTTTTTAACAATTTAATCTGTTGATCTGATATTGCAATCAAATTAATTGATAGCTAATGTACTCGTTTATTAAGGTGATGGTGTTTAATTGTTGTGAGCTTTTAGCTTATCTTTTAATATTAAATTCATCGTTTGATTGACCGATTTGTTGAATTGTGAAAAAGTTGCAAATGATAATCAACTTTTGTTGAACAATTATACAGAATTAATTACTCAATGAGAAAGACTCAAACTCATTGAAACTTTTTCTATTCATAACTTTGATCAGATTAAAATGCTTCAGATTTGTTAATCTTGTTCAATTTGTAACAACTTTGTCTTCATATAAGTTACCAGACAAGTGATTATCGTAATTATTTTTAGTCACAACAATTAATTAGTTTCATTTAATTACACTGTCTTCGTTGCGAGAAGTTTTCAATTAGACCACAGTTCTAACCTAATTTCTGAGTCCCGGATTCTCAAAGGTCAACTAACTGTTTCAACGTTGAAATTCACGGACAGAAATAATTGATCTGATTCTTGAATCATTGAACATCATCAACTCACAAGAACAATTATTAGTTTGATTAATTGTTGAAAATTGCTCATTAATCGTTAATCGATTTGACTTCTCGCTCACCATTCGCTATCAAGTAGCCCGATTGATATTAATGGTTATTAGTTTATTGTTATTCACAATACAAATGCGATCGTCATTATCTCAATTTTGATTGATTAGGCAATGATGATTATCTATTATCTGATGGCTAATCTACAATTAGATTTGTACAAATTTGATAATCGCTAATATTAATTGTAGTACCTATTCAATTAAAAGTGATTCAATTTTAATTACGATAAATTATAAATTCACTTTGTATTTGTCAGTTGTTTTATTACCTGTAAGTTTTTGACAAATTGATTTTGAACAAAGTTTCAAGTTTAAATTGCAACATTTTGATGATTCTGATTGATGATCATCATTGATCTGTTGATGCAATTACTTAATTACTTAACATAAATCTCTTACATTATATCAAATTATTTGAATGAAAATCAAAGGATTTACAAGAAGATAAAAGTTGTCAAAACTGGTTCCCAATAATTTAACAGAGTAATAAACATGAATTTTTGATAAACTCATCAACATTAAGATGATTATCATGATGATCATCATCAAGTCTTCAGACGCATGAAAATCACTTGAAATTGTTAGCAAATTGCAGGAATCATCTTATCGTAATCAGAGTTAAAAGCTACTCAGTGTTAGTAAATGTTGGTACAATTCTGTCCGTTACAAATCATAATGACGATTTGAAGATAAATTAAACTGGACAATGACATGATCTTGATTTATAATGACCATTATTAGGACCATTATCACAATCAGATGAGAGTAAAAGTTTTAAGGTTGTTTCAATGTTATCATAATTATCATCGTAATTATTACTTAATATACGAACTGAATTGATAAGGATTAAGACTTGAAAAAATCTCATTTACTGTTCAATCAACTCATCACTTGTTTCTTATGGTTTCTTCATCATCCCTTTGATACTTTCATTTGCAAGTTAATTCCCAATGTATTTTGGTGACTCAATCAAGTTAATCAACGATAATTGGTTAAAGATTAGTCACAATGAAGGCGGAAGTTACATTTAAATTAGCTTAAGTATTAATAAAGCTACAATAAAAAAAAAAAAGTTTTCACTCTAATAATAAGATCAGGTTACAATTAAACTGAAAATACCGGAAGCGTTACCTGATCATCACTGATCAACATGATGATATTATTGATGATGAAGATTAAGATATCATGATAATGAAGCATGTTCAGTGTATCATCTCAAGCATCAGTTCAACAATCACTTAATTAATAAGATGTTGATTTGCTTATTTTTTTATTAACTTAATTTGTTTCCACTTAAATCTAATTGTGATTTAATCGATCACAGACTGATCAATGCTTAGATTTCAATTTTCGTTATTTTGATTCACTTTCAGTTTTTACTATTTCAGAAATTGTATCATTTGTTTTTTTCTATTAATTGATTTAATTTTTGTTGACAACTTGATCAATTGCAATTATTACAATTAACTCGATTGAATAGACCTTTAATTGTAGACTGATACACTTGAAATGTATAAATGATAAAACTCTGAACACAGTTAATTGTTTATCAGATTGTTGTTATTGTTGTTTTGTTAATTGTTATCAATTAGGTTTCTGATTAACATTTGCTGATCATGCTAGACAATAAGGGTTACTCGATTATTTTGTAGCAATTAACGTTGATTATAATTAGAAAGCGAGAGAGAAAGTGATAATTTGAAGAGAGCAATTAAGATGAAAATATTGATAACAATTAAGATGATGATCAAGTTGTTACACACTAAACTCTATTGAACAAAATCGATGAAGAGTTGATCGAGCTTTTCAATTACAATTAAAAGAAAAAAACTTAAACCAATTGAATGAAACAACATAGAAATGAATTAGGATGATAAATCAATCAATCAATTGATTACTATGAGAATGATTAATATTAATAGTGGTAATGATGTTTAACTTTCGCTCGAAATCAAATGAAAAATTCATTTTTGCAAATTAACTTTTACTCTGATTGTAATGATTGCAGATTAACAATTAACTATTTCAATTGGGACGATTAATCAATTTTTCTGTTCTTTTTTGTTTCTAATGATCGATTTAATTGCTAATTGTTATTGTATCGTTGCAATTTTACTAATTATCATCAATAATTGCTAAATTAACAAAGTGCAAAACTTAATAAATCAAATGAAAGAGTCAAGATCAACACAATTAAAACAAGTTATTAATACAATCGAAACAGCAAAACAAAACAAAACTAAATTAACAACAATAATGTCAGTGATTAACATTTAACAACCATAAGAATAATCAAAACAATCATCAAAATTAATATATTACTTGTTGATTTGTGGGTTTGACTAAATTACAATTAATAAAACGAGAACTGGATGACAATGATATTATTAATACCTGGAAAAGATTTGATCTGATTTACTTTCACTCATTGAATTAATCCAAAATAATTAACATTTTAAATCACAATCATTAAACTGATTACCTGAGCAAGTTCAAGATCGTCCAAGGTTGTTCATTAAACAATAATAATTATCAAGATACACAGAAGCCAAGCCTAAATCAAAGCTATTAATATTATTATGATCAAGAAAATTAAATTAAAAAATTATTATAATAATTTAAGATACTCAACCTTGTCAATGATAACAAACCATTTTCCCAATGGCCGTTGGTGATTATCATTATTAACTACATAGTTGATTATTATATAAACTTTGAAGGACATTCAACCAATAAGTTTTACGTGTTTAGTTAAATCATTGATTAACTTTTGATTAAACAACATTCGTATTCATTGTTGATTGAAGGATAACGTTAATTTGAGCATTAAGTTGATCATCATCAACATCATCATGATAATCAAGATCCATTGAATATTTTTTTTTATATCTTCACACTTTTCAAGGATACGTTAGGTTAATATCATGAAAGAAAAAAAATTGCGATGAAAAAATTTGAAACTTACTAACAAATTTGTTGATTAACGTAGTGAGAGAGAAAAACTATCATCATTCATGAAATTTCATTGATTCATTCATGAAAATATTCCGGGGTATTCATGAAGATCAAACTTCACCATGAAAGTTAACATGATGGATCAATCGAAAAGATCATAATAATTTTTTTTTTCTTCTTCTTTTCTGATTGAAACAAAGTTCTCAATATTTTGCTTTCACTTTCTGGGAATTCACTGATTAGTCATTCATCTTTGTTTTCGTTGTGTCAAATATTTTGATACTCTGTTAGTGATCATCATCTTACCTTAAGTGGGTTGATAATGAACAACAAGAAATATTCAAATCGGGGCTTTGGTTTTAATTTTCATCATCTTCACATGATCTTACCTTGAATTCCTTCAGTTGATTGATTGATTTGTTCAAGTTTGATTTCGCTCAAAATTTTTAACAATCAACATAAAAAACACTTCATTTACTCCCTTCATCAATTATTTGATCATCATCATCATAATTAACATCATCATCCTCCTTATCTTCATCATCATTGTGTATTTAGATAACATAGTAACATTTTTTTTCTGCTCATCATCTTCATCAAATCAAAAGGTATGAATGAATTAAATGTTTCTACCTGTCAAGCTTTAGGTTAGTCCTGATTTTCATCCTCATCACTCTCATCATTTTATCATCATAAACACAGAAAAAAAAAACAAAAATGAAGTTAATTGCGAGCATCGACTTTTATGGGCGAGATTTAATTTATTTGATAACGTTAATAATCAAAACTAAATTAACGATTTTTGATGCTGACAGTTTAAAATATTTTTCTTTTTGTTTTTTTTTTGCTTCTCATATTATTTATGATTCTAATTATCCTCTTACTATTCTTATTTTGTTAATCATATCATTAATTAGCTAACGAATCACAATTAGCAATCGTACGTTGTAATAAAAACGAGCGATTGATTAAAACTTTTCGTTAATCAAAATCAAAGTTTGTGTCCCAACGATAATCATCAGAGCAATTGGACTGTTAATTAATATGATTGAAAAGATAAATGCAATTTAATTATTATAACCTAATTGTATAGTAATTTTTTCTAACTAATTGATTTACTGTTTGAGGAAAAGTTAAATATAAGATGATTAGTGTGATGATTTCTATTGATTAATTAACAGCCAATCTAAAAAGTTACTCGAGTGAAATATCATTTGTTTTCATTATTTGATTTCTTCCGATTCAAAATGATATGAATTTATCGATAATTAATGATTAATTCATTAGATTTCTTCTCACTTTTATCGTCACAATCATTAGTAATCAACTTTACAGTTTACATGGTTGATCAAACTGATTAATAAATTGTCAATTAAAATAAAAAAGGATCAAGAATAACACACAACTTGAATATGAATGAATGATGAGACAAAATTTAGTTGGTTAATTATCATTTAGGTGTAACCATTGATTCTGTGATCAAACAAATAATATTTATTATATTAATAGAAGGGAATTCACTCCCAGTGGATTTGATGATAACTATTGATAGTTTATCTCACCAAGTTGATTAACTTAATTCAGTTATTGCAATTTAATCACGTTAATCATCTTGATAATAATCATTGTAACCAACGACCTTTTTATTGAGACCAGAATTAAATGATAGGTAACATTGGTTACATTATATTAACATTAATATCATTTCAACTCAAGGTAACTCAGGATAATGAACATTACAACAAGGTTATTCGAGGTGGTAACGATGATGAAATTGATAAGTTTCATGAGGATGATAAAGTAAGGACAAAGATGATAAATGTAAAACGATATACATTCAGATCGGTGAAACAAATTTTATCAATTCTGATTCATCTCGCTACCATGATGTTCATGATTATCTGAGAGGAGATGGAAAATTCCCAAAGCTTCATTAGTGAAAGAGTTTTTTTCTAGTCACTTACGAGTATTATCTTTATCCTGATCATCTTCATATTACCTGTGCGTGGGTTGAGATGACACAAAAAATAAGTTAACAAATGCTGAGATTACAAGTTACTATTAAAACTTTTTTTTCTCTTCGTCGAATTTGATTCAAATCAATTCTATCCAAAAGATTTCGAATACATCATTTCCGGACTATTTCTCACTCCCAGTTCCTAATAATGATGATGATTAACATGTAACTTCCCAAAAGGGTTAATCAGATTTTGATATAATCTATTATAAGAAAATTAATTTACAAGTAAAAAAGATTAGTAATATACTTGTATCATTCTCTTTCTACTTTTCCATCTTTTTCTTTCATTACTTTTCATTCATATCTTTATCTTCATCTTCATCTTCACCATTAATATGAGTAATATCATCACCTTAACCTGTCACTTCCTGGTGGCTTCATGTTATTATTCATTCCCTGTGATTTGAATATCATTTCAATTGCTTTTGTTTTTTGTCTCGTCTCAAAGTTTATTGCAATTAGATTACAATTTGTGTCTAAATTAATCTTTTTTTTTGTTCTTTTTTCTCATTTTCTGTTTGATTAATTATTGATTAGCTCCTGAGAATTGGAGTTTTCTTAAGGGCATTAAAAGCCAGTATTTCAAGTTCTCACCGAATGTTGTTAATGCTCATCTTGCCAGCGCTCATCTCTGGGCTTATATTCAACCTAAAAGGTCCTCAGGCACCGGATCAGGAACTTCATCAGATTCAATTGGACATTATGACTTTTCCAGGCCCATTAATGTAACTGTTGTTGTTTATGAGATTAAAAAATCACGAGAACCTGTTTCACTTCTCAATGTAAGTTAATTGTCATCCGAATTTAGTTACAAGTGAAAATTAGAAATGAGCAGCAATACGATCGAGCTAAGTTGAGATCATTCAAAGATCAATCGATTGTGCATATAAACGAAAGAATCAAATATTACAATTTAATTTTCTCATTCAACTATTTAGACAGTCGAATTGATTCCCGTTTCTTTTCTCAATTTCAACTTGTTCCTTGTCATGTTTCAAATCATTATTATTGCTCATCTCATCCTTTATTTATCTCTAATAATGATGATAATCATCAATAAGAAGTGAGAGCAATAAAGAAGAGAAAGAATAATGAGAATGAAAAGAGAAAAAGTTGAAAATAATTTGAGTATTGAACGTGAATCGATTACATGATTATCTTTACAATGAGATTTAATTGTTGTTTATTTGCTCTTTAATTTCATAGATTCGTTCAAAGAAAATGACAATAGATGGACGAGGACGTTGGGTAACATTAGATATAAGGAGATTAGTAACCGAACGATTCAGAGAGTCGAAGGCGAATTTCGGTCTCGTAATTCACGCTTACGACGAGAGAGGACGAAGTCTCCATGTAACCAGTCCCTATGATGGCGAAAATCATTCCCAGGTAATTAAAGCTTCAAGGCTTTTCCATCATCATTAATTGATGATTACTATTAAATCACCAACTTCAAATTCGTTCTCAAAGGTTAAGATTCTCCTTCTTTTGCTTGAATATATTTGTTTTTGTTTTTTTCTTCTCTTCGTTTTCTTCATCATCTCCTTTTCATCAAAATCTTCCTTTCCCATCATTTCTTCTTTGTTTTTATTTCTTTTTCCTTCTTTTCCATCATCTTGATCATCTCCTTCGGTCGCTTACTCTTCCATCTTCATCTGAAGATGAAGCATCTTGAAGATCCAGTTTATTTCTTCTATCAGGTTTCACCAGATTTCCAACTTTGATTTCGTTCCAAATAATTTTGTTTCTCTTCTTCTTAATATATTTCTTTTTGTTGCTTTTTCTTTTCTTTCTTTTTATATTAGTCTTTATCATATTTATCATCTTCATCTTTTCTTCTGCTCCTTCTTCAATGTACCTTCTCTCTCTCTCTCTCCTTTTTCCATTGGCAACATTAATCGAGTCGCAATTGCATTTGCATCTCTCAGTTTGTTTCTCATTCCTTTAGCTACTTCCTCCTTTGCGGAGTCTGATAAGCAACATTTACCAAGAATTTTAAATTGTCATTGCTTAATTATCTAAATCATGGTTAATTGTTAAGGTCATAGATCGTTAATTACGTATTCAACTCATTTGTTTCTTTTCTCATTTTTCTTGTTTCTCCTTTGTTACTTTTCCTCTTCTTCTTGTTTCCACTTTTGCATTCGTTGCATTGATAATCAGTCAACTGAATAATAATTTTTCGTTGGTCAACAATTAATATCAGTTAACAGTTGACGATGATAATGATGATGATTATCACTATTAAAATGTCTAGTGATAATAATGTTAATTATGTTACCACAATAATTTAGGATAATTAATTAATTTAATGACATACTTGGCTAACACCTCTGGTAACGATGTTAATCATTTATAAAGATTAACAATCAACAAAGAAAAGCAAATGTTTGTTTGTTTTTTGCTTCTGTAACCATAATTGTCATCGTCATTATCATCACTATTTCATTACATTATTATATCATTTTTGTTACTATGGATTCATAAATCACTAATCACTAATCACTTATTTCTTTCATTTTCTTCCTTGATTTCTTCAACTACTTCTTTGACTCTTTAATTGTTTTCCTTTTTCGCAACGATTAAACCCTTTTCTTTTTCCCTTAGCGAACCTTCATTGAACTGTCAACCACCACTCGCAAGGCCAATAGGGTTCGTCGAGAAACTGGAATACGATGTGAAGAGGGTTCCAAGGAGATTAATTGTTGTCTTCATCCATTGACCGTTGATTTTGAAGAGTTTGGTTGGGATTGGATCATCGCACCGAAACGATATGAGGCCAACTTTTGTTCCGGTGAATGTCCTTACATGTTCCTTCAAGACAATAACCACGCTCATCTTGTCCAGCAAGCAAACCCTTCCATGTCAACTGGACCTTGTTGTACTCCAAGGAAAATGAGTTCAATCTCGATGCTCTATTATGATGATAATAATCAAATTATTCTTGGCACTTTGAAGGGAATGAAAGCCGAACGATGTGGATGCGCTTAGGAAGATTAAACATGATTAGCGATGAAATGGGTTATATTTCCAATGGAAGGTCAAAACCGTTTGATTCTTTGGATGGATGACACTAATAATTTAGAAACAATTAATTAATCTCAAAATTTATCGACGAAAAAGCTAAACAATTAAAAGTAACACTCACTTATCTTTCTCAGTCTTTTGTTCAAAACAAACTGAGAGCTAAAAAATCACAACCATGAACAATCAATGTTATTGTCAGTCTTTATTTGAACTGAAAAATGAAGTCACACATTGTATTGAGTTTAAATGGATCAATTAAATAAATTTCTTGTCAATTAATCGCAAGCAAAAAAGCTTTTCATTTCTACTCGCCTTCTCATTCATCATTAGGTGCGAGCAAATCAATCGACACTTCGGTGACTCGATCAACTAATGATTTCTCAACTTTTGCTTTTATTTGAACGATCGGAAAATGACCTGAGTCCACAAAAGTTAATCGTTTTTTCGATACAAAATATTAGTCGATTTAATTGATCACATGAGAATTTTGATCGACAAAAAGTCAACGCTAGAAAAAGTTTCTTTGAAGGCGCCTTTTCATATGCTCTTACATATTAGATTAAAGTTTGGGTTAAGCGCTGAGGATCAACTTAATTAGAGAATCAAAGATTATAATCTTTGTTATAACAAAATCAATTAGTATCAATAGAATTTAAATTTAACCGCAAATTTATTGATTAGAATTGGAATTAGTCTTGACTGCCATCTGGTGGCATTGAGACGAATTCTAAAGAGCCTTTTGTTCCCCTGGTGCTGATTTTTGATTGTTTTGATTTTGTTTAATTGTTATGATTGAATTTTGTTGTCAATTTATTTCTTTTACGCTTGTCACTTTATTTATTTGTTAAACTCTCGGAGTTTTTTGTAGTAACTATGAAGGGCTCAGAACGTGATGTCATTTATTTTTGGGACCCTCAGGTTGGAAACTTTCACTATGGTATCGGTCATCCTATGAAACCTCAAAGGATCTCAATGACCCACTCGCTGGTATTTAATTACAATCTACAGAAAAATATGAAAGTTTACAAACCTTACAAAGCGACCTACCATGATCTCGTTCGTTTCCACTCAGAAGAGTATGTACAATTTCTCAAGCGAGTGACGCCTTCCAATGTTGCTGGATTCGCCAAATATCTCGGACAATTCAATGTCGGAGATGATTGTCCAGTTTTTGAAGGTCTTTTTGAATTCTGTTCCAAGTATACAGGAGCTTCTTTACAAGGTGAGCACAATAAGAGAAAATGAAACAAATTTCTAATCTAATTGTAATCTTTTTTATTATCTCATCTCTCTCCAGGAGCCGTTCAATTAAATAATCAATGTTGTGATATTGCTATTAACTGGGCCGGTGGGCTACATCATGCCAAAAAATTTGAAGCATCAGGATTTTGCTATGTTAATGACATTGTGATTGCAATATTGGAATTACTTAAACATCATCCACGAGTCTTATACATAGACATTGACATTCATCATGGTGATGGCGTTCAAGAAGCATTTTATTTGACTGATCGAGTGATGACAGTTTCATTCCATAAATATGGCAACTATTTTTTCCCAGGAACTGGGGATATGTTTGAAATTGGAGCTGAATCTGGTCGCAATTATTCAATCAATGTTCCTTTGAAAGAAGGCATCGATGACAATAATTATGCTACTGTTTTTAAACCTGTGATAGACAAGGTAATTCAACATTATCAACCAACAGCTATTGTACTTCAATGTGGAGCTGATTCATTGGCTGCTGATCGTTTAGGATGTTTCAACCTTTCGATTAAAGGTCATGGAGAATGTGTAAAATATGTAAAAACTTTCAACTTACCTCTTTTGGTTCTTGGAGGCGGAGGATATACTCCAAGAAACGTTGCTCGAGCTTGGACTTATGAAACCAGTATTCTGGTGGATGAAGCGATTTCGAATGAGATTCCTTATTCTGAATACTTTGAATATTTCGCTCCTGACTTTTCTCTGCTTTTAGACAAACCCTGTGGAGATACAACTCATAATGCAAACAGTAAAATTTATCTGGAAACGATTGTCAAGTATGTGCATGAAATACTCAGAAACGTTGAACACTCTCCGTCTGTTCAGATGCAATACACGCCCGGCGATTGGATGGATCCCGATGATGAGTCCGTTGGACCAAGAACAGTCTCTGAACCCGAAGCAGCAAATGAATTTCATGATAACACAGATAAAGAGAAAAGAGATAGAGACAAAGACAAAGAAGAAGAAGATTGATTTCTAATTTAATTATTTTTTCCTAAACCAATCAAACAATCACAACTTTAATCACCCAACAACCACTGACATGTTACAATTTCTTCCAGGTCATATTTTCATCTCAAAATTTCTGTAATATTTTCAACTCATTTTCATTCTGCTGATTTTAATAGCCAATGTGACCTGGATAATTATTTAATTTAACAAATTCACTCTCACTTGTTACCTTTTTGGATGAACAAAAATTATTTCTACTTCAATTGAACCAATCAATACGCTCATGTAATTGTAGATTTTTCTTTGGCTATTTATTATATCGATTAAAGAAACAAAAGGTCATAATTCCAATGATCTAATCCAATTAAACCAACTAATCATTTTATCTCGTCATGACGACAATCTTGACCTTCGGAACGTAAATATCAAAGATTGGATAATTATCTAATCGTTAATAAGCCTCAACTTGTTAATTTTTAATCACTTTCGACTTTTGATCAACCATTTGAATAGTTAATTGAAAATCTGTCAAGTCTTCGATTAGCAACAAGATTATCTGATTTCTAAATTTTCACAATTTAATCAAATTTTAACCATTTGTTTGCTCCTTTTATATTGTATGATTACAAGTTAATTTTATTTTATCGACTTGGCCTTGAGATTAACAGGATATTAAAAAAGAGATGATTATCTATTATTAGGTGTTAATTGTCGATCACATTTATCATATTATTAATTGTAGAAAGTACATCGATTTAGAAACATTTATATGAATTGTAAATGCTAGTAAATGTATTACATTTTCCGTGCTAATCAACTTTTATCTTCTTGTTAAACTATTGATGAGAGTTGGATGTGTTGATTTAGTACTTAATTGAACAATTTACATTGATTGTTAAGCATTTCTAGAGTATCAACATAAAGATTAACTACAAAATTGAAAACCAATTGATTCTCCGATTAAATTGTGCCCAAAATGATATCTTGGTTAATTGAGAAGCTAATTGTTACTCTATTGCCCATTTTCTATGGATCTTTGGTCAATTCAGTGTTATTCTTATTTCATCTTAAAACGTGTTTTAAGAATCTCTTTGCTCCCGATTACTCGAAAAGGCCAAAAGTTCTTGACGATCCCGAAATTCAGCATCACAGTGTTCTAATTAAAGTGAGTAAATATCAGAAAATACCAAAAATGTCACATGGATTAAGCGCCCATGTAATTTTATACAAAATTTTGATTGTTAATACGATTAATTTAGGGTAAAAAATTGATTTTAATTTTACTTTTAGCAGAAAAAATCGATCCATTATGTGACCAAAGGTAATCCCGATGACCCGATAATTGTATTTATTCATGGTTTTCCTGATTTCTGGTATTCTTGGCATCACCAATTGATTGAATTCGGCAGCAAAGGTTATTATACTGTAGCAATCGATCTGCCGGGTTATGGTGAGTCTTATAAATCTCTGGAAAACGGGCGATTTATAATTACCAATGTAGCTGACGAAGTGGCTCAAGTGATCAAAACTATCGTTAAATCCGATGATCAAAAAATTATCCTCGTTGGTCATGATTGGGGAGCTGTGGTCTCTTATTGTATCGCAAGTTTACATGAACAATTGGTGTCCAAACTGATTATTCTGAATGGACCTCATCCAGTTCACTTCAGAAAGTTGATTAAAAGTAATTTAGGTCAATTTCTCAAATCATGGTACATGTTTTTCCTCAATTCACCTTTTTGGCCTGAATTCGCTTTCCAAACCTTTGATTTCTTCATGTTAAAAGTTGCTTTCAGAAAAGGAGATAAATCATTTATATTTAACAATAACCAATTAGAACCATGGAAATACATTTATAGTCAACCTTCAGCAATTAAATCTGCGTTGGGTTATTATCGTGATTTCGTCAAACGAAGTCGTTTCTTGGATCACATTAAACTACCAATTCATCAGAAAATGTTGCTCATCTGGGGCGATGCTGATCGAGCTCTTTCTCCGCAATTGGCCACTCAGATCAGTTCATATGTCGACAATGTCCAACTCGAAATTATCAAAGGTGCAGGTCATTTCATTCAACTCGAACACCCAAAGAAAATATCAAAACTCATCTCCGAGTTCATTAAAGATTAGACTAATCATCTTAATAATTTACCTAAATAATGTTGAATTTACAATTTAATTTACTAAACATTTTTATAATCGTTGATTAATCCAATGAATAAATCTTATTCTTAAAACAGAATGATATTGATCAAACTAAAACTCATTTCGCTAGAAACTTCAGTTTAATCAAAATTCAATGTCCAAGATAATTGTCCAGTTTTTGAAGGACTTTTTCAATTCTGTTCTAAATATACAAGGTGAGCGCAAGATGAGAAATCAACCAAGTCTCTAATCAAAACCCGATTAAAATTACCAATGAAATTTACTTCATGTACATATTTTTATTTTTAGAAGAGATTTACAATTTGAATCGAGTTGTAATCTTATTTATCTGATTTTAATCACTGATATTATTTAGTCAAATTGATACAAAAGCAAATAAGTATAAGAAGTTGATAAGAACTAATTTTCCAAACCGATAAGGGATTTTAAAATTGAAAAATTAAATCTATTAAAACGAATCCAAAGAGTAGAGAGATTTTTACTCTTTGTTTGAATCAAAACTTATTTGAACTCCAGTTAATTGTTGACGAATTTAAGTAGTTGTTGATTGATATAATTTTTGGTTAAATTAGAACCAATATCAGAGTTCATCATGAGGCTTAATTTTATGCAAATGATCACCGAAACTTGTTGCTTCACTGCCAACGAAAACATCATGATGATTAACTATCTCATCAATAGATAATTTTCCATCTGAATTATCGTCACATGTTGACAATAAATGTTCGGCTTCTGAAATGGCAGTTTCTCTGTGAAGATAAAAATTAAGAATTAAAATACTTTTGTAATTAAGAAGAAATTGTTGATAATTATTCACCTGTTATCGGGAACCAACCAAATTAAAACTTCTTTCTTGTCAAGTTTTCCGTCTTTGTCGAGGTCGAAATCATTTTCAAACCTTTCCTTTTCTATAATATAAGTTTCACTAGAAACTTCTGGTACTTTACCATGATCATCACGAATGAATTCAACGAAACTAAGATAACCATCGTTGTCCTTGTCCTTTTTATTCATTGTTATCTCGTGCAAAGCATCGTGCATATGAATGTGATCTTCTGGAGTATAAAAAGCGGAAAACTCGACGACATCTAATCTTTCATCTTTGTTTTTATCAGCGGTTTTGAATAGAATTTTATCCTCACTAATCATTCCATTGGTATCTTTAAATTTTAATTCTTCAGCATCAAAGTTATAATTGATATGTTCATCCCATGAAACGTAACCATCTTTGTCAGTATCTTCTTCGGCAAAACTTTCACTTCCTTCTTCGAAAGCCAGTGATTCAAAAGATCGAATAACCCAATCAATTAATTCATCTTTTTCAACATAACCATTACTATCGGCATCTATTGCTGTTTTCACCAATGTTTTCAGTCTCCTTTTAGCTTCTTCGGGACTTAATTCATCAAATTCGGCTGCTTCTTTCTTACTTCCTAAAATTGCCTGATGATCATATTCAGGGTTGTGAGATCCATCAGTTTCATAATGATGAACGTTTCCATAGCCATCGTCAACTCGTTCTACGCAAAAAAAAAGAAGAAAGATAAAAGAAAATCAAGGATGAAATATGTTTAAAATAGAAAAATATTGTTACCTTTATTCTGAGAGTGAACATGAGCTGAAAGAATCGGATGGAAAACAGTTAAAAGTAGATAAATAAAGATACTTTTTAGATCCATGGAGAGAATCATAAATTGACAATCATATCACAGAAAGAAAGTGATTTCCACGAGAAAAGAGTCAAAAGAAAATCAACAAACCACAAAAGACAATTAAAAAAACATGACTAGAAAATTGAGAAAAACTCTGAACCAAAGTCACTGGTAAATCACCAAATCCTTTTGTCAACATCGCGTTTCCATGACAACGACAAAAGAGAAGCGCCAAAATTAATTTCATCTTTTCAACAGAATTTAAATCAATTAATCTCATTGAGATTCTAAATTTTATCAACAATTAATCTACGGAAATGATGAAATTTCGTCCTTATCAACCATACATATAATTTCAAACTCTCCTCAAAAGTGATTCATTTCTTGCTGTTTGTAATTTAACCTTTTCCTCATTAACAATTGAGTGTTGGCAAGTGAATATTTGAACAGCTGATCATCTTAATAAGATCACCTTGTTTAGTTGTCCTCTTTTTATTAGTTAATTATTTTCTATTTAATCTATTCAACAATTAATTTAATTTATTCTTTTTTCATTAATTCGATGAAGTTACGAAATATGTAAACAGTGTGTTGAAAGATTCTTGGATCATGTGTAGATTTGTGTACAGTTAATTTGTAATCAAATTTTTCTTTTACTTCATCTTCATTTTTGTCTCTTCTCATGTCAATCATTTTACTCAACATTTATTTTTCTTCTTCATGTATATCTAATTACTGTGAATCTCTTTTTTGTTTGTACTTTCACCATGTCTTTAATTACAATCAGAGGTGTTTTTATTAGTATTCTTGGTCTCACATCTTTCCTTTTAATTTTTTTCCTTTATATTTCACCGCCAATTCAAATCGAACGCCATTCACCAACCATTCAAAGTCTTCCAAAAGCCAAACCTGTGATCGATGAACACAATGTTTCCAGAAAATTTGAATCTCATAAATTTATCGATAAAGAAAGACAATCAAACTCAATAAATGATGATCCAGTTGATGATGAACTGGATGTTAAAAAAATCTCCTATGAGATAAATCACAAGGTGACCGATAATAATGTTCCACAATTGTTCATTCCAACCGATGTTTCATCTGATGAAATGGATCTTTTAAAATTAGGTTCGTTTTCTTGTCAAGTTGTTAAGAACTTTGATTGATTTATATATTCTAACCCACCTCAGGTATTGTTCGAAATGAAAATGACCTTAGGCTGAAAAAGGAAGGCCTCAAAAAATATGCATTCAACGCTTTGATCAGTGATAAAATTGGAGATCACCGGAACATTCCTGATACCCGTCATTCGTTGTGTGCCAATCAAACATATTCACCCATTGAATCAATTCCTAAAAGTTCAATTATCATTTGCTTTTATAATGAAGCTTTTTCAGCTCTCTCTCGAACCATAACAAGTGTCCTAAGTCGAACTCAACCAGAGATTGTCAAAGAAATAATTCTAGTTGATGATTTTAGTGACGATAGTTAGTATTTCAAATTGTTCTTCTTTTCTGTTTTTAACAATCTATTGATACAATTATTGATAATAATTTTTCCACTTCGTTAGCTTCACTTAGTGAGAATCTCAAGAAAAAGTTCTCATCCAATGGAGATCTCATTAAATTCCTGAGAACACCAGAAAGAGCGGGTAACTATTAATCTAATTATCTATTAATCTTACTTGTGTTTATTTCTCATTAATCAAAAACAATCAATTCCTTTTTTCTCTCAGGACTCATCAAAGCCAGAATTTACGGTTCGAAATATGCAACTGGTGAAGTTCTAGTTTTCCTTGATAGTCATGTTGAAGTGAATGTTGATTGGCTTCGCCCTTTGTTACAAAGGATACACGATGATAAGAAAATTGTTGCTGTTCCGATAATAGATATAATTAGTCACAATACTTTTGAATACTCGGCATCTCCTTTGGTTCGAGGTGGATTCAATTGGGGTCTACATTTTAAATGGGACTCTATTCCTCGTCATTTATTGAGAAATAGTGAAGACTATGTCAAACCAGTTCCGTAAGTGATTATTCTCTAATCAATAAATTTTGATTGATAATCGATTACCTTTATTACTTTCAGATCTCCAACAATGGCAGGAGGTTTATTTGCAATGGATCGTAATTATTTCAAACAACTTGGTGAATATGATCCAGGGATGGAAATTTGGGGCGGAGAAAATCTGGAATTATCATTTAGAGTAAATATCATTTTCTCGTCCATTCAATTGAAACCATTTCCAATCAATTAACTTTACTAATCACAATTTACAGGTTTGGATGTGTGGTGGATCGATTGAAATTTTACCTTGTTCCAGGGTTGGTCATGTCTTTAGACAACGTCGACCTTATGGATCGCCCACTGGGGAAGACACTCTGACCAAAAATTCACTTCGAGTGGCCAATGTTTGGATGGATGAATATAAGGTAAATTACTTATCGTATAAATAACAATATAAAATCACTTTTTTATTCTAATTCGTTTTGTTTTTCTCATACTAATTATCAGACATATTTTTACAACACCAATAAAAATGCTGATGGAATCGATTATGGCAACATTACAGATCGAATTAAATTACGTGAACGATTAAATTGTAAATCATTTGATTGGTACTTGAAAAATGTTTATCCAGAATTGAAACCACCCGAAGAAGATGCAAAAGAGGAAAAGCGAAAGGACAAGTTAAAATCGTTGGAAAAAAAGTACAGTCGAATGAAAGGAGTTTATAATTTCGTTCGACGAACCTCTAAAATCAAAGGAATTTATCAAATCAGTTTAGCGAAAAATGATCTTTGTATAGAATCTGAAAAGGCAGTTACCACAAAGAAAAGCAGATTAATTCTCAGAAAATGCTCAGATAGTAAAAGACAGGTAAATATCAATATAATCTCAATTAATATAAATGTAATTTTGATTGTATCTTATTTTTCCCTTTCTCACAATTAGATTTGGTATGAAAGTGAAAAGAAAGAGTTAAGATTAGCTAATGGATTATGTCTTGATACTGATGGCGAAACCACATATCTGGCTAAATGCCATGAACAAGGTGAAACTCAAGAATGGAATCATTCATCCAAGGTAATTATCTAATGAAAAAAATTAAAATCTAATTTCTAACATCGATTTCTAATTTAATCATAGGAAAATACTCCACTTTACAATCTAGCGGTTGGTTTATGTCTTGGTGTTCATAAGCCAATTGTAGATGAACCTATTATAATGTCAATTTGTAATAACCATGAATCTGGCCAATGGAATCTCATTTCAATGTTTTCCGACTAACTGATGTACTCAAAAATTGATTCACCTTTCTCTCAAAGATTAGACTGATCATCTTAATAATTTACCTAAATAATGTTGAATTTACAATTTAATTTACTAAACATTTTTATAATCGTTGATTAATCCAATGAATAAATCTTATTCTTAAAACAGAATGATATTGATCCAACTAAAACTCATTTCGCTAGAAACTTCAGTTTAATCAAAATTCAATGTCCAAGATAATTGTCCCGTTTTTGAACTTTTGATCAACCATTTGAATAGCTAATTGAAAGTTTATTAATTGTAGAAAATATATCGATTTAGAAACATTTATATGAATTGTAAATGCCAGTAAATGTATTACATTTTCCGTGCTAATCAACTTTTATCTTCTTGTTAAAATATTGCTTTGAGTTGAATGTGTTGATTTAGTACTTGATTGAACAATTTACATTGATTGTTAAGCATTTCTAAAGTATCAACATAAAGATTAACTACAAAATTGAAAACCAATTGATTCTCTGATTAAATTGTGCCCAAAATGATATCTTGGTTGATTGAGAAACTAATTGAATCGAATCAATCAATATGATCGAAAAAATTTAATCATTGAAAGAACTTTTGTTGATCGAAATTATCTGAATGATCCTACTGTTCTCAGAAAATTATAAAATTAAGTTGGAGATCACTCAACATTTGCTTTCCGAAGACAGGGAATTGGAAAGGTCAATCAAATAATCAATCGAAAACTCATTTCACTAGAAATTCCAGTTGAATTACTTAATTATCACTCCATTGAAAGTCCCCAGTTTTTCTAATCTGTGACTAAACTTCAGTGTTCTTCTTGCCAAATTATCCTTTCTGGTCCGACTTCTCATGTAATTAAAAATCGAATTTCATTTAGTGTTTTGAATTTGGCGCCACAAGAATTTTTTGCTTTTTTTACTTTGGTGATTTGTGTTCATTTATTTTCTTCACCATTTATGTGTTAGGGCTTCTGACAATTAGTTGATTGTCCCATGGATCTTAATTGTTTATCGATGGTTTAGTTGTTAATTTTTCGTATTTACATCATTCTCTCTCCCCTTTTCTGCCTCTGAATCATTTTGTAGATCTTTTAGTTTCCTCTTTTATTCATTTTCTTTCTTTCTCACTTTTTCTACTCTCTTGGTCCTTTTCTGTTCTTCAATAAATCTTATTCTCTACATTCAACTAATTAAATGTGTGCCCGTAGAGGTAGAATACCTCATCATTCCCATCATCTTTATTTACAGAGACGAGATGAGGATTATTCGTACATCAGTCCATGTGTTAAATATTTTCTATTCTTCTTCAATCTTATATTCTGGGTGAGTAGAAAAGCCTTTGATTTCTTTTCATCCATCGATTGTGTCTGGTTATCACTATTTTTCTTTCTTTTTCTTTCTTTTCTCTTTGTTTTGGGTTGACCCTCATTCTGCTGCTGCCTTTGTTCAGCAATACACTTTAGTGTATATGCGTTAATAAATTTGTTTCTTTTTGTGATATTCTCTCTCTGTGGTTTTTTTCTATCTCTTCAATCTTTTAATTGTCTTTAATCATTTCTTTCTTTCTCTCTTTTACTCTCTATTATTTTAGCTCATTGGTGGTACACTGATAGCCTTAGGTGGATGGTCTTTCCTGGAGGAATACCCGGAAACTGATTTGAAAAAATTTGAAGGTGTATTAGATTTATTTATACATGTATCTTTGGCTCTCGTAGTCCTTGGAACTATCGTTTTCTTGATGAGTTTTGCTGGATGTTTGGGAGCTTTAAGAGAAAATTTATGTTTCTTAAAATTGGTAAGTTAAAATAAGATAACCATCTTTCTAAGCCTAATTACCAGTGAAATTTAAATTCATGTGAATTTATGATTAGTCTTTTTCATCTGTCAAAAAAGGGTCAATGACTTGATGTTTGATATTTTATTGTTTTTCCTTCTCTAGTTGCCCTTATTTCTAATCCAATTTAAAATCTGTCAAATGTAATTCACACATTAATCTATACGATTTAGTTATATTATTGTTAATCTATTTGGGTGTTTGCTGTTACCAGAACGTCATTTCCCAAACATAACATTTCAAGATCTTTGATTTTATTATTAATTTTTTTTCTTCTCTTTTTTTTTCAGTATTCATTGATGTTACTACTCTTATTCATCGGTGAAATAGTTCTATCAACTGTTGCATTCATCTTTCCCAACACTGTTTCTTATTTCCTGAAAGATAAACTCTCAAAAGATCCCATCATGAAGTATAGAGAAGATACCAACCTGCAAAACCTGATTGATGTTATGCAGATGAACTTTAAATGCTGCGGTATATCAGACCAGGGGTACAAAGATTGGAATCGTAATATTTATTTCAATTGTAATGAATCAAATCCAAGTCCAGAAAGATGTGCTGTGCCTTTCAGTTGTTGTCGAAATAATAAAAACTTTGATGTAAGTTGTCAGGCTGGTAAAAAGCTCATAACAAAACCCAAACCTATGTTATCACCCCAATATTATTGTTTTTTTGTTTCCCGTTTTAAACTTCCTTTAGATTGATGATGAATTGGTTTTTACTCTTCATTGCCAAAACAATTTCCCCTTACAAGCAATTAGTTATCTACAATTTGCAATGGTGTTTATTTAAACTGATCTAATTTTTCTTCTGTTTATTTTACAGAGTGGTTTGATTAACAGTATGTGTGGTTACTCCTTCCAGAATGTATCCTCGGTGGTTCAAGTAAATAGATTCATCTACACTCGAGGTTGTATAGAAGCAGTGACGGAGCTTTTCGAGAAGAATATGAACTACGTTGCTGGAATTTGTCTCGCGTCAGCGGTTGTCCAAGTACGTTGAGAAAAGATTTCTATCTAACCTTTTCTACATGTCATTTTTCCCCGTTATTTTCATCCTTTAATTAACAACCGTCATGATAATGGTCAGTGTAATTGTCAAAGAGATAAATAGAAGTCATTGTTTGAGGGAAAAAAGATTAAGCTGTTAATCTTTAACAATTTAACCAAGCGTTCAATGACATTGATCATAAACTGCTGAAAAGATTTTAATAATATCCTGTTAACTTTGATTCTCAACTTGTCAATGGGTGGATTCTCTGATTATAATGCTGGTTACTACGGAAGTTATTCCCTCAATTCCATCATCTCATTTCTACCCCTTTTCCATTTTGAATCTTTCTCTTTATCTCTTCACCTACACTCTCTTTTTTATCATGCGTGTTTTTTGTATCCGTATTTCCAACCAGGAACCCAAACTGTTTGCACTTTGATTACTAATCTATTGTCTTTTTTTACAGTTATTAGCAATGTTTTTAGCTCGTTCCTTGCAAGGACAAATAATGGCGCAACAAAGTAGATAACGTTAACTTTTCTCGGACACTCTTTCATTATGAAGCAACAACATCAACATACCTTGAGCAAAATTAGCTGAAAATGTGATGTAAAAAAGGAAAATGGACCTTCAACCTCTCATCGAAACTTGAGTAATCCATTGCGGGTATTAATATACACAATTTAAACCTGAGTCTTTCTCGGTTTACTCAGGTTGTGAGAAGTGTTAATTGTGTTTCAGTTTCTTTTTTTCTCGAGAGTTGTTTCGAGAATTTCAATCCTCTCCTGCCAATCACTCTTTGTGAGACTCACTTTCTTTTTCTCATAAAGCCTTTCTCTTTATTCATTCCTCTCCTTCATCATCTTTCATTATTCATAAAATCTTCCATCATTTCATCAATTCTCATCCATCATCTTCATTATCATCATAATCTTTCTCTCTCATTGTAAACTTTCTTTCTTTCTCTTTCTCTCTCCTTCTCTCTCTTTCTCTTTCTCTCTTCACAATCTCAATAACGTATTACCCGATTGTACTTAAAACCTTTCAAATTTTTTTCGCTTTTTCTACGACAAATGAACAATTCACTCTTTTTATTGTAAAATGATTTTTCTAATCGGGAAAAATTGTTTCATATCTATAAATATATATCTCTTTGATGCTGAAAACAAATATACATTTGTATCTATGAAAAGTATGCATTAAAAAACTTTCCTCTCGCAGGAATAATCAACAATATTGATAATTAGCTTTTTCTCTTAATTTATCAACAACAAGGTAATCAATTCTTTAACTTTTGCAATTTGAACCAGTAGTAGTAAAACTACACAGTTGAGCACACTTTTTTTCTGTTTTCTCTTTCTTTTTCTCTTTCTTTTGTCTTTCTTTTTCCCTTTCTTTCTCACACTCAAGCACACTTGTAATTGAGAAACAACCTGTTTCTTTTTTTCTCTTTCTTTTAAAGGGAAACCCCAAGGTCAACAACTTATTACTCAAAACTTGTTTCTCTTTCTTTTCTCTTTCTTTTTACTCTTCCGTGTTGAAGTATTGAGGCCTCTTATAGGTCATTAACTTTTCGAGGGAAAAATTAATTTTATTGGAAAATTGAATTGTGGGTTAATTATTAGGGTTACAAAGACGAGCATTACACCAATAGATAGGGGAAAACCTGGGGAACAATACCTATGTTTTAGAAATTACAAATTCGATGGATTTGACCAAAATTCATGCTCCGACTGAACTAAGTGAAAATGTTGAAAAAGATACAAATTACGTTGCAGAAAGCGTCTTCCTAATGTTAAATGCAACATAACAGGATATTTCCTTATTGCCTTGGCCAATTGAGTGTAGAAGTAAACTGACGCTCGACTCATATCAAATTCCCTAGTACAAAAAGCTACCCAAGCTCCTCGTCGCTGAAACTGTCGTTGGTGTATCAATAAACATATACCAATCCTATTCATTATCCTGATCCGTAGATTATCTGTGCTAGCCTCAGCTGTTAGTAATCGCCTAATTGTAACTTGAGTCTCTTCCAATGTTCGTGGGGTTACAAATGGTTCGAGAGTAAGCGAATCTGAACCTTGACGAATATTACTCCTCTGTTCCTGACCGAATAATTCGACTTGCCGTGGTGTTGGTCTCAATCTTCTGGTGGATGATGCGGAAGTTGAACATGATAAGGTACTGGATTCCACAGACATATTTGAATCTGATAAATTGGATGGAGTTGGAGAGCTGGTTCTCGATGGAGCTTCAGGCATAACAAAATCCACATCCTCCGGATCATCATTTCCTGAGTCACTTGCCTCGGACTCAACTACAAATTCAGGTTGAACTTCACAAAGGGGCTGTTGGGGATACAAAGAGTCATATGATGGTGGAGCTTCATATGGTGGTGGAGATTCAGCTGCTGATGGTGGAGATTCAGCTCTTGATGGTGGATGGATAGCATTATAGACAGATAGTGGAGGTGAAGAGAACAATGGTGGTGATGACGCTATTGTTATTGGTGACCTTGATGATGGACCTGGAGTTGGATTATCCAAATCTTGTGGGGTGTCATTGTAATGTATAGCGGGATCAGGTAAACCGAAATTGTTGAAAATTGTCGCAAGCTCAGCTGTAACTGATTCTCGGTGTGATGATTGGCGGTCAAGAGGGGTATCATTTATAATAGAAAGGATAGAAGCTACCAATACAGTAAGCTGCACTTGAGAAAGACTAATTTTATACATGATGATGAACTTGTTGCAATATAAGATTTTCTTCAAAGTTGAAACGTACACTAACTTGATTCCTAACCTGTTCATCTCTCAAATTGACCTGCTACACCTGACGCGATTCAGTGAAATCTTCAAGATGGTGAGCGGTAAATATGAATAGAGGCTAATTGGTCAATTCATCCTGTGTATGTCGTAGAGACTTGAGATTGGTATCAATGGATAGCTAATGGAAAGTACTATTGGTCGAACATATTCAATGTATCAGAATTGATGGTGGCTCCCTGAATGTCGGTTGGACATTTGTACCTTGGCTGTGTATGTCGTAGAGACTTGAGATTGGTATCAATGGATAGCTAATGGAAAGTACTATTGGTCGAACATATTCAATGTATCAGAATTGATGGTGGCTCCCTGAATGTCCAACATGGTTGGACATTTGTACCTTATGCTGTATGTCGTAGAGACTTGAGATTGGTATCAATGGATAGCTAATGGAAAGTACTATTGGTCGAACATATTCAATGTATCAGAATTGATGGTGGCTCCCCTGAATGTCCAACATGGTTGGACATTTGTACCTTTGTGTGTATGTCGTAGAGACTTGAGATTGGTATCAATGGATAGCTAATGGAAAGTACTATTGGTCGAACATATTCAATGTATCAGAATTGATGGTGGCTCCCCTGAATGTCCAACATGGTTGGACATTTGTACCTGTGGCTGTGTATGTCGTAGAGACTTGAGATTGGTATCAATGGATAGCTAATGGAAAGTACTATTGGTCGAACATATTCAATGTATCAGAATTGATGGTGGCTCCCCCTGAATGTCCAACATGGTTGGACATTTGTACCTTTGGCTGTGTATGTCGTAGAGACTTGAGATTGGTATCAATGGATAGCTAATGGAAAGTACTATTGGTCGAACATATTCAATGTATCAGAATTGATGGTGGCTCCCCCTGAATGTCCAACATGGTTGGACATTTGTACTGCTGGCTGTGTGTCGTAGAGACTTGAGATTGGTATCAATGGATAGCTAATGGAAAGTACTATTGGTCGAACATATTCAATGTATCAGAATTGATGGTGGCTCCCTGAATGTCCAACATGGTTGGACATTTGTACCTGCTGTGTGTGTCGTAGAGACTTGAGATTGGTATCAATGGATAGCTAATGGAAAGTACTATTGGTCGAACATATTCAATGTATCAGAATTGATGGTGGCTCCCCTGAATGTCCAACATGGTTGGACATTTGTACTGCTGGCTGTGTATGTCGTAGAGACTTGAGATTGGTATCAATGGATAGCTAATGGAAAGTACTATTGGTCGAACATATTCAATGTATCAGAATTGATGGTGGCTCCCCTGAATGTCCAACATGGTTGGACATTTGTACTTTAGCTGTGTATCGTAGAGACTTGAGATTGGTATCAATGGATAGCTAATGGAAAGTACTATTGGTCGAACATATTCAATGTATCAGAATTGATGGTGGCTCCCCCTGAATGTCCAACATGGTTGGACATTTGTACCTTTGGCATTGTAAGTCTTATGGACTTCTCACGGCCAGAGTACGATGCAGACCTTGATTCTTTTATTTTAAGCTACAGCAATTATTCAATCTAATGATCATCTTAATAATTGCTAAATTTCATGTTAAATAAATATACACCTTGAATTTCCACCTGCAATTAAGAGGCCCAGATAGTTATTTTTATTGTGTAATGATAATTTGAGTACATGAATGTTAGTAAAATGTTCTTGAACCAGTTATCAAGAGAACATAATTAAGAAATCATTATTTATGAAAATAACGTGAAGCTCTACTATGAATTGTTTCAATGAAGGACACACTGAGAGGCCAAGATAATTATCTTATTTAAAATACATACTTTGTGTTCGAGTGATTGTAATTAAAAACGTTCTTGGAAGAACAATTGAGAGTCTCATGATAATTAAAAATCATTATCCATGAGATTACTTGAGGCCCTACTATAATTATTTTACTTAAATGCTTTAAGAAGAATAGATAATTAATTTATTCAGTACGTTATTCTTTGTAGTCAAGTTCAAGTGCAATTAAAAGTGTTCTTGAAAAAGTAATCAAGAGGCCCACAATAATTAGAATAATCATTGTTTATGAAATTGCTTGAGGCCCTGCTATAATCAGCTTTACTGAAGGACACAAGCAGGGAGCTAAGGCAAGACGATCGTATATAAATGGAAGAGGATTCAAGTGAATTTTCATCAGTCTTCAAATCTTTAACAACATAATAAGATTCAAGTTAAATCTTTCGTTTTCATCGTTGTTCCATCAACAGTTTATTATTCAGACTTTTCACGTCTATTTGTTATTCAACCACATCTTTAGTTCTTCTTACCAAAGTTTTCATCTCAATTCAAAGGTAATTAATGTCTGTTTCGTACTTCAGTTCTCTCAAACTAGTGCAAATCGATCGAGCTTCGATCAACCAAGGGCTCAAACGACCCTTGAATCTTGCTGACTTCAACATTAGATCAAGTGATTTCCTTTCAATAGTTAAGTTACTTGATCGCGAATCAAAAGAAAAGTTTCTTAGAGCAATAATTTCTTTTGATATACAAACGTCTTCAATTAAATTCAACAACAGGAAGTTTTTTAGCTCACTTGAAGGAGTGAGAATTGACCACCAGGCCAAAATTCATCAAATTTTCTTAAACAAATTTTATTTGATTTAAGATGAAAATTATTTCGACTACCATTTCAACCAACAAGGTCTCCAAAGGTAAGGGTCCTTTAGCTCCAACCAAGGACTCCAGCTTTAAGAAACATTTGGATGGAACAAAGAAGAAAATGAAGGCAAAACCAATCGTCTGTCAATGTCAACATTTATTATTTATGTTAAAAAAAATTCATGTAAAACTTGAACATAAATTGTTGAATTGTAAACTCTGTTCATCATTTACCGATGATCAGAGTATTTTTTCTCATATTACTACAAAATTAATTATTTGTAAAGCCCATTGTAACGAATTTTCTGATGTGAAACTTTGGGCTTTAAAATGTAACCATTTAAAACTTATTATGAACAAGTGTAAACTCCATTCAGCTTATCTCAAGATGATGAGACAAAAGCTGAAAATCGATTAATGATTTTAATAAAATTATGCTTTAATCATATTTTTTTCTCTCTTTTATCAATTATTATAGATGACCCGAAATATTACACCCGCAATTGAAAACTGGGGTTCTAAGATGACTGGCTGTCTTAGAACCTATTCAATTATGAAACAAGAATTGAATAGAATGATGTCCTGTATAGACTTGAACGAGAGGTGGTTTGATGCTGTCAAAGATGGATTTTTCCGGTTCAAAGACGCTGACTACTTGCAGTGTTTTTGTTGTGGACTTCAAATCGCGTTCGAATTTCTGGACGAAGACGTTGTAGCTCTTCACGCTAGCTTCAGTCCTTCTTGTAGCTTTGTACTCAAGAAAGAACCCAACTTGATGCACAGGATTGAAGGCGATTTACATCGATATAGTGATGCGGTGCAGATGCAAGAGATAGATGATGAAACGTCTATATCTCTACCGATATCTTCTCTTGTCCGTTCAACAGATGGACAAATACTTCAAGTTTTCTCGGAGACAAAAATCCTTAATCCAGAGAAAGTTTTCCAGCTTTATCAACTAAGGATAAATCGTCACTGGTCATTCGCTGGATCCAGATTGACTCCAAGGCAGAGGGATTGGTTCGTCGAGAGTGGATTCTTTTGGACCGGTTCAAATAGAATAGTCCAGTGTGCTTTCTGTCGGTTGGCTATTGATGGTAAGCTGAGTAAACTTCCAGGGGAGGTTCATAACCATTTTTCTCCAGATTGTCCATACGCAAACAAGGATAGTTACGAGGCCGAGAGACACCTTTGTTGTGTTTGTCTTTTCAAGACAACACAAGTTTTATATTCACCATGTAATCATTTAGCTGTCTGTTGTAGCTGTGACAGCACTTTGAAACGACTTGGGCAAGAAAGTTGTCCAATATGTCGTCGAAATGTCCAATGTCGGATCAAAGTGATCAGACCTTAATTATGTATAAAACTTTTTTTATAACTAAATAAAAATTTTTCAACAATCAAACTTTGTGTTTACTAACTCAATAACTCAAATGAAGGCTACGGAAATTAATTACGGCTTTTCTCTTGGGATAAAGTAATCTTATCAACATTCAAGTTGAACAAAGAAAATATATTAGATTAGCATCTAGATCAAGTTTAGCATCATAAGGAATCTGTTCAAGGAGGAGTAATTGATCCTGATTACACAGATCAAGGTTATACAATCATAGTGATTATGAGAAAAAAAAGAGGGATGGAAATAACTCAGTGCTGAAAAATTCACTCCCCTAATCATGAATGAGGTGGAAGCTCTAATTGAAACTAATAGAAGAGAAAGTGGGCTGGGCTCTTCTGGACTTTAAGAGTATAAAAGGAGTACTTTGAAGCATAATTTTCATTCAATACTTGATCATCAAACCATCAACTTGATAAAAATGACTTCAAATATTCCTGACTCTCCTGCTTCTCCTGAAACTCCTACTCAACGAGTTCTTCCATGGCGAGCACGACAGAGTACATCGTCTGCGAGCTTTGAAGACCGTTTCCAACAACTGTTTTGTGTTGAAATATCTCCAAAGCTTTGGTTGACTGTACAACGAGCCAAATCATCAAATGGACAAACGTATGTTGATATTCGTCGGAGGATGGAGCGAGTCATCAATGGCGTCAAGACTCAAATACCGACAAAGCTTGGATTGTTTCTTCGATATAATGAATTTGAGTCATTGAAAGAAAAGTTGAACAACACAAATGAAGGCAATCGTGAATTTGAGCTGAATCTAAATGGTGGACGAGAGATATCATGCAATGGACAGCAGATTGGAGCAGTTGAAATTCGATTGAAGGCTGGAGCAAAGGAAACGTGTATCCGTCTCGAAAAAGATGAAATCATCAAGGTTGCTACTCATTCAATCCCTGATCAGGTTTTTGCCGCAATGCAAGAGATTATTTGGGAATGAATCTATAAACATGTAACCCAACATTTCTGAATTTTGATTATGTATCCTTACTAACATTTGAATCTATAAACTGTAACCTTATATTTACTCTAATAAATAAAAAGTGAGCTCACTCAATTTTCTCTTTTCTTTTATTTATTTCACGTCGAGACATCAATCATCGTGCATCTAAAGTTGATAGTATAAGAAGTTTACTTATGGCTAACAAGGTTCATTTTACGGTAGATTTCAAGACCTCACTCAAGCTACGAGGCGAGTTGGACTCTGATGAAAATCTTTATCATTTAATGGACAAGATATGGACTGGTTTTAGGAGACTCAAGATTCCTTTTACAATTAACCACCATGATATGGACAAGATTGTTTTGATTATCAACTATCAAGATTATTATTGTAATGAAAAAGAAATTGTTCAATTTATGGCCAATATTTTCTGTTTAAAGACTGAAATGATCTATTAAAGATTTAAATCAATAATCCAATTATCAGTTTATTTCTCGTGTTATAATGATGTTGTTGAGTATTGTTTCGATAATGTTATTAGTCTTGACTTTATTAATATTGAGAATTATACTAGTAGATTTTTACAAGACTAAAGATTTGAAACTAGCCTGAAGCATGCGCACAAGCAAACATGATAATTTACAATATAAGCAACTGCTTTTGTCAGTTTAGTAATAGTCATGTTTGAGTGCAGTGAATGTGGAGTTTCATTCAAGAAATTCAAGTCTCTATTTATTCATAAAGAACAGTGTAGTTTATTGAAATGTTCAAAATGTAAGACAAGGTTTAAAGATAAAGAAATGTTCATTGAACATGTTATCAAATGTAAAACAATTGTCTCTACTCTTGGTGACGTAGCTACTTTTCGATTACATAAATCAGCTTATAGAGGTGTCCTTGAAATTTATGTTAAACTTGGTTCATGGTCATCTCTAGAGAACCTGTTTACAGCTGAAAGGCAAAACATAATTAATCTCATCAGCCATGTGATTGGAAAAATTGGATCAATTAAAACTCAACTTTGTGTTCTAATCAAGTTTATTAAACAAAAACCAGATGGCGATACGGATTCTACTGAAATTTATAAAATTTCTCAGAGTGAACCTTTAACTCATTCTTCACAAATTGAAAAAATGATCACTAAATGGATAGAAAACCTTGAATTGGTGGTTGATCAGTTCACACAACGTGGAAGTGGATGGGTACTTCAGACAGTCAAGATGTTGGAAATTAGAGTAGGTAAGCTAAAAGAAAATAGTGGTGGTTGTTCAAGTGTTAAATTACCACTAAACTTGATCCGTAAAAGGAGCTTGGTATCGCCAGTTTGTAAGTCTCATTGCTTCAAGTGGGCCGTTCTCATAGCTCTTCATCCTCAGGCAACACATAGACAAAGAGTCTCTAAATATAAAAAATTTGAAAATGGTACAAGTTTAGAGATATTGATCCAATTACACCCTTCTCTCAAATCAATCGTTTTGAGAAGCGGAACAATGTTTCTATCAATGTATACACACTGACTTTGTGTAAGAAACCCAAAGTTGTTCCTTTGAAAATCAACAAAGATAGAAAGACAAGTCACATTAACCTGTTTCTCTTCAATGATCATTACTTTCACATCACTAACTTTAACGGATTCATGATGAACAACAAGTCATGGGAAAGATTCTTTTGTTATTCTTGTCTTTCTGGCTTCAGAGATCAGTCCTCACTAACCAGGCATGAAAGCTTTTGTGGTGACAATTCAGCTCAAAGAACCATTCTTCCAGGTACAGAAAATGTTCCAAAAACATGTGAGTTTACTCGTGCGGAAAAGTCAATTTCTTATCCATATGTTATTTACGCTGACTTTGAAGCCTTGGTGATAAAGAGTGAAAATGCATTAGGTGCCAGCACATTTGAATACCAAAAGCATGAAGCTTGTTCATTTGGCTGGGTTGTTGTTGATTGGACAGGTAAAATTCTGTTCAATAAATTCTATCGAGGTGATGACGCAGCAGAGAATTTCATCAGAAGCCTTTACAATGTACAAGCGTCCATCAACCTTGATCTAATGAGGAGAATAAAGCCACCAATTCTAACATCAGAAGAAAGAATCATTTATGAACTTGCTGACATTTGTCATGTTTGTTTACAGCCACTTTTCCAAGACAAAGTTTTAGATCATTGTCATCTAACTGGTAAGCTCCGTGGAGCAGCTCATAATCTGTGTAATCTGAAACTTAGATTACCAAATCGAATACCAGTCATCTTTCATAACTTGAAAGGCTATGATGCTCATTTAATTATGAAAGGAATCAAGTCAAATCAAGTGAAAAAGATTTCTGTAATCCTACAGAATAGTGAAAAGTATATTGCCTTTTTCATGGATGATTTCATTTTTCTAGATAGTCTCGCTTTTCTTCTATCCAGCCTTGATACATTAGCAAACAATTTACCAGATGAAGATAAAACGAAATATTTATCACAAATGTTCAATAGCTCGGATATACCTCTACTTTTATCAAAAGGGTGTTTACCTTATGAGTATATGGACTCTTGGAGTAAATTTGATGATGTCAATTTACCTTCAATTGATAAATTTTATTCACATCTATGTCGAAAAACAATAGATGAATCAACATATTCAAATTTACAAAGGATATGGAATCATTTCAATTGTCAAAACCTTGGCGATTTTCATGACATTTACTTGAAAGTTGATGTCTTACTTTTAGCGGCAATATTTGAAAACTTTAGATTCACAAGTTTGAAACAATTTGGCCTCGATCCTTGTCATTATTTCTCTACACCAGGTCTCACTTGGGACGCTGCTCTCAAAGCAACAAAAACCAAACTTGATTTATTAACAGACATTGACATGATCCTTATGATTGAGAATGGGATTCGAGGAGGAATTTCTTGTGCAATGACAAGACATGTTGTTGCCAACAATCCTCTCTCTGAGAACTATGATTGTAATAAACCAAACTCATACATTACTTTTCTGGATGTGAATAACCTTTATGGTTATGCTTTGAGTGATAATTTACCGATGAGCAACTTTGAATGGGTCCCTTCTGAATCTTTCGATCAAGTAATTGAATCAATAATGACTGGACAAGATTCAGATACAGGATACATTTGTCAAGTTGATTTGATCTATCCACAACATTTACACGATCAACATAATGATTATCCCATGGCTCCTGAGAAATTAACAGTTGATGATGAATGGTTAAGTGATTATCAAAAGAGAATCATATCTGATCTTGAAAGTGTTGGTCTTAAACGATGTAAAACTGAGAAACTAATTCCTAATCTAAGAGATAAGAAAAACTATGTGGTACACGAAAGAAACTTGAGATTTTGGTTATCAAAGGGACTAATCTTGGATAAAGTTCATCGTATTCTCAAGTTTAAGCAATCCAAATGGTTGAAACCTTATGTTTCAATGTGCACCCTCAATCGTCAGAGAGCTACCAATTCATTTGAAAAAGACTTTTGGAAATTGATGGTCAATTCATTATATGGAAAGAGCATTGAAGATAAGCGGAAACATTCCAAAGTTAAAGTTGTGACAAATGGACAACAAGCAATGAAACAGATTAGAAAGCCAATGTTTGAACACTTTTACATTCTGGATAATGATTTGGCAATAATTAAATTACGTAAATTTGAGGTTAAACTTGATAAGCCAATTTACCTTGGATTCACAGTACTAGAACTGTCAAAGCTTCGGATGTATGAACTACATTACGATCACTTTCAACCTCTTTATGGAGATGGCCTAAATCTGGTTTACACTGACACTGACAGCTTCATCTATCATATTCAAACTGAAGATATTTATAATGATTTAAAATCAATGTCAGCAATTATGGACTTTTCAGATTACCCTGAAAATCATTTCCTCTATGATGTTTCAAACAAAAAGAAACTCGGTCTACTGAAAGACGAGATGAATGGTCAAGTTATTGATGAAGTGGTCGCCATCAAATCAAAGCTTTATGGAATAAAATATGGCTCAAAG